TGGGTTCATTTGGAAGTTATCAATACCGCCACGCAGCTGCGACGCATCGATGTCCGCATGGTTCAATGGGGCAAACGGCTGCTCACTTGGCGGCGTGGGGCCCCAACTGCAGCTAGGTTGGTTGGGTGTTAACTGTATACGACTCCTTCGACTTGTTGGCCTTTGGGCTCGTCTTGCTTGTTTGTTGGCAAATGCTTGGCTGCACGAATTGCTCAGTTTGCGAGCAATGTCGAGTTCTCGTTCATAAACGCCGCAGCAAATGAATTGATGTCAATAGGAGTAGCTCATCCAGCCACTTGGGGGATTGGGCCGGGCACAGCTTCATCTGTCGTGAAGCGCTGGCTACGGCATGTGAAAATGGTGAGCAGCCAGCAGTCGCATGCCCTGTACTCGGTGGCACTGCGTGCTACAGAGTCGCTCACCTTTTATGCTGAACTGCAGCCTTGGCCGTTCCTACACCCCAAAGTCTATAGCCGGCATCTTTCTCCTGTTTCTGCGCGGTTTTGGGATTGGCTCGGTGTGGCCATCACTGTTTCAGCGATGGACGCGCAGCACGCCATTCAAATATGGGATCCCTTTCATAAGCTCGCCGACATGAACCGACGTGCCAGGACCGGCGCATCGAGGTCGTCGCGAACGGCCTGCCCTCCTGGCACGGTTCCCAACCTTCGCTTGATGCCACTATCATGTCCCCTCTTAGAAGATGCGGCGCGCCGACGAGCGGCCCATGCCTGACTTGCAAAAACAAAGGTTCGCGAGGTCCTCGATGATGCCTGCTGGGACTAAGGCAGCCTGCGCCGCAGCATTCGGTCCCCACTGGACCGCGCCAATCCATCCCCAAACAGCGCCGCCTGGCACCTCGGTAGGCGACCCCACACTCCTCAACGCAGACTTACAATGGCACGGCTTCCTGGACATGCACCACCAAAGAGCACCTTCGCACCCTCTTCGATGACGAGGGATCCTCGATGCCCAGGTCGCGGTCGACAAGGAGCGCGCCTACCCAGAGTTCTGCCGCGCCCATCGCTGCAGGCTCACATCATCGCGTTTGAAGTTGGAGGGCGCTGGAGAATGAGGCCGCTAACTTCGTCCGCTTGCTTGCTCGGTGCCGGGCGCGGGCCGTCCCAGCCATCTGCCGGGCCGCAGCCATCTCTGCCTTCACGCTGTGTTGGTCGTCCCTCATCTCCTTCGCAGCGGACGTTCGCCGCCTGTCGCTCCCGCTCGGTGGCACTGCCAACGTTGATGGGGACCCCCCGCTCCTCAGCTTGACCCCCGGAGCCCCGCCCAGGCTGGAGTGGCATCACCTCGGTCGCTGCGCAGAACGCGCTTGCGGCGAGCGGCCCCTTGCCGTCGGAGCCATGTGCTGCTGGCCCACCCCCAGCCTTGCACGTTCTCCTGGCTGACGCCTGCTAGACTCTGCTAGACTTAGAGCGCGGCCCCAGCGCCAAACCGTTTGCCAGCCGGGCCTAGTCTTCGCCCTTCGGCGTACGTAAGAAGGCGCGAAGAAAAACCAAAGCTCCCGCCGAATATATTCGTATACCTCTGGAGTGCCAACCCGACAGGCCCCACGAATCCGGATCGAGTGCCCACGCTCCGAAGATTCTGCGGAAAGTCCTGGGCAGAAGCATTCGGGAAGTATCTTGTTTTCACATCCGCACCAACGGCATTGTCGCGAGGGAGGAAAACAGGGAACAAAAACGAAAAAATGAATCGTCCATGCTGCGGGCAAGGGGCTGTGCAAACGGCGGGCGCTAGGACCACGCGGACTGCTGAAAAAAGGTACGGGAAAATGTTGAGAGAAAAAAAGAATTACCCGCTCGAAGCCGCCCTGGCCTGAAACTTGCCGCAACCCATCCCGAAATCTGCCTTGGTCCTTGAGTTGGCTCAAGCTGCTATAAGTATTGTGGCGCAAATTTAGGCACTGGCAGGACAGAGGAAACAGGTCAGCCCGGGTCTAGTGTCCACGGCCAAGCATCACCCATGTCCTGGAAGATCGGCCCAAGGGGGAAGTAACTGATGTGTACCATTGTGTACTTTAATCATCAGTACTCAGTAATCCCTACAGTTCATGTTTTTTTTTTTTCTTTCCTACAAGCTTCCCGATTGTTTTAAAGGAGGTGTTGAAACAAATGCACAGTTGACAAAGCATGCCACGTGCAGATGTGCAACAACCATATGATTTCTTGCCACCCTTTGACAAGGCATGATGGCAGCTTTTCATGTGATCGTCGCGGTGACGTTGTTGCAAGTCTCCAGGTCTTGCAAGCATATGACGTGCGCGGAACGTTCCCGGCGATCGGGGATGTGTTGTATGTGAAAGAGGCACCACCTGATGCAACACCGTTCGGCTCTCAGTCCGGTGCTATATTTGATGCGTGCGTTCCTTGCGTTTGGAACGCCCAGGCCTCTCCATGAGTCCCGCCGCAAACTTTTGGAACATGCTGTGCAACAAGCCACAGCAGCCACACGCGAAACGACCGCACCGGAACTGGCCACAGGCACCCTGCCAGCTGGTTTCATGCACAGAAAAGTTTGTGAAAAAAACCACATGCGCCGTCGCAGTTGCAAATGCTGCTTCCAAGAAGTCAGCGTACGAGGCCGGATGCTAAACGGCTGCAGCCAGAATTTTGCATGCTGGCGGGGACCTGATGAGTACAGGTGTTGGTGGAGACACTAGCTGATTGGCTGCGCACTGGACGCGATCAGTTGCGTGCCGAATTTGAGGGCAAACTCCGTGAATCATATGCGTGGCCGGTTGCGGAGCGCAGGCCGTTGGGTTGCAGCTATAGTTTGATTATTGCACCATCGTTTTGGACCGTCATTGATTCCGCAAGTGATGCACGTGGCATGCCGAGGAGAATGGTTGAGACCCAACGACAAAAATGGAGGGCATTGGAGGCGCGGGCCTTCTGTCACACATGTAGATGACACCGGTTGACTTGCCAAGGACAGTTTGCGGCAGTTGTCTGATGCGGTGGATGCATCCATTGCGGAGCAACCAGAACTGTTGGATGGGAAGGCTGCCGGAGATGCATCGCAAGTGCCAGCATCCTTTCATTCACACGCCAGGCCCATGCCTCGCTCTCGCGACTCGAAGCTGTTCGGGACGGAGGTTTGAAGCTGCAGGCGTGGTTACTTGCAACATCTTGCAACTCGTGGCTTATGCGGTGTAGCGCGCTGGTGCGGCAAGGTGCAAGTGATACGAGAAGTCCAACTTCAGTATTGGCCAAGCCAATTTGGCTCCAAGCTGCTACCCGAGGGTGTTCCGACAGATGCGGAGGTTTGGCTTGCCACAGTTGACTGCAACATTGCTCCGTGAACCTTAACTGGCCTTTGCGATTTTGCTGTTTTCATTATCTACTGTTCTTACGGTGTCCACGTTGTTTGAAGTCTTTCCATGTCGGCATGTCCTATCACGATGGCGGCCTCACGGTTCGCTCTCAAAATCTGACAGAAAATCTGACAACCGCAGGTTGCACGCGCTAATGTTGACTTCACATTAATAACCCCCCCCCCTCCCCCTTGGTTGATCAATCTTTTCGGCCAGGGCCTCCTCAATTGCATTCGCCTAAATCCTGGTAGGATTTTCTATTAGTTTTAGTATTGGGTAGTAGCAGTACTAGTAGTAGTAGTAGTAGTAGTAGTAGTAGTAGTAGTAGTAGAAGAAGTTTAAGCAACCTGGAGCATCACCCGGCAGCCAGCAAGCTCTAAACTCCCTCCCCTTAAACTTATAAGTTTAAGCAACCTGGAACATCTCCCTCAAAAAAAATTAGGAACAAGCGTGATTTTATTATTGTGGCGGCCGATAATATTGTGTTCCGGCCCCCGGGATTTTATTATTGTAGCGGGACTCACTAATGTGAAGTCAACATTAGCCTGTTTGAGCTCCCAGTATGCGTTGCCATCTTCACCGGCATGAAGTGGAGGTGGAGGTGGAGGGCCGGGAACCGAGGTAACAGGAAGAATGCCTCATAACCATCATCAATTCATTGATTCATTAATGGCTCGCTCCGTGTCGACCATGCGGCGCTGCGGGATGACATCTGCATACCTGGCCCCGGGCGGGTTGACTCACGTGACGTAGGGAGCAATGCCCTGTATGGCTCGATCGCCATCGGCTCTTGAAGGCCCAAGATTTCCAAGTACCTTTACTAAATTCGGGCTTTTGTTCAGCTGTCTGAGCTTCGCCGCCTTCTATCCTGCAGTACACTGACCACAGTTCACAAAGTGCTTGCCCTTTGACAACCACAGGTCCTTTGGTGGCATGGTTGGGAGTCCAGTTCCCGTTGATTCTTGCCATGACGTAGCAAGAAGAATGCAAATGGCTGGAACGACATCACACGGAAGTTGTGCCGGAGAAACGTGGACTCGCTTTATGCAAGCATCTAGAAGAAGGTGAAGCTTCCGTCTACCGGAAATTGCTGCGTAGAGATGCCCTAAGGACGTTTGACGGCATTATTCTTTAGTTCAGGCGCTGCGAATGTGTCCTGGGCGTCAAGTTTTCATGTGTCGGTCGTTCCAATGGTTGAAAGAGCGTAGGAATGTGATGCCGTCTGACAGTTTTGACAATGATACGTGCTGCGACGTCATGCCTGTTTATGTTTTGTTTTCTAAAATTGTGCCTACAAAATACGAGGCTAGCGTTTCACCATTTGGTTAAGCCGGTAAAGCGTAGTCGTACGAGTCCTAGGAGTTTTTCCATGGCGTCGAATTTTGCATCACTTCCGAGCTCGAGATGGTAGCCAAGTTTTCACACTCTTGGTCGGCTTTTGTTCGCTCAAGAGTGTGTCTGGAACCCCGTGCGCTTTTGCAGATGGATGCTTGGCAAGACGACCTGCCGCAACGTTCCCAGCCGGTATTGGAAGAAGGGCGTGCTGCAGTCGGGACCCTAGTCAGCCCGAACTCCGGACTCACACACACGCACATTCATTCCCACATGTTTTCCAGTGATTGCACAGGAGACGCTCGCAGCTGCCGTCAATGTCGAAACCCAAACGCCGATGGATATTCTGTCTGATTCTGTGCCTTTGTCGTTGCGACAACGTCCCAGCCCTCAAGGCAGTTGGTCCCATTGAGTTGTCCCATGGCGTTCCACGGTTCGTTGCGTGATTGTTGGTGGATGCGAGGCGTCCCACGCGGTGAGGTGGATGCGGCGACACACGTGCCAGCAGGAGTGGCGCCAGTGGTGCCAGCAGCGGAAGCCAGGACCAATGACACACTGCCAGAAGGACCTCCTTCTGGACCTTGGGGAAACACATGCCAAAAAAGCTCGATTCTCAACCAATGGCGAGGCCTCGTTGATGAGGGCCTGGCCGAGGTTTTCGCAGGGATGGCACCTTGTGTGCAGACCATGTTGCCATGTCACTGACACGTGAGAACGGATCACGGAAGCAGCTGAGGATGAAAAAGAGCGGGAAGCTTTTGCAACAATCGTCAAAGAACAAGACGAGCTTGCGCAGATGCTTGGCTGCGATATTCTGCGCGGCCAGCGGATCTTTGGTGACATTGGGTGTTGCAGGCAAAAGGCGGCATCAGAAAGGGCATTGCAACGACAGGAGTTGTCTCTGAAAGAGAGAGAAGAAGCTTTCGAGGCATTGGCCCGACGCGTCTACGAAATGTAAAAAGCATCTTGGGAGGCTTTTCTCTGTGCAGGACGAGCTCAAGGGCTTACGGCAGGAAGCCAGCAAAGCCGAAAGCAGGCTCAGAAAGAAAGCCGAGGAAGACATTCAACGTAAAGAGGAAGCTCATCAGGCGCGTGACCCGTCCCGGGCCGGGGATATTGGGCCCGGAGTCATGTTGCTTCGAGGCAGCTCTGATCGCCGAAAGAGAGAAGCTGGCAAGCGACCGGTACAAGCTGCGGACGCGGTTCATGGGCGAGCAGCTGGTGCTCGAAGCGCGGAAGCTCAAAGATGAGTTGCTCCGGCACAAGCGCACGAGGCCGGGCAGCTGGCACACCTTGCTATGATTAGTGTTTTTTATTAGTATTATTATTCTTATGATGATTCGTATTATTACTCTTACTATTATTTTTGTTGTTGTTGTTGTTGTTGTTGTTGTTGTTGTTGCTACTATTGCCATTGTAATTATTATTGTTGTTATTATATTTGTGCACGAAGGAGCTCTTTAGCCATCTTAGCTTGACGAACCTTGGAGCATCTTTTCTCTTGAGGCCACTGCGTGCGGAGGCGGTCAAGGTTCTTTGGCGGACGCAGGATGTATGCATCCAGAAGGAGGGTTTGCGCCAAATAGGTTGAGCTCGTGAGGATGACGTGCGCCGTGTGCTGAGTGGCAAGCAGCTGTTGCAGCGCAGATCCACTGGGGCTATGCTGCAGTCCGTCCTTTGCTTCAGAACAGCCGACATATGTTTCTGGTTGTCTGGAAGAGCAGGGTGTTGTTTGTGCTGCGCTTGCAATTGCATGCTGAGGAAACTCTATGCGCCTTTGCAATAGGCAGTGTTCGCGAGTGGCTGTTTCGATCTCGGGAATGGATGGAAGCCAGTTCATTTGCACCGAGTGGCAAGAGTATTGAGACAGCATCAAGTCTTGCTCAACGATCTGAGCCACAATTGTACCTGCGCTGCACTGACAGGACTTGGTAGGGGTCAAATTGACAACCAAGCAATTTCCAGAAGGTTTGCAAAGAGTGACATGTCGACTCATGACCAAGGAAGGCTGAGTTGGCGGCAGCCATGGACACGATTGCATCCTTCAAAGCTCGAGCGAAGGATCTTTCAAATCGGATGCATCCAGAAGGTTACAAGCCCGGCACCCCCAGGCCCTGACCTGCATGGGTAGGCTTTGGAGTGGGAGGCGACTTGTCCTCTGTCAGGTCGGAGCCCAGGTCTCTCAAGGTGGCCGAGGGGCTGAATATCGAAAACGAACAAGCCCAGGCCAGTCCTTGAGTTCTTGACTGTGTGAAGCCGAAGAAGAAGCAATGGCGAAGCTAGGCCAGTAGGCCAGCGGAAGGCCTGTCTTTCAAGCCAAGCTTGGGGTTTGTGAAAGGGTGTCCGGCGAGCTGTGGCAGCGCGCCTGCAGGATGCGGAGGCGCGTGCGTAGTGCAAACATGTGTGTGGTGTTTGGGTGTGGTGTCGAGCATAGGGCTTTCACAGGAGCACGGGTTCCACCATGTCTGGCTAGGCGAAGCTCGACCAATTGGCGGAGGAGGAGCTCTCAGGGCATCAATCGGCTGCCTTGCTGGGTATGTGTCAGTTGCGAGGACATCGGCGTCGACTTTCTTATGCGTTGGTCAGAGCAGATCAGCGCGGTTGGCCTCAAGGGCATGCAGACACAGCGGCAATCGAAGGACTCAGCGGCATGCGGAGTTTCAAAAGGAAACGCAACACACGAGAGAGGAGCTGTCGGAGCGGATTGAGGCCGCTCTCAAGACCGAGGCTCATTTATGAGATGTGTGCCAAATATGCCACACGTGCCAATTCCGCGACATGACAGGCCACAAAATATCGAACTGTCGCACAGGCTGCATATGCTGAGATCGCAGTTACTTGCTGGAACATTGGGGGCATTGTGAACCAGCTGTCGGATCTGTCGGGGTTTGTGTGGGGGGTTAGCATGTTGTAAGATTTTGGTCCGAGGTTTTGCTGAAGGATATTCTTGAAGGCTGCAAACACATTCGTCGGAGATACCAAGGCCGATAGGGAGGCGGACGAGTCCCTGAAGCGAGCCCAAGAAGCACGCAAGCGAGAAGAAGCACGTGAGGCTTGGGTGGCCCTCGTCGGTATCAGGCTGAGTTGTGATTCTCTGAGGCAAAGCGCAAGCAAGAGCTGGATGAAAAGATCCGAAGAGAGCAGGCAGGGGTACCCTGAGCTTGATGCCAGAGGCAAGCGCGCATAGGTGCATTTCTTGCTTGCAGGAGAAGGCCATGCGGGAGAAGGAAAAGCTTGTTCCGCTGAAGCTCCGAATGACTGGACTCAGGCCTTCCAAACCTCGCTTGAACCGCATGGTGTCACGGCATGAGATGTTGTGTGATGTGGTCTCGTTGTTTGGCTGTGCTGCCGTCTTGCAAGGCCAGACAACATCGAGGACAAGGCTTTGCACATGACGGGGCTGAGCCTTTGACATTTTGAAGAATGGGCTCGGGGACAATGTCTGTTTTCACAGGTGAAATTTGGGCACCTGGCAGAGCAGAAGGTGGCAAAAGCATTGGACCTCAAGGGCTCGCAGGTTGCTCACCGAAGCAGAGTGTACCAGATATTGCCAGATCATGCGCAAGTTCATGAGACCCTCCTTATCTAAGGTCCGCGTGACAGGCATCCGCTGAAGGGTCAACCCGGGTAGCTGTGCCTCGTGGACACCTGGCCCTTCATGCCCACCATGCCCGCGAAGAAGCTGTGGGGTTGCGCAGGGCATCCTGCTCGAATGAGGCAACTGCAGGAGAGCACATGGAGACAGGATTCTCGGCTCGCTCGCTTCACACTGCAACTTGGACTAAAGGTGATGTCTCGAAGGAAGCGCCGACCACAGCGCCCTGACAGGGTGCTGTCGGGCCTTGTAATGCTTTGTAGTGATCTGCGTTTCACAACTGTAAAGCGACTCGTGCGGTGAGGCACAAAAGCTTTGGCTCCGCACAAGATCTCAAAGATTCCGGTTGTATTTTGTTGTCTTCCGACGCAGCTATCTTTTGCACGTCCAGGTTTGCACAGCGGCACTGCTGTGCAGGTCTTAAGATCCTGGTATATAAGCACCTGCCAGTCACACTTGCAAGCTGGTTGGACATGCCGATCAACACTGTGAGCAGCACAACCACGGATCACGAGAACCAGCAATTGGTCAGCAGCTCGGGGCCATGGAGGCAGTTGCTGTCAGCATTGTTCTTCCTTCTGGAGAAGTGGTGGCACAGCTTTCAGTGAATCCGCAGAAGCCGGTCTTGCAGCTGAAGACACAAATCGCAGGTCTTGAAGGTCGGTTGTGTTGTTTGCAACCTTAAAGTCCAGTGGGATCTCGCAACCCAAGTGTCGCATCAGACCCTGCAGGCACGCCTGTGGGCAACCAGATCCTACTTCTTCATGACAAACAGGTAGACGATGGTGACACACTTGACAGCCTCGACATCACCTCGTCAGCGACCTTCATTTTGTTGCGCCGGGCGCCGCTGCTCTCTGGAGCCATCAACCGTGAAGACCTCGACCACCTTCTGCAGGACATCAATGTTCGTATCCAGCGAAAGCCCCAAATGTTTCCGGACAGAACAACTTGGCATGAGACCATGAGCAAAGGCCTCTTTATTTCTTTCCCCAGACTTACCAAATTTCTAGGATTGCGGGCGGGGAGTTGCTAGTGTAAACACACACACACAGACATTGCGACGGAGGTGCAATGCTGATGTTGCGGATCTTTGCAGGTACCAGGGCTTTCTGTGTAAAACTTGCCGGCGTTCTCCTCCGGCCACGTCCCACGTTGGGATGTTGGGGCTTGTACGCTGATGTCGCCGGTGAATTTAGCCTGAAAACCTAAAAGCCTACATATACTCGCAAGAGACACCAAACACACGACCACGCGAAAAAGCAAGACTCCTGACTTTGCAGGACAACTTGGCCCTCCAGCAAGCTATCGAGGCTTACAGCAATGACCTGCAGTACCTACCTGCAGATATTGCTGCAATGTCCCGACAAGTCATGGAAGGACTAATCGCCAGTGGATCCGTTCCGGAGATGCCACTGCCAGAAATTCTGGAAGATCAGTGGAAAGATCTTTTGGATCAAACGGGCAAGGCCCGGCAGGTGGCATTTTCAAGGGTGCTGCGGGCCGAGCTCGAAAAGATTGCATTCAGCGTTCCGCCCGGCGCTTCTCCCGGACCTGCGCTACCAGCGCCGGCTCACCCACGCTCGGCGCCTGCGGTTCTGCCCACACCTGCCCCGGCAGCTGGCCGGAAAGACCCCAGCTGCTATACCGAAAGACTACAGCCGGATGCCGTCCACTCGGTGCAGGAGCAAGGTCTGCCGTTGAAAGCATGCTGTGGGTGCAGGCATGTTCTGTGAATCTGCATCGTGAAAGGTGCCGCGACAGCAGACCCCAGCTTGCGGCATGTTGACCTTCCGCAGCGCGTTGGCAAACCTGCCGGGCCCTGGACAGGAGCTGCTTGGCTGATAATTTGTCGATTCTTTAAGTCTCCGTTTCTGCTACTGGGGTAGTTCGTAGAAGTTGCGTGAAGCCTCGTCACGAGTTCTTGCAACCTGATGCCAGATAAGGCGGGGCAAGAGCTGTGACTCGGCATGACAATAGGAATCAAGAACATGGTAGGTCCGTGTACTTGAAACATGCTTCTTAGTGCCTGCAAAACAGGAAGGAGTTCCTGCACCGACGATGGTCTCTCTGTGAGCGCCAGGATGTTGTCTGAGATTGCGCGTGAAAGAACGGAGTGAACGAGTGCTATGCCGTAAGGGCCTACAGTGCTACTTTGCATGTTGTTGTAGCTGTCAGCTCACACCGGCAGTTGTGTGTCTTTGTCCGGCCACTCTGGCTTGCGTCCAGAACTTAGCGTTTGCTGCTGGGCGTCCGAGCATACCAGCACAGGACCTCCGACTTCCAGAAAACAACTCTGACTCTGACAAGTCTGTCTGCCGGGTGTAGCGCGTGAGGATGGAGGAAGCTTCGGTGGGCGGCTTGCCTCCTCGCTTCGCGGCACTTCTGCAAGAGCTTGCAGCTGTGCACCTCGAAGAGGTGCCACCAGGGTCCCAGGGTGCGACAGAAGTCACGCATGACCTATGTGCCCGATATCGCAATCGAGTCTCAATGTCACAGGTTGCAAAGCTGCGACCAGACTCTTGCACATCTCCGCGAATGCCTGCTCCACCTTCGAAGCTTTCTCAAACTCATAGTTATGTGCTGTGCATTGCAGAGTCTCAGACTCGTCCCTTTTTCTGAATTTGAGTTGCGAGATCAATGCTGTGTTCAGGATGTCTCCGCCTCTCAAGGCAAAGTAGACGGGGTCACAGTCACAGAGTGAGACGCTGTGTAGCATCGACCACCCAGTTCTGACTGCACTTGGGGAGGCTATCAGTCGTTCGGAATCCCGACCACTTGAAGACGATCCGCGAGCCACGGTAGCTACTGTTTCAACCGGCCTGGGTAGCGGGGCCCCCAGTCACAAAATGCCAGCCTGGGGGTCATGTGCTGCGTGCAGAAGGTCACGTGGAAGTGCCTCGTTGAAGGTCCACACGCTCAAACTGCCCAGACGTCAGCATCACTGCGGTCGGACCAGTCGACGATGGATCTTGGGCTTTACTTGGAGAGTGACGGCTCGGATGACGAAGCGCCAATCGACACTGGCCTGGATCGCGTACGAGCTTTCTTCTTGAGCGGCACCTTGGCCCAAAGCCCAGCCCGGACGTAAGATGTTCTGAAGCGAACCCTGTTGATGTTTCTCTCAAGGTACTTTTGAGATGTTGATTGCCGGGCTGCTATTTGTGAACGTGTGCTTTATGGCTGCTCAACTACAATACCTCGGCCTGAGAATTGGCCACAGCATTGGGTATCCCCGCTATGATCAGCCCGCGCACCAGGCGGGAGCGCGTTGGGGGGGGGGGGGGGTGTGTACTTGCGTAACTCGCATCTCCATCACATCTCCATCACATCTGTGCCAGGCATGGCCCAATTCGGAACAGATCTTCCTGCAGGGCGACCTGATTTTTGCATCCTTGTTTACGCATCTTCGCTGACAGATTGACAGAATCGAAATTTCTCTGCTGCAAGCAAGCAATATGGCTACTGTAAGGTTCTGGACTTGCATCTGAAACTTGTGTGTCATGCCCAGGATCGAAATGCTGACTCGGATGTATTACCTGCGAATGACCTTTTGGAGATTTGCGCTGAACTGGATCGATTTCCTGGTGGTTTGCAGCTCGTGGCTGGAATTGTTTGCAGCTGCATTGCCGATCAGCCCGACATTTCTCCGACTGTTGCGGCTGGGGAAGATGCTGGGACTGCAATACGTTTCCGATCTTTCTGTGTCTCCACCGGAGGCTGAGCAAGGTAGCTTGAAAGGGCGCCAATATGTCAACGTGAGGTTGCTCCGGGCCATTCGAGTGGTGAGGATGTCTGCCGTTTTGGAGTCGTTGCAGCTACTCTTGAACCTTGGGTGGAATAGGTACCCCAGCCCCGCTGTGTAGTCCAGACATGGTCTGCACCTTTGATTCTGTGCATCTTCCACCTGGGCGCACAATGCTATAGCTGCGATACCATGCTGAGGAAGTGCATATTTGCGAGTGCAGCTTGCACGCAAGAGCCGCAAGAGCGCGGCGGGGGGTCAAGCGCGAAGTGCTGCAAATGCGTGCGGTGAAATCCCATTTGCTTGGCCTCAATGGCAGCAGAGGTGCGCATCCTTTTCTGGTCTTTGTCGGTGGCTCAGTAAAGCCGGTGTGATCGGTTTGATGCACAGAAAGCGAGAGTGATCTGTGAATGCCAGACCGTCTGCTAGCTTCGGCACTTGTTGGCTGCGGTCCAGGTTCCTGCTGATGATAATTCAGATCAGTGCCGGCATGACGATCAGCTACATGGCCCATGCCTTGGTGTTCACCAGAGAGGACACGCACAACCTCACACTCACATGCACTCGCACCCATACCCACCGCCCCCTCTCCCTCTCTCTTGCCTATGGGCAACACAAGGTGCCATGGTACAAGTAAGCAGTACGCCATTCATTGAATGCAGACCGGCACCTCCTAAAAATGTTGTGTTCGTGCCTATCGTAGCGAAACGAGGTACAGCGAACATGCGTTTCAACACACGCCGAGGTGAGCGAGTTTATGCTGGACCCGGGGGCGCCGATGGAAGCCCGATTTGCTGTTTTCCGCTATTACGGAACCTTCTCGGCAACCCTGCTCACCATGTTCGAGGTCTGGTCCAGCGTCCTCGCAAGATTCGCAGATGTTGCTGTTCCAGTCCTTTTTGAAGCTTCCATGGCAGTGTTGAAGCATATTGCACCACGAAGGGTGTGCTGGCACTGCTACCAACAGTTTTCCCCCGTTTTGCTTCTGGCTCCTTTGGGGCAGTCACTGCCTACCCCGATGACGATGAACGTCTTCAACCATTGTGCAGGTGCTTTTCGCCAACTGGGCACCCCCGTGTCGAGTTCTCATCGACTATGTCAGTGAGTGGTACGCGCTGGTGTTCATCATCTATCGCTGTTTCGTCGGGTTCGCTGTGAACCTTGTCTGATAAGCTCCGTCCCTGATTCTTGCGCTGCAAGGTGCCAGTTGCATTCGCGAACCCTTTTGCTTGCCACCAAGGCTGAACGTCGTCAACGCCGTCTTTGTCCAGAGCACGATGAAGGCCCGCTCAGCTTTTGCAGAAGGGAAGAAACTTCCAGTGTCTTAAATCCTCTGACACACACTGCATTCTACACACTGCATTTTCTCGTAGATTGAGGTTGCGCAGGCAGACGAGGAGGTCATGGCCAGGGAGAAGCGGAGGTCGGAGCAGGCCTTCCAGCGGAAAGTGTCGGCTCTCTTTAGGCAGGCCGACATCTCTGGGGACGGCAAGATCGATATGAAGGAGTTCAAGAGACTCCTGAAAGCGCCAAAGCTTCACTTGTGGTTGAGTCAGCTGGAAATTGAGACTACGGATCTCTGGGGTTTGTTCCAGATGCTGGATACAGGTGCCGGCCTCAGGATGTGAATCTGCAGAGCAAACATCTCGAGGCGTCTGGCGCAACTGTGCAACGTCACCTTTTGTGCTTTGCGAGGCGATGGGGAAATTTCATTGGAGGAGTTTGAAGCTGGCACCATGCGAATTAAAGGGATGGCCCGCAGCTTCGATCTAGCACAAGTGCACAGACTGGTCGAAAGGCTCAGCTTGAAGGTGGATGACATTGCCAGGCAAGTTTCTGCACAAAGCCCGTCTCTCTAAGCCGCCAAGGCTTAGGCGTGTTGCGTGGTATCTGGAAAGTTAGATCCAGCTTTCTAGCAAGCAGCTGCCTCCGTTGAAGACGGAGCAAGTTGGCTTCAAGACCTAGCTGCGATGTGGGTCGTAGGAAAAAAGGTTTTGCCGCCTCGAGCACTTGGCGAGCGGTAAGAAGGTCTGCTTGAAGGCGTGTTCTCCAAAACCTGCTTTGTACATGTCCAGCACCAAGCTGTCCTTCGATAGGAATTAGGACTCAAGTGTGGCAGATGTAGGGGATCATGCAGCCTTTGCCTCCGCCTGTGGGGGCCGTGCTCCCACATCCACCGGGACCGCCACCCCCTGGGTCAGTGCCGGCACCGCCCGCGCCTGCGGCGCCAGCAGCGCCAGCGACGCCAGCGGCGCCACGTGCTCCATTGGGTGCTGCTGTGGTGGGGGCACCACCCGCCCTGCAACGCGGCATCTCTTCAGCCGTGAGCCCAGAAACTTTGCGTGCAGAGGGCGAGCGCTTGCAGCAGCGGATCAACGAAGTCCTGGCCGCGCGAAGTCGTGGAGGGAGGTCAGACTTGGAAGAGAAGGTTCGCAATGAACAGCTTCAAAAGAAGGAGGAACTTGTCAGTAATTTGCAGCAGCAGCTGCAGGCCGAAACAGAAAAGCTGGAGCACGAAACTTTAGGGTACCGCTCCCAGATTCAAGACTACGAGTCCCAACGTGCTGCACTCAAGCTCCAGATCCAGCAGTCTAAAGCTCAATTCGAGACGTCCGACGCTGGGAAACTGCAGGAGGAGGTGATCCGTGCAGAGGAGCGCTCGAGGCAGCTCGAGGCCCAGCTGCGGCGGCTCGAGGCGAACTCCTTCCTGTCCAAGGTGGATGACCGTCGGGAGGCGAATGCACGCATCTCTGCCCTGGAGGATGTGCTACGGGTTAAGGTTGCAGAGCACCAGACGCTTGTGGACGATAATTTAGTGTTGGAGCAGGGGCGTGTGGCTGGAATCCAAGCAAAGCAGCGGCTTCAGGCCAAGTGCTTGGACCTGAAGCAGCGCAACGAGCAGCTGCAGGTCGAGATCGAGTCACAGACGGCGGAGATGCAGAAGGTTGAGCGTGAGATGCGGCTGATGCGTGAGCGCCTGCCGCCCGGCAACCAGGAAGCTCTAGAGGCAGCCCTATCCCAGATAGTGGGAGGCGCTTCAGCCGGGGCAGCCTTCGCTCGGCTTGAGCGGCCAGACCCGGCAGTGCCCTCACGCCTGGACCTGACAACGGCAGACTCGATGGAGCGTGTGGTTGAACGCTTGGGCCAGGAAAGGGACGACTTGAGGAGGCAGATTAGCATTCTTCGGGTGGAGCTGGACCGCGAGACGGCTGTCTCACAGAATTTCAAGGCTCTCCAAACACAGGAGCTCGAAGATGCCCGCATCAAGTCCCAGAGCTTCCTTCGAGATCGCGAGAAGTGGGCAAGGATTGCGGCAGCTCACTTGCAAAGCATCCAAGATCTGCAACGCCGCATTGCTGGCTTCGAGGATGTTACCCTTTCTGGCCAAAAACCGGATGATGCTCTTAGCGTGTCTGGCTTTTCGGATGTCTCGGACTTGGAGGATTGCGAAAATGCCCTGGACGTCTTTGTGGGCGTCGGGGCTATGGACCTTTCGGCGGCTGAGCGTCTGCAGGAATCCCTGCAGGTTGCCACTGGTGCCCCGCCACCGCCATCCGGATTGCCTTGCGCCCCAGACGAGCTCCGCACTCTTGTCAGCATCGAGTTCCTTGGATTTGATGTTGGTTTCACAGCCGTGGCTGCAGGCTTACAGCCTGTCTACGATTCCTTGGTGACTTTCGGCCCCTTCGCCATGACAGATGATGTGTTAGAGCAGCTGTCCACAACAAAGCTTGGGGTGGAGATCCATGGGTCCATGCCTGGTACAAGTCAACAACTCCTCCTTGGTCGTGGCGAGCTTCCAATGGCTGGGCTTCTCCAGTATGGCGTGCAAGCAACTCGAAATCCTGTGGCAGGTGGAGTTGTGGCTGTGAAAGATGTGTCCGATCCAGACATCCTCGTGGCGCAGCTGCGTGTAAAGATGCGCATGCGCTACTCCATGGAGGAACTTGCAGAAGACTTCAAGACTAGAGCGAAAGTTCGCCAGATGGACCGTGGCCGGGCAACAAAAACACATTCTCACCAGACTGTCCCATGTTTCGAGTGTCGAGAGAACCGTCACATGTTGCACAAGTTGTTCGGAATCGGGTTGACAAGTTGAGGGTTGCTAGATGTTGCTAGGCCTGCTAAAAGGACATGTTGGCATGACGGCCAGATGTGGCTGAAGCACACACCTTCGGTTTCACTCGCATGAGGCAGAACAGCATACTCTCTAAAATCAAAATGTATGGCCGAGCAGTTCTGTGAGCTCAAGCCTGCCGGCCAGTGCCTCTCAGAGGCTAAAGGGGGCACTGGCCATGCATGAGCGCGTGAAGCATCCGAGATGAGTTGCTGGGCTGTCGATCTCCGGACTGGCACGCGGCAGCTTTGCAGCTTGGCAGCTTGGCTCAAGCGAATATGTCGGTGGGACTGCGGGGCTGGCGTCGGCAGGTTAAGATGCTGGAGCATTGTATCACCTCAGGCGACGAACACCTGGAGCTACCGTGGTCTTGCCTTAGGGTGGAAGGCGCCGCAGATCATGTTATAAATGGTGCAGCGTCGCTGCCCCCCCTGGGGTTTCGGATTTAGGGGCTAAGGCAGCAGAGGTTTAGGTTTGACGGGTTTATGGTCTAGGGCTGAGGATTTTCAAGGTTTTGTGGGTTTTCCCTCGGCTCTTTGAGGGTTTTAAGGGGTTCTGATGGCGTTACTGGTTTGGGGTTTCGGTTTAGGGTTATTTTAGGGAGAGAGGGAGAGCGAGAGAGAGAGAGAGAGGGCTTGGGGCTTTAGGGTTTAGGTTTGGGGGTGGTGTGGGGGCATGCCATGGGAGGGGTGGTACTGACATGCGACGCGAACTCATATGTCATGTTTATCATGTATAGACGTGTGCACACATACATACATACATACATACATACATACATACATACTCACTTACTTACATACACATCGAATGAGCACACCCCACCCCCCCATGCACGCTATGCCCTTTGAAAAGTCAGCCTCCCAAAGTGGCAGGCACGATGAAGAGACATCATCGCTTTTCGCAGCAAGCCCGACGCCTCCATGACGGATTTGTGCAGAGCTAGAGATGCCACGCGTATCATCAAAAACGCTGGTCGGATCAGCTGGAAGAGGGTCCAGGCAGTTTTCTGCGACATGAGGGTGCTACAAGCTGAGACGAACGTGATCCACTACAGTGCTGCCATTTCTGTCCTCTTCGGCCATTGGCCCCTAGCCTTGGCCTTCCTGGAACACTGCAGTCAGGATACCGTCAGCTTCAATGCGATGTTAGGGGTTTTTGCCAAGAACGCCATGTGGCAAGTGGCACTGGACATGCTTTGTCGCCAAGATTCCATCGATTCTGCTATAGATGTGGACGTTGTCAGCTACAGCACAGTCGTCAGCGCATGTGAGAAGGCTGGGCGTTGGCGTGCTGCCATGGGAGTCCTGGCTTTGATGTCGGCAAAAACGACGAGGCCCAGCCTCGTCACCTTCAGCACAATTCTTAGCTCATGTGGCAAAGCAGGAGAGTGGGCAAAAGGCCTTACATGCTTGACAGAGATGCGGCGGCAGCTCTCTGAGCCCAACCTGATCACTCTGAACTCGGCGATTACATTGTGCGACAGGAGCTTCCAGTGGCAGGCAGCCCTTTTTACGGCATCCTGGCTTGGATGCCAGTCCTTAAATCCAGATGACATCACCTGCAGAGCCGCAATGAGTGCATGCCAGAAGGCCATCATCATGTCTATAGCTGCGGATGTAAGATGATGTGTAAGTACGCGGGTCGTCACATGTCAGCTCCCGTGGCTTGCAGGTGGGTCGATGGTCTCGCGTCATCGCTCTGCAGGAGCGAGGATACGCTACAGGCTTCAACCCGGGTGAGGTCGGCTGTCGCTCGGCCATGGACGCGTGCAGCGACTGGCACCTGTCTTTGGCGCTTTTTGCAACCTCACCTTCTGTGAGGCTCCATGAAGGTGTCTCAAATCACCCAGAGGACCTGAGGGCAAGCATGTCACTGAGTGCCCTCACGTCGGAGGACCTGCCTTGGCAGGCTGTCACGGAATTGCTTCGAGGCATGCGCCGTGGTGCAACCCGGCCGAATGAGATTTGCATCAACTCAGCCATGAGCATATTCTCGCGTCAGCAGTGGGACTTGGCTTTGAAACTCAATCAAGAGGAGAATTTCCACAGTTTCAATTGGAATGCCGCCATCGCAGCATGTCAGAGGGTCAGCCACTGGCAGCGAGCCTGCTGGATGCTTCGGGTACCAGGGATTGATGTGGTCGGCTTCAATTCGGCTTTGCGAGATGCGGACAAGTGGCAGCATGCCATGTGGCTCTTCGACAAGCTGACCCTTCAAGGCCTTCAGAGCACAGTCGTAAGCATCTCGCCAGCAGGCCTTAGCAGGCCTTGTCGCATGTAGGACCAGGCAGAATTCGGCAGAACATGCAATGACAAGCCATCCCCCAAGGCTTCAACTCGTTGGTGGCTGCTTATGAAAAGGGCAATCACTGGGACCTGGCAATGCTTGCTTTAAGCTTGGGCCGCTTGGGGAGACAGGCAAAGGAGGAGAAGGGGGAGGGCCTAGAGCCCACAACCGTTTCATGCAATGCCGCCCTGAGCGCTTGCGAGAAGCTCCCCCTCAGCAGTTGGGTCTGTACATGTCTGTCTGAGTACTACCAGCACAATTCTGCGACACCGCGTGTCTCCAGGCATTGCTTTTCCGGGGGTCGTGAGTGATATGGAGCATGTGCTCAGGTGCGGCTTGTGGACACAGTCACTGAGCTTGCTTTCGTCGCAGGCCCGCCGTCAGCGGCATTCTCTAAGTGGCCGCATGCAGCTGAAAGTGCCTCCGTAAATTTTACTGGCCTTCACCAATCCGTTTGGTTGGGGCCATAGGCCCGAGTATTGACGAATCCGACACGAAACCTGACACCACCCATACTTTGATTGTCACCCTATGCCAACCAACCTCTGTTCACGTGGTCATCGCATCATCAGGGCTGTTGCTGCACAGAAATGTCGTAAACGCTGTAACGAGAACCGGTGTGTTGTAACCGGGAATTTGTGCCAGGATTCCGCACGGGTCCCGTCCCTGTGACGAAGTGTCCCTAACCCGGTCCGCAAAAAGGCAGGAGAGCTCTGAAATCGGTGATAGATCGGATATAGCTGTAGGGTGGGGATGATCGAAGTATATCATGTTCAATACAAATCTGAGACGCATGCAAATCAGTATTTTGGCTTCAGTCAGGCCAGGCCTTCCAAGTATTTGCCAGCCTCTGTTTTGGCAGCCTGAGTGTTCACCTTGTTGCCGTCCTTGTGCTTTTTGGTGTGCTTGTGCTGTTCTTTTTTCTGGTCGCTTTGACTCGCATTTTTGGGGCTCGGGCTAATGGTCACTTGTACGTGCCGTGGTCTTTCTTCAAATGCCTCCGCATCGTGACCGAGTTCTTCAATCTCCGATTCTGAAAGAGAGCGTCCTGTTTTTGTCAGCCCAACCTGGGTTTTATGCATTGACACAGCAAAGACCACCTAGACAATTTAGGTGCGGTGGAAAGTTCGATCTCATGGAAAAAGAAGGGGATGGTGCGAAAAGAAGAAAGCAAAGTGTGTTTATGCGCTTTGGCTAGGGGGTGCGGGGTGTGGGGTTGCTTGAGTACTTGAGTTGTTTTTCGTGGCTTGGCTCGTGAGAGGACAGCACATACCCCTTCAAGGAAAGAAGGCACCAGACCTCCTGCCAGAGACATTTCAAGATGGGAAGCGCGACTGAGGAAGAGCCTGCTATCATGTGCCGGACAGGAGTTTTTCACGAAGGCGTGGCTGTCTCCAGACATCATCAGCTTCAGCGCGGCAGTCAGCGCCTGCGAGAAGGTTCGAAGCACATATTGAACTAGTTCGCAAGCTCTTTGAGCTACACAAAATAAGACAACATGTTACACTGATTATTATGCATATATATATATACAAATACAAATACAAATACATATACATATACATACACATATACAGATACACATACATATACATATACATATTATAAATAAATAAATACGTAAATAAATACATAAATAAATATATATGTACACACACACACACATATATATATATATATATATATCTGCATACATGCGCATGCTTTCGAGGCATCGAGTTGGCTCAACGCCCTCGGCCTCCTGGGCCGAGCTGCCGGTTGCCGTGTGCGCAGCAACCTGATCTGTGCCAATGCGGCGACCAGCGCTTGCGCAGCTCTTGTGGCAGATTGGGTCGTTCGTGACTTCAGTGACTTCAGTGACTTCAGTGACTTCAGTGACTTCAGTGACTTCAGTGACTTCAGTGACTGGAGCGTGTGGCGTTTGCATTTTCTAGCATGTGTTCACATCTGTTTTTCAGCACCCGTCTTTCCTTTTGCCATCTTTTGCCCAGGAGGGAGCCGGACAGTGGCAGGAAGCGTTGCAGAGCTTCGGGGCCATGCGGCGAAGTGCCCTGCAGCCGGACCTCCTCAGTGCCCTGGCGCGCCCGAGACATGAAGCATGCCAAAGTGCCAACACAAAGTAGCGAGGCCACAGCGCTGCGATGAGCGCCATGGAGAAGGCAGGCCGATGGCAGCTACCAACTTTGATCCTGCAGGAGACTGGGCTGCAAATAGGCCGCAAAAAGGGGGCAAGTAAGCTGCATGATCTAAATCTGACAACTCAGTGGTCTGAGGAAATGTCTGCTTGCATTTTGCATCCGGGATGCAATGCAGCGTTGGGGGGGGGGTTGATGCGCTTCACCGACGATGCGAGTTGCCATTCAGCACACGTGGGCCCAGAATGCTTTAACAGTCGCTTTCTGAGAGTGTCTGTCCCAGGCAAGCTGATGTTATTTGTTGCCAGGTGACCCGGCAAAGCACAAGGGCTCAAAAGAGGGACGGTGGGGGATGAAAGGGAGCTCAAGAGCGCACTCGAAACAAGTCGAGGTGGCCATCAGTGCTTGCGAGACGGCGGAGGTGGCACGAGCGGGCATTGAGCCGGCGAATGTTAACGATGGCTGACGCACTCAGCCGACCAGTTCAGGCCAATTCACACCACGAAGTTGTGCCCCACTGTTCTACGACATGAACAACTACGCCGAGAACACCGTCACTTCGCACGCATGGTCTAGCCAAGGGCCACGTCGGCGTCATTCACTGTTCCTCTCCCTCCCTAAGGGCGGCAATTGAGCGATCCAAGAAAAACTGACAGCGCGTACATGCAGACGACCATTTGGAGAGCCATCCGGAAGAGTGACCAGCCTCCTACATGTAGAACAGTATAGACGAAGACAGAATGAATTGGAAGGAAGCAAAAGAGTGATGAGTTGTGAGCGTTGCTGGCCGGACATATTTCTTGGATCTTGCATCTGTTTGAGCTGCCTGCTTTCTTTTGGCAGCTGTTTTCCTTCGAAGAATGCAGATCCGGCAGACCGGATGTTTGTAGCTTCCATGTGAACCCAAACTGTTGACATAACTAGTTTCATTTGGTTCAGATGAGTTGGGAAGTTGTTAAGCAAGCAAGATATTCCAACCATGCAGAATAGGATGGCGCTCATCATGCCAGTGGGCCGCGGCCGTGCAAACCGCCGGGCTCCACCGGCTGTGTGCCATGCTCGGGTGATTTGGGCTAGCCGACGAGCCGCTGGGGGCTTCAACGCGTTAAGGGGACTTGGGCCTCGTGGGGCCTCATGGGACCTCATGGCCTTTGTGTGCACTTTTGGACTTCTGGCCCGAGGTCTGCGCTGCTTGTGTTGACGCTGCCGCTCATGACCTTCCTGGGAGGCAACCAGGCCATGCTAGGCCTCTTCGACAGATGCAGGCGTATTTCGTGCGACGAGGAAGGTCTTTTTCTTAACTTTGTCACCCCCGCCGCGTTGTGGTGTCGCACCCTCGTTGCTGGATTGCACGTGCTTGTCCGTGACCTGAAGCCGAGCCCCGAGGCCCTCAACCTCTATGAGAGTCCTTGCAAAGCCCAAAGGACCACACAAAAACGGGGAGGAGTGATTGTTCTGTTCCGAGACACCCCGAACGTTCTTCAACAGAACAATTCTCACTTTGCGATCAGAGCCCAAGCCCGAAGCCCTTTGCAGATCCGTATGTGGAGAAGGCGTCGAAGGCACGTAGAAGCCCTGAGTCCAGCTTGCTGCAAGTTGCCAGGCGGGTCCCCATCGCCGTTCTGCTCATGGAGCATTTGCAGCAAGGCAGATGCCTTACTGCCAGCTGGAAGGCGACACCAGCAAGTACTTTTGTGTGCAAGGTCCTGGCGGGGTCGTGGTCGTGCGGCCACCACTAGGACTGGTGATGTTCAGGACAAAGAATGAGATGCGATTCATGCGCCCATTGCCCATTGCAGGAATGCGCTGGGGCCATTGAGCTGTGATCGTTGGTGGTGGACTGGTGGGGCTGGAGATGAGAGTGAAGAGGAGATTATGGTGGCTCGACAGCACCCCTCGAGTTGCACCCTGCATACCAGAGAACTCTTCAGGTTTTCGTTCCGATTCCTGATGGAGCTAAAGTGGAAGATGTCGTGGTGGACATCAGGCCGAAGTGTACAGTCTGCAGCGCCAAAGAACACAAAGAGGTGAGAAAGAGTAGAGAACAGCACACGAGCAAAGAGGAGCACGCGTGTATCGGGCGGAACCATTTTCTTCCAGCTCAGCCTTCGGGGGCACGTTAAAAAGAGAAGGGTAAACTGGAGCTGGGCGAATGAATGCGGCGCTCGAATTAAGTGCCATCTTTTCGCGGATAGGGGCGCATAAAGCCAGTTCTGCTGTGCTGCAGGCCAACGGGGACCAAATTTCCTCACTAGGTGGATCGGTTGGTTGCATGTGCATAACGCAGGCGGCCACGTGAGCTCTTCGAAATCTGGCCAAGGGGAGCGGAGAAGAGGGGTGACAAGACATCGGTAGGTTGCTAGGTTCGCAAACGCTTAAGTAGCGAACACAACAAGGGCAAAAGTGAGGGAGAGACAGAGGTTCGTGCTGCAAAGCCGAAGTGGAACAGATGCGAGGCACACGCAGCTGACTGTGGGCCTTAAGGGCGAGGCTCCGGTGCTCGATGGACCCTTGTGGAAGCGCATCAAGGCCGGAGCCTTTTAGATCTCATTGCATCTAATTCTTTTCTGCTGTGCTGTTCTTTTGTTCTTTTCAGGGTCACTCGACAGTCACGGAGGGCAAGCTTTGAGCACTTCGGATCTTCCTAGCTTCTCCTGGTTACAATTCTATGAGGCAGACGAGTCTGGGTGGGTCATTGACCAGGAGGATGGACAGCGCTGCATCATCGCAACTCTAATAAAGAACGACGCGCGGGACTTGGTGCAATCCGAGAGGTTGCTCATGAGCACGTTATGGGTTCAGCTGAGGTGTGGATTGTCCCTTGGCTGCGATTGGCCTGCAGAGGCGACACAGGCCAAAAGGTTCTGGTGATCCAGGCAGCAATCAGATGTATGCTGCCCGCGCGTCCGGTCGCTAAGGACTACGACTATCTCCTGAAGTCGCACGCACGGCGATTATCCAGTGCAGAAGACAGAGAAGACAAAAAGTTGCAAGTACACTAGAGTTGAAGACGCTGATGCAGAAGCTGTTCTTGTGTAGGCGGTGAGTATGGCCCTACCGAAAACCTGGACATTCAGGGGCTCAGAGTTGTACAGAGTCAGCCCCTGCGCGAGTCTGGCCATTCGAATGTGACAGGCATCATGGCTTGGTTTCAGCACTTTCTGTGTCATGAAGTTTCGGACATGAAACAGATGGTCCTTTGCAGCGTGATCTGCATGCCAGGTGCAATGCCGCCTGGAAGCAGCAACTGAACCTACTCGAGAGTTTGCACCTTGGACTACGCAAGAAGAAATCAGAAGAGGTCCTACGTCGCACTGTCACAAATCATATTCGCTACCGGATTAAATGTGCATGCAGCAGTACTTGGGTGAACAGACCACAGGAAGGCATCACTTACTTGCTTGTAAGAGGGACCCGGTTGAGGATAAATGCTTCGAATGGAACTGCCGCGCAGAGCTTATCGAGTATGGTCGTGTAAACTTGGCGAGGCTTCCTCATCATAGGCTGCTGACTGTTGGCTGACTGAACTAGTGGCTGCTGTATGGAAGTTGTTACATTGCATTGTCGCTGAACTAAACCGTCCTACCGCACGAGTGCTTATGCGTTTCACTGAGAAGCAAGGCCGGTCCACGACGGGGTGACAGGGCTTTGACCCCCAAAATGTGCTGACTTGTTCCTGCTTCGTGCGGCGTTGCATGCGGCAGGTACAGACATGTATAGTGAGTTGTGTTGCCAGTATGATCAGTATGGTCATTTTGTGTGTTGGCTGCAACGGGCTGCGTGGATCTTGCGGTCTGAGCCGAATGTACTTAAGAGACGTCAAACCCTGGCACAGCTTTGGCTTGGATTTTATTGCATGCATCCTTTCGCCATCCAAACAAACACCTTTCATGTAACCATTTGGCCCGTGGTTCGCGCCGCACATGTTGTTTGCAATTGTCTTTCGAAGCAGCAGCCAGCAGGAGATTCCTTGCATCCTGAATCTTGAGCCCGGATGCTTTGAGTGCTCCTTTCCTCTTCTGCGTCATATTGTGCTACGTTCTACGTAGCATTCGCAAATTCGACATGAGCAGCCGTGTTTTCGGCAGACTTCCTAACCAGTCTTTGCGCAAATCAAACCCGTAGCAACAAGGAGTGCGGGTTTCAATGCTTGCCGCGCTTGCCCCTGTTTTCCAGGCTTCTTCAAGCCAGAGGCAACAAATCGTAACACTACCTTCTAAGGAAGAGCAGGCAACTTTGGTGGCCTAAGTAGGGGGCTCAGGCTAAGGATGTGGGTGGCATGAGCTTCTGCTTCGGCTGCAACCCCAACTTGAAGCCCTGAGCCGTGCACCGTGCACTGTACACTTGCTGGGGCAGTTTGCTGCTGCGCGCAGATGGGGAGTGGCTACCGTAGTGTTGCCGGTTGGCGAGAGGATCAAATCGCAAGTTTCGTGTGCTTCAAAGGTGAGGTTTTGACGCGCGTGTAAATCGGTAAGGGGGATGCGACGGCCGTTTTGTGTTTGCTGTGAAGGTCGGGGGTTTGCTGCTTCTGCTGCTGCGGCGTATAGATCAAGATGGCTTTTTCGGCGTTGCTAAATTTGCCTTCGCCCTAACCGATGGAACGGGATGGAACGGGATCGACCTTTTCCCACATGACTCACATGACCAGCTAGGCGATGTCATGTCAATTGCCTTCATTTGACAAGATCCTTCTTTCATTTTTCTTCCTTGTTCTTCCAATCGGAGGCATGCAGCGAGCAGTTGGGTGGTTCTGCACACACGCGACGTGACGACCTGACGACATGATGGAGAGTTTCGTGCTGCTGTGGTCCGTCTGGTCCGTGACTGTGGCCTGGGCCGAAAATTTCTGCAATGGGCAGTTTTGTGCTTTGGGACTTTGTGACTTTGTGACTTTGTGTTATCATTTTTGCTGCTCTTTACCGCGGTCCTCGTCATGAAGCTCGGAGGCGGTGGCGGCCGCTTCATGCCTCCGGCAGACAGGCGCACCTCACAGGGGCTCTACATTCTCTACATCTGCACGCAAGCGGCTAAGAAGCTGCAAGTTGCACTCTCCAGACTCTGCCAGAGGCCCGCTGCTGGTGCAGGCCCTGGCCCAAGTGTGAGTCGTGGGAGTCGGGCCGTTTGTGTGTTCCCGATGGCTATCGATGGCTGAGGTTGCCGTGAAAAACTTCACCGACGTGCGCCACACCGCCCTGGCTGACGGAGGCGCTCTTAGTGCTTCTGTGAATCCTATTGAATTCTGTGATCAGACCGAGACCGAAAACACCGAAGAAAGATTCTCAGGCATCACTGGTTTTGTGAGCGCTGGCCAGATGATCCACGACACTCAAGCACTCATTCCGCTGACGCGTGACGATCGCGGTCTTGTGTCGCGTTTGCCTTGCCTCTCTGTGCTGGAGCTGAACCAGACTTTTGACATGAACGCGCGTTGTCCTTCGGAGTGTCCATACCACGCCTTGGCTCCTGACCTGGGGTTCTGCAGCGCTGCCTGTGTGCGCCCTTCCAGCTGCGCAGCCTTCAATCCAGATGCACCAGTGGAAGACGCCAGCAGGGGCATCTGTCGCGGTGCTCAAGTGGATGGCCTCAGCCTAAGCTTAATTTCCTAGTACGGCCGAGAAGCTTCTCACGAACTTCTACTCGTAGTAGCATCTTGGGAGGAGTTTAAACTACGACCACGGCTCCTATTCGCCGCATTGAGGTTGCTTTCGGCCAAGCCTCGATGGCACAGACACGTGCATCACATGCGGGCCTTGGTATGACCGCACCGAAGATGGGCAGTGCAGAGCACGCTACATGTGGGCAGCCTGGACTGGCTTGGGGCTTCTTGCTGCGCTGGCTATCGCCATAGTTGTCTATGTGGTGGACTTGAACTTCCGCTCAACTGTGAACTCTGCTGGCTTGGAGTGTGGCCTTGCAAGCAGGTCAAGACAGAAGTATCGCACAGGTCCGGCACGAGAGTTGTGGTCCTTAACCACGAATCTCTGTGACACCTGCGTCGGGGGGCCGGGCCTTCTGCTTTACTTCAACTTCCTGGCAACAGTTCCTCGGTTCAAGAAGGCTGTTGCAGCTGCTGCTGCCGCTGCCTGTATTTTCTGGATTCAGGTTTGTGCAAATTACTCACGAGACTTCGTCTCCCACTCTTCTATACTGCCTCTACTCCCAAAACATGTTGCTGTGTTGCAACGCCGCAGATCTCAGGTTATCGTTTGGTCTGCAGCTGTCGGGCTTGCATGGGTCATCGTGGCCTATGTCGCAGCTCGGGGGACCATTTCAAGCCACACAAGTCAGAAAAGAGTAGAGTCTTATGAGTCTTATGGGATCCAGTAGAGCGCTATACAAAGCGTAGCAGAGAAAGTTTAGTTCAAAACAGTTTGTAGACTTCCACATGCGGGCACTTAAGTCAGCAGCAGCCACGCCCTCGCGCTGCTCCCCGAGGTCGATCAGGACCTCCTGATACTGGGGCGGAAGGAGTACGGAACTCCGTACAGGAAAGTGGGCGCAATGGCATGCTGCTTCTACTTCTACTTCTTCCATGAAGTAGAACGAAATAAGCACGATGTCCAGCCAGGAACTGTGTCTTGGTTGCTTGGGGCTATGTTGCGCAGCAGAGGCCACAAAGTTGCGCCAGCGCATTCCATTCTTCGCCGGCTGATCCTGCGTGCAGGGCTGTTTAAACCGAATCGGCCAGGCTCATGTGGGCCAAGCTGAGCTTTCTACTTGGCGTTTATGTCGCAGCTCGGAGTTGCAACGAGGGGTTTCCGCTTGGCTGCAAGCGTGGGCCAACAAGCCTGCGGTGGAATGTGCAGTCGTGCTCGCAGGTGACATTCCTGGGTTGCCTACTGCATGGTGTGCGCCAGCGGCGCCTTTTCCAGCAGAGCAACGTGACTTGGCTTGGCACTGCTGCTTCCAAATTTGTGCTGACGCGGACAAGTTCTGCCTTCTTTGCCACAAGGTGATGGACACAATGAAGGCTGAATGAAGATTGATATGTCAAGACATGCTTTGCACTGCTTTCATGCCCCAGCAGGCTTTTGCGGCATTGGTGAAAGGTCTACCAGAGGTTCGTGCATCAGAGGCCATGCAAGTCCAGGCTTCAGGTAGGGTGCTTGCAGAGTGCGGCGGCGTCAGGCCCAAGTTGAAGCCGAACTGGCCGATTTGGTCACTGCTCTGGGCGGCCGCTGGCTCGCGCTGGGGCTTTGCGACTCTTGCAGCTAAACAGCGAAGCCACACCAGCAAAACTCGCCAAGGACAGCCGGTATTGGGAGTTTCCGAGCCTTGTATGCACTTTATGGCGCTCTGCTCCAACGGCTCCCTCGACGCCCTCGGGCACGACTGGGCAGCAATTGGGCCCAAGACGTTACCGGTAGCAAAGCTACAATTCAGCCCTAAAGATCCAAGCCTTGGACCAAACGAGCACGCCAGCTATTGAGGCAGACGCTACACGTGCGAGATTTCAATTTCCTTGTGTCTGATGTGCACACTTTTGCAATTGGGACACATGTAGGGCTGCGCTCTCACACGCGCAGACGCACACACTCACCGCACGGATAGGTGCAGGGGTAGGACTGGATTTGCCGGTCCAAGCATTGTCATAGGGCTTGACAAACCTGTTTGGTTTTACGATGCCATGTGGCGATGGCGCTGTCATGGCCGCGGTGTTGCCGAACGCACACTCTGGAAGTGCGCGCGCTCTTGCAGAGCCCGAGCACAACTCAGAGCCCTGTGCACTCCTTGCAAGCCTTTCCAGCCTTGCCAGTCCCAATCTCCCCAACTTCTCCCAGCGCTTCACCGCTTTCACTGGAAGAGATGGAGGAGCTTGCCCAGCTACACGCATCAAGCGATGGCGATGCCTGGCTAATGTTGGTGGGCGGTGAGCACGGAGGTAGGATGCGACCTGATTATGAAGGCACACGACCCGGCCCTTACCTTGCAGGACACTGCTCGCTACAGTGGGTGGGGCAGGTGTACTCCAGGCTGTTGCCCTTCTTCGGCAAAAACCGTGTGTTGGTCATTGCGCAGCTCAAAGAGACGCTGCAGTGGCTGACGGAAGCCAGCCGAGATGCCGAAGCGGCAGAAAGGCTGGCAGGGCGGTCGTCGCTCTTGCCCATGTTGCGACAACAGCTGGTCGAAACAACCGAATCATGCCGGGAGCTCTTAGCCAATGGCGGCGCTGACTATGATGGCTCGGACGTCAACCCGGCCACGGTCTTGCGCGTTTTGCGGGGCGATGCTGGCAAGACCTCTCAGCCATCTCAGCCTGTGGTTCCCCAACGTGGAGTCAAGTCCCTCTTGCTGATCTTGATCAGTCATGGCCACGCACACCCTGCCGGGCCAGAGACGAAGCACCACGAATGGTATATGCACCTGCCATACCCGGTTCCTGACAGTGAGGCCTCACTGTACGAGGTGGTCTCACACGAAGGTTTCCGAGATGTGGACCCTTGTCTGCAATTGCTCTGCAAATGCATACGCAACACGCCAAGATTACTTTTGCTGCAGAAATCCACTTGCCTGCTATTGTTGTAGGCCAGGCTCGCTGCTCCGGATTGCGTCAAAAAACCAACTCGCCACGTATTCACAAGCTTCTCATCCACTGTATGCAAGTCCCTCTACGTTCGGTGGCTCTGGCTTTCAACTGACTGCACTTTAGGCCATGATAAGAATCACAATCAAACTGGGGCATGGGACTTCAAGGAACACGTCAAGCATAACATTTGCGGTTGATGTGAGGCCGTCAGACAGCCCAGGCGACGAGTTCAGAGATGTGGTGTGCTTGGAAATACTCCTTTTGCAGCAAGATTTCTCTTCGCAGCAAGTCGCTTCCTGCTAACTTCAATGCACATGCTGTGAACCTACCGGGGTTAATTACTTTTCTTTTGGCGTGACATTTCACACTTTTTTCGGTCCCTTTCGCTTCTTGCATGCAGTCACGAAGACCACCTTTTGCAAATCGTCGCTTGTCTCACGAATGGGTGGATCCAGGAGGCGCAGCCTTTGACATAAATCGTCGTTGTTCGAGAGAGTCTTTATGAGTCTTTCATAGTCTTTCTTCGCCAGGTGTATGTTATCAGCTCCGAAGACGTACCGCGTGCAGGTCATCATGTCGAATCTCGAGACAGCTCTCGAGCTTGGAAGGTTTGAATCTACTACTTGTATAGAGGAAGGTCTATACACACTTCAGAAAAAAACCCAGGACCCGCATCCCGACTGGGACTGGGGAGCTCCAAAGCACCGCTGGCGCCTGTACTCGCAGATGCTCTTCCAAGCCTACCACTCCGTCCTGGAACAGTCGCCGCAAAGGCGGATGGTGGTCTTCCACCAGTTTTGCTTGTCGGGTGGAGCTGTGGAGTTCATGCGGCGCCCCGGTTACCGCCGCTACTTCGGGACCCGCTACTGGCCAGTGTTCGCTGTGACCACGGCAGGATGCTTCGAGCCGGCCTTGGGCAGCTTCGTTGGGATTTGGAGTGAGGAGCTGCAGCGCGGATTGGAGTTGGGAGGCCGCCAGAGCCTGCAGGACCTTCAAGGACAGGCAGAGAGCCGGTACTGGGAGGACAACTCGGGCTTGAAGAAAGAGAACGATCGCATCCTAGCATCGCGCGAGGATGGCGGTGAGTCAGTGGATAGCACAGATGGCACGGTGGATGGTACTGTGGGCTCTGTGGGCTGTGAGTCGGGCTTTGACAGCAAGTCTGGGCAAGAGATGGCAGCATTACCCATCTCTGAGCTTGTGAACTTCGTGAACTTTTTGAGCGATGCTTCGCAGGTAGAAAGTTCTCAGAGCCAAGCCTGAAGCTCTGTTGTCACGCTGTTGATACCACACGTGATCCATCGTGATCCCTCTGTGTCAAAGGTCTCCGACAGCTCGCCAGTTCGCGCTTAAGAAGTGTGAAACACCATGTTCCGCCCATCAATCAAGACGACTCATAAAATCTCAGAAGCCTAACTGGCCCTAACTGGCAAAGCCAGCCAAGAAACACGACAGGCTTAGGCTTAGTCGTTGACGGCAGCAATCGGCAAAAGTTGCGTTGTTTGACCGGTGTGGGACCAGATGATGTAGAGGCTGTGGCCTATCGTGGGATGTCATTAAGTCGAGGTTTGCTGGAACTTCGGCGATCATCAGGACATGCCTGCTTCAGTCCTGTGCCTCCCCTTGCCTGCCCTTCGTGGAATCTGCAGTGGAAGCTGCAAGGAGCAGGTGAAGGCTTTGATGCGTGACACGAGCGACTCGGAGGCAGAGCCTCCAGGCCAACCAGCGAGTCTGGAGCCTGAAGGAACCTCGCTGGCAGTTGGCGCTTTGAAGGTCGCAAAAGTCACATAAACGAGAAGTCTTCCGCCACTCCTTCCGTGAATTTTGCATACCGAGGAAACCTGCGGAGGTGTCTTGTCGGGCGCAGTGCGGCCCATTGTGCCTCTTGTGTGGCATCCTGTATCTGAGGGCCATCTTCTGGGCCGAGAAGAGATTGCTGCAGTCTTTGGAGGGCGCCCAGGACATGTCACAAGCGCGAACCTTCAAGTCTTGAATGAGTCTTGAGCAAACTGCGCCAGGAAGTGCAGGAAGATGCCGCGCAGCAGCTGCTTGCTTTCACATCTTTCACCGGTGGTGTCATTCCTCGGTCCACTGCCCTTTCGTTTGCGACTCGTGAAAGCTAAATCGACATGCTGCTGCCACAGGCTGCTGCAGAACATACCATCAAGTCGCACAGCTGCATACTGTATGCCCAAGTTTACTGCCAAGAAATGCGTCTGTCATCAGAGCAGTGACTTTGGGGCAAGGTGCGGAGGCATTCGTGGTTTTCGACACTCGCTCTGCTCGCGATAGTGCACTTGCAACACTGCCGGAGACCTTTCAGTTCCGAGGCCGGGGAAAGCTGCATGATTGTGCCTGTCGGAAGTGCAGCGCGTCTGGGCCTGTGTGCAGGTTCTTCCATCAGCTTATCCGCTCCCGCCCCAGATTCTTACATTTCCCACACGCTACCATGGGGGAAGCCAGAGCTAGAGGCTGCACGTCACGAACCTCGAGGCATTTACTGGCACCTTGGCACATATTATCCTGTAGTGCCATGTGCAATCTAGAGTCTAGAAGAGGTCGTTGTTCCTTGCTCACATGTACCTCAGGCAAAACTACAGCCGATCTACTGTTCGTCTGAAGTGCTGGAAGATCACAAAAGGCAGCACACGCCACATGTGTCTCCACACTAAGCATAGATTTTGGCGAAAGGCTTACATTTGGCTTTCGGATTGCTCGGAACTTCTCGCCAAGAGCTCGCCATACAACTCCGTATCAAGTTCAGATTGCATCGTCTCCCCATTTGCCTCCATAGTGCATGATGTCCCACTGTCCGTCGGGACAGTCGCGATCGCTACCTGCATCCCAAGTTGCCAAGCACTCCGATTTGCGTGATGCGAAACACCTGGTAACCTGAAGTCGCAGGTCTTTTCTGCATTGCTGCTGGCTTGACCACGTGGGCATGCGCCGAGCCTACGGTGTGCCTACGGAGCCTATGGTGTCCCTATGGAGTCATGTTGTCATTGTTCGTGTACTTTGTGTGCCTTGTGACCTGAGGCGTCTTTTACTTACCCTATGCCTGGTCTGTCCTCACTTTTAACTACGAGGCCCAGTCGGGGAGTTTCAACTGCAGCGTAAAAAGCCTTTGGCCTGGGCACCAGGGTGGGCGGCAGCCTGGGCTCGTCTACAGCCTTTGCTTCTCTCTGGTTTCACGCTTACGTAATGCTGTAGGTCCGTGTGGCCTGTGTGCTATTGTGTGCTTGATTTTGCTTCTTTCTGGCCAGAGGGCCAAAATTTCTAAGATCGTCGTGGTGGGCAATGCTTCTATGTATGAGATCTGCGCGCGAGTGTCCGACAATGTCGGCTTCAAGTACAAAGAGACACGGGAAGCATGCTACATGCCACTGGCCTGCAATCGTTCCCATGCGCCATCATGCTTAAAGAACTTCCTAGCACATCTTGGCACAGACGTTTGAGGATCTTGTATTTGGTCTCGGTATCGCTCAACATAATTTTGGATCTTGCGACACTTGGATGCAATGTGATCTTCAGCAGGGAAGGAGAACAGAGGTGTCAGGTTGCGCACGTGCAGGATGACATACCAGATGTCGTTTGCGATCATGGTCCACATGGGCTTTCGCACACATGATGGGACGCCGCTGTCAAAGCTCCCGTACTTTGTCGAGCGCTTCGAGGTCTCGTCGTAGTTGTATCATCGGTTGCCTTCGCGCGGCTTTGAGACGCGCGTCATTCTGTCATTCTATTTGCGTTCTTTCTTGAGAAGGCTTATGCCATCCAGCGTGCGATGGGGCAAAATTTGCACCCACGGCGGCAGGGAGGGCCGGACGGTGTGATTTTCTTGTCACAGCCTATATTACGCATGCTTCTGCCCGTGCAAGGTACGAGTATGCCTTTCCTTCGACGTTTCTTCTGCCATTTGTTTTCGAGCCGTTCGTGACCATCTATGCTGGCCACCAAGCTGCTGCTGCAGCAAAGTCTCATCAACATTAACCGAACGCTGATTCCCAGGGGCTCCTCCGTGCGGGCATCTTGCTGGTGCGCTCACATCCGGAGATGAGACTGGTCCTGTGGTTCTGCGGTGTATCCCGAGTATGACGGTATTCGAACAGGTGATCGGCTGACTAAGGAGCCCAATGCTTGCCACGGCATTGCTTTCAGCCAATGATTTCGAGTTTGGCCGCTATGCCGATACGCTCTTGAATGTCTTTCTGGCAGTCACCCAGCACAGACTTATTGGTTCAGAATTTGTGGCGGCTAGCGAAGAACGACCTTGTGCGGCCAGCTCGCCAAGGTGATGATGTTCTTCTTTCCAGGCCCAGTGTTCGGCAAGCAGTAGGTCCTTGCGGACAGGTGGTTGGCTGACAGGCGGTTACACGCATTGGATCTTCTTTATGCTGGCCATCTGTCAGGCACGAGAGGATGAGGGTCTGTCGTCAAGGTTTGCTTTGCTGGTTGATGTCCATGCACTTTCCAAATGTTTCGCAGCTGCTCAAGCCCTCACGAGCGCCTAGAATTGCCATGGAGCGAGCCGCCACACCATCTAATGTGGCAGGCCTTCTCCATAGGCTTCCCAAGACTACATAGACTGCAGATGTTTGTTTGGCAGGACCTGGCCCACCAGAGCTTGCGGCACTGCAGACCCTGAGACCTGGTGCCAGCGATGCAGAGTTGCAGCAGGCGACCAGTGCTGTTGTCGGATCGCAAGCAGGCCGCCGTGCTGCATTGCGCTGCATCACTGTCACTGTGGCAGGTACTGCACCCCTTCTTGGAGAGTTGGCGGAGGAATCCCAGGTGAGGGGCCACGCAGATGCCGGACCAACCAGATAGTTGTGACAGTGGCCAGGTTCAGCACGGCTGTTCTAAGCCGGCTGGCGAAGCGGAAGCAGGCTGCCCTTGCCCAACAGGCGAGCACACTGTTGAAGGAGCTGAGCCTTTCGTCTCAAAATCTTTCTTCTGCGCTGAGAGTGACTCCGATTGAAAGGTCCTTCGTGCAATGCAGGGCAGTGATGTGAAGTTGAATGTCTACCACTGCAGCTCAGCCATCAGTGCGCTAGAGAAGGCGCTTTCAGACTTGCGTGTGTCCTTTTGTGTTTGTAGCCTTGCTACTCCCCTGCAAGATCAATGACTGGTGCGGTGCTTTGAAGCTGCTCCCTGGACTTTCGCTTGAGAAGATTTGACTTGAGAAGATTTGAGAGGGATCTATTGGAAGTCTGCTTCGTGAAGGTTGTGTGTGCTAGCTTAGGCTTGAAGACATGATCCGCTGGAATGTGCCGCCGAATACTATGAGCGGCTCCATTGCACCGAATGGCACCACATTGAACAGCGTTGCGCTGCAGCAGGGGCCTGTCTTGGCCTTGCTGCTCATGCCTTCAGCCACTGTCAGGCTACAATGCCTCCATCAGTGCGTGCGAGAAATGTGGTGAGTGGCAGCAAGCCCTGTGGCTGCTGCACAGAATGCAAGCTTCTTGCTTGGGAGCGGGCTATTTCATTTCCACATGTCTACTTGGCTCACCTGGCCAGCGTCAACCACATCATGTTTGAGCTTAGGCTGCCCAGGCGGAAGCGGATGTCATAAGCTACAACTCGTGCATTAGCGCTTGTGGGAAGGCCTCCGGGCTTGTCGCACTTTGCCAGACTTGCTGTTGCGTTGTTGTTTTTTGCATTTTCATGGCAGGCAGCTCACTGGCAAGAGGCGGTACATCTGTTGGAGGTCTGGCTCAGGGACGTTGCAGTGGACCTCTGTCCTTTCTCTTGTTTCGGCGCTCAGTTTGAAATGAGGCGCTTGTCCAGCAAGATTCTCCAGATAGCATCAGCTCCTCGATTCGGTTATCGCTTGAGCCAGTAAACTCAGTAAACAAAAGCAGTCCATCTGGAAGTGTGGAGGCTTCAATGCTGCCATCACTGCTTGCGAGAAGGGTGCCCAGTGGCCGCGAGCGCTCATGTCGCCAGTCTATTCTTAGTCTTTTCGGGCTAGTGTGTTGGTACAGGGAAGTAGGTTTTCGCAAGTGATGTCGGGAACCCTCAGGCTTCTACACGGAATGCCGTCGCACCTTCCAAACGTTCTGGGCTGAACGTCCCGTTCGTGGCAAGTGCACAGGTCCACACTACAGTGACAAATGTGCCAGCGAGGTCACCACATACAATGCCACGATCAGTGCTTGCGAAAAAGGGGGTCGTGCTGAGCACGCTATATGTTTGCTTGATGAGATGATTGACCGCTCACTGCCTCCAGATGTGACTGGGATTGCGTCTTGCTTCCTTTGCTTCCTCGGCTGCGACATGCCGTGTACTCGGCACTTAGCGACTGCTTGGCCCACAGAGGTGATCTCGTACAGCGCTGTTGTCAGTGCCTGTGAGAAGGACCTCTTCAGGAATATGCTGCAAGGATCATGTCAGATCGCGTGGCTGGAAGGACTGGCGATGGCAGGATGTGCTTCAACTCTTGGCGGTCATGAATCATTGCAGGAATCTTTGCAACAACGAGCACGCACTCTTTAGATGTTGGCCCCAGAAAATCTTCCAGACTTGAATGTGAACCGTGGAGTACTCAGGATACTGCCGAACCTCATTACCTTCAATGCTGCCATAAGCAGCTGTGCAAAAGCAGGTAAGTGGTTCATCGCTTTGGAGCTGCCACTTGTCCTGGAGAGGGCCGCCCAATTTTCACACACACACACACACACACACACACACACACACACACACACACACACACACACACACACACACACACACACACACACACACACACACACACACCCCCACACACACACACACACACACACACACACACAAACACACACACACACACACACACACACACACACACACACACACACACACACACACACACACACACACACACACACACACACACACACACACACACACACACACACACACACACACACACACACACACTTGTGCAATCTCCACACCAAGTCTTGGGGTCCTGTTTACCTGGTCTACACCTCACAATCATGAAGTTCCCAACTTGCTAAAATGATTCGTGAGACTGAAGAAATCGCAGGTACACAGAACTGGCCAAGTTCTGCATCCCATGAGATCAGGTAGCTTCATTGGATGTGGTCCCTGATCTCACGCCACATCCCCCTGCATGCTCTAACGGTAACAGCTCTTCACACTTGCTCCCTTGGCAACAGGGCTGGCACACACACACACACACCCTTCAATCAGAAGAGTGGAGCTCTTGCAGCCATTGAGCACAAGCATAGTCAAGTTCAAGTTCAAGAACATGCGCAGCTGCCACAATCTCTGCTGGTCAGAATTGCGAAAAGCTGCTGGCAACAGACTGAGCATGTACTGCACGCAACGCTGCAAGTCAGTGAGAATCACTCGCTGCCACGAAGAAACTTGCACTTGCAATCATCTGGCTCTACCCGCAGGATTCTGCATGCCACATCTCTGCGCTGCTAACACGGAAGACTACAGCACTACAGGAACTTGACCACTCTCAACACGCTGCGTAAACAATGGTACACCGACCAACACTCACGCAACATCACTTGGGTGGAGATAACCCTGGCTGAAGTCTCTAACAGGATGGATCGACAACTGGCGTAGGACCTGTTCGGTATCTGGTTTGAACATCAGCAGACTGTGGACACAGTCAATTTCACTCGCTCAAAAGTGCAGCAGTTGAGGGGGAAAAGCTGACAGGCTGTTGCTCCGATCAGGGAGCCCCCTGCATGCTCTAACGGTAACAGCTCTTCACACTTTTTCTTTTGGCAACAGGGTTGGCACACACACACACACACCCTTCAATCAGAAGAGTGGAGCTCTTGCAGCCATTGAGCACAAGCATAAAGTCAAGTTCAAGTTCAAGAACATGCGCAGCTGCCACAATCTCTGCTGGTCAGAAGTGCGAAAATCTGCGGCAACAGACTGAGCATGTACTGCACGCAACGCTGCAAGTCAGTGAGAATCACTCGGTGCCACGAAGAAACTTGCACTTGCAACCGTCTGGCTCTACCCGCAGGATTCTGCATTCCACATCTCTGCGCTGCTGACACGGAAGACTACAGCACTACAGGAACTTGATCACTCTCAACACGCTGCGTAAACAATGGTACACCGACCAACACTCACGCAACATCACTTGGGTGGAGATAACCCTGGCTGAAGTCTCTAACAGGATGGATCGACAACTGGCGTAAGACCTGTTCGGTATCTGGTTTGAACATCAGCAGACTGTGGACACAGTCAATTTCACTCGCTCAAAGGTGCAGCAGTTGAGGGGGGAAATGCTGACAGGCTGTTGCTCCGATCAGGGAGCTCAGGATGGTCAATCAAGACCATAGTATCAGGCAGGCAACCCTGCTGCAGACAGTGCGATAGACGAATACTGCCTGGAGCACACTTGTGCAATCTCCACACCAAGTCTTGGGGTCCTGTTTACCTGGTCTACACCTCACAATCCTGAAGTTCCCAACTTGCTAAAATGATTCGTGAGACTGAAGAAATCGCAGGTACACAGAACTGGCCAAGTTCTGCATCCCATGAGATCAGGTAGCTTCATTGGATGTGGTCCCTGATCTCACGCCACATCCCCCTGCATGCTCTAACGGTAACAGCTCTTCACACTTGCTCCCTTGGCAACAGGGCTGGCACACACACACACACACACACCAACACACACACACACACACACCAACACACACACACACACACACCCCACACACACACACACACACACGTCTTCTTGTGTAACCTACACAGAGACATAGCCCACAAGGGTTAGTACACCACGCAGTGCACTATGTATGAGTTTAGAAGCAGAAGTATAAAATGTATAAGTGACCGTGTTGAAAGTGCCGAGGCTTAGGGGCATGGCAAAAGTTGAAGTGCGGGCCGACGTGATCAGCTACAACTCCCTGATCCATGGCTTCTCCATCATGGCGTATTGGCAGCGTGCGCTGGACACTCTTGAATGCCGCTCGGTCGCACGTCGCAACTCGAAGAACGAAGCCTGTAGGTGATCAACTTCGGTCGTTGTATAACAAATGGAGCGCGACACGCATACCGACGTTGTCGCCAAGTTTCGGGATGAAACAGAGAACAGGTTCTTGCCACAACCGAGTCAACCTAGCGGATAGAGCAACACGCGCAGACAGTCTGTCTTATGGAGGGTCTCGTCATGTCCAGTCGCTGGCTTAATTGGATGATGGGTGTCCGTTCTAGGTCACCTCCGAGAGTCTCAAAACATGCCAGTAGACCTTGGGAGAAACATGCGGGACACAGCAAAGACACCAACAGGAAACAAGGCAAAACAGACTCAGAGCCCGAGCTGACACCACAGCCAGGGCATACCAGCATGCTTGTACGAGCGTTGCACGCTCGGGCTTGGACAAGTCCCTATGGCCGATTTGAAGATGCCACTAGAATGTGTCGATGAATTTGATGAAAATTTGATGGCTTGGAGGCATGGATCTTCTGCGCATTGCGCCCACGACAATCACCATCAATGCAGCCATGAGTGCGTGCGACATGGGTGGCCACGCAGTGTGGTCGATCCATATTTACGAGAGGTTGTTTCAGGCCTGTTCCTTGGAGCAGTTGTGAAGCAGATTCCAGGAAGTCCAAGCGTGCCCTCTCTCGAAGGCGATCACTCCGAACCCCGTCTCCTACGCCGTGGCCGCCAAGGCTTACGAGACGCTGGGAGATTGGGCCAAGGCCGTGTTCCGGTTTGCACTCAGGATGGAAAGTTGTTGTGGCGGTGTAGACTGCAGCTTCATGGGCTTTCGGTGGTCGCCACGCATCCCTGAATAGGCTGTTGGAGTGCTAGCGGCCATGAGACTGGGCAAGATTCCGCCAAGCATCGTGTGCTTCCTGGCAGTGCCAAAGACGTGCGCTTTAAGAAGCCTTGACTGTCTGTAGCCAGGTAACTCCGGTACACATCCTGTGGCATGAGCCCAGGCTATGGGTCTGTGCTGCAAGCGAGCACGAGAGCGGCCCGTCACATGGAGAGTCGCAGCGTTATGGACCACCTGTAGCTTGGTCCAAGCAACACTCTGATGACTTTCGCCCAGCAGCCTTGTGCACATCAGAAATCGTCAGGGCCACACAGAACTTCTGCTCAGGTCCAACCTTGCCATGTTGCAGTGTGGAGCGATGTGGACCGGCACAGAGCCACGGAGTCGCACACGGGACAAAAGGAAGAAGCAAAGTGGTGTGGCAATGGTGTTTGCGTCGTGCTGCTGACGATCAGGGTCTGCGCCTGTCCAGAAATTCGTGACAGGCCTACATGTACCTGCTGGATCACTGGCGCATTCTTCGGGTAGTGCCCGCAACCACCTTCGCATCAATGCAGGTGGATTGGTGGTGTCAGGTGGGAGTCAGGGCACTTCTTGGAGGAAGTAGAAAACTCAAAGCGCGACACACAAGCCACCAACTCTGGAAGGCTGCATTGGCTCCAAGTTGTGGGCTTCTTGCATCTTGCGTTGTCTTCAAAGGCAACTGCCAGAAAGTTGGGTATTGCACCTTGCCCTTTCCACATGTTTGACTCAAAGCAGGCACAAGCCGATGGCGCCACATTCTGCCACTAAGTCTCCGTGTCGCTAGAAAAGCCCAGCCCAGGCCTGGAGCCGCAGCACCTCATCCTCGCTTGTGTTGGTGCCGGTGTGCTTCACACGGTACCGCGCTGCGTATTCTACATGCGACATAGCTAGAATGCTACTTGATAGCTTCAGAGCGGGTTAGGAATGTGGCTGGCACTTGGTGTGCATGCAGGTCGTCCACATTCTTCTGCTCATCTTCTTGGTTCCGCGCTTGTCCCGTGCAAGCACGCCGGCCGCTTCGCAGCAGCCATTGCCTGGCATATTCGCAGCACGTAGCATTCCACGGTACACGGCAGCTTGCATTGCTTCGGACACGCAGTTGTCTTGAGGCCCGGATGGCGCCATCCCAGGCAACACGTTATGAAGATGTAGCTTCCGCCGAAGCTTGCACGCATTTCGCTCTCTTAGCATTGATGTTCGCTCTCTTAGCACTGATGGAAGTCGCAAGACCAAGGAGCCATGCACTTGGTTCTCGGCGAATCCAGTCCATTGCTTGCGCTCGAAGTACATTCATGGCCACAAGCCGCCGTGCAGTTTCTTCGTGTCCGGGCAGGTGCCGCAGACCTCATGTGGTCACGAAACCTTTTAGAATGCCCCAGAAACCCTGGAAGGAGCAGCGTATGGTGGTAAACATGAGCGCTGGCAGCTTCTTTGCAGCCAAAGCTACGAAGGCCTTGAGCGTAAAAATATCCGTTCAACCGGCAAATTTTTTGCGACCTTTGAGACTGCCGAATTGGTGTTGGCAGCAGTCTTCCGTTCTGGGGCAGCTCCCTACTGCCTATGCAGTTTCTCTCTCTCGCCAAGTTGGTCTTGCACAGGCGGAAGACATCGCCGAGTTTGAGCTGCAGATTCCTCGCCTTGCAGGATAGGTGTGCTGAACAGACCAGCAAATCATGGAGTTGCTTGAGTATCACGTGGGTCAGGACTGTGGGAGCTGCTCCCCTTTCGCCTTGCTGCCGTTGGGCTGCTTTCAGAAGAAGACACAACATGTGCAGTATGCGCGCGGCTGTGCAGTCGGCCGTTCAGAGCCGTCGCTTCAGAGCCGTCGCTTCCTTTGTTTCATGTGGCAGTCACTAAGGCATTCTCCAGAAGCAGGAGCTGATGAGTTGATGGCACAGTGAACTGTCAGCTGCAGCCGTCCTCACACGAGCCGTCTGACTGGTTCAAAGCCAGGCCATGCCTCTTTTGTCCTCCCTCTGGCACAAGCCCAGGGGAGTGCACGGAGGGCTTTGGACTGAGCCGTGAAAGTTCAAGCTGCCCGGCTTCTGGCACGTACTTCGCACTGTCGTCGGCCCCTGCCAAAGCGATTCGGAACTCGGGAAATTGGCTCAAGGCTCCCTGGTATAGCCAGGGATGTGCCCATTTTGGGCGTGGAGGTAGCTGCCAAGAGGGTCCAGCAAGGGTGTGTATCATTGATCTTGTTTCAAGGCTAGCTTCATATGGCCTTGCCAGCTGGATTGGGGCTCTGCTCGTGTTGCATGCACGTTTCGCAGAGATAAGCCTTTAGTCTCATGTAGCTTGGAATCATGGGCGGCCGGCACAGTGCCGCAAAGGATGAGGTGGTGCAGTTTTCAGACCCATCGCCCAAGGCGACAGGCGTCTCGCCATGATCCGAACCTCTGTACTCGCTCCGCGCTTTTGTCTGTTTTGGTCTTCGCTGGCATCCCTGCACCTCTGCTCTAGCAATGCTCTCAGGCATGGTCGCACCCAATGCAGAAGTCCTCTTGCAAGACTACTCATCTCTGGTCCTCCTTAGTTGCCCGGCGACAACTCGGAGCGCGCATTGCATGTCAGCACCAGCTTATGACCGTGGCTGCCAGGTCTGCGATGTGAGAGTCTGCGAAAAGGCCGATGCTCTCCTCATACCGAATCGTCAGCGCCAGCATGCCGAGATGATGCCCATGTGATGCTAGCACCTTCTTCAGCCAAGGAAACACGGTTGCTGTGGTGTATTCCAAGCTGGGCACGGACGACCTTTGGACAGAGCATCTCGCCCATTGCATGTTGTCTGGCACTGTTCAACCTGCAGGCATGTCTTCTAGAGCCAGTCATCTAGGCAGGTGTTAACAGAGCGACGACAGCCAAAGCTGTCATTTGTTTCCCGACTTGTTGAAGGCACAAAGCCATCATGTGCTATATGCTATAGGCTGTATGCTTACCGAGGTACGGTTCGACCGAGATCTGCGGACAGGATACACGGTGGCCTGTCTGGGAGAAGATGTTCGAGCTGCAGTTCCGCATAGTCGCTCAGCTTCACCTGATAAACTCCAGCTGTCGTTAGCTTTCGAGCATGTGATGGGAGTTGTCCATGAGCCTGAATTGTTTGATTCAGAAATACAAGTTTCTGAAGTCAAGCCGGGTATGCCGAATATGGAAGACACGCGCTGATTCCAGAGCGGCCACGGACCCCACCTACCTTGTGTCTTTCTGCTGTATTTTATCCTTCGCAGCGCCGGATTGAGCCTCATTGAGCGTTGGCATCCGTTGCAGTGGCGAGCGACAATTGCGTGCCTCTGTCTGTAGCTAACCTTCCTGCTGTTTGTTGGTTGGCTCTGGTCGTTTGGTCCAGGAGTTGAGGCAACTAAGTGCTACTTTGTGATAACTGATGCTTGGCGTGAAATGAGGCGGCAATCGAAATGCACAGCAGCAATGGACGACGACAAGACTTTCCCACCCCCCCCCCCCCCCCCCCCCCCCATCCCAACCTGTTGTATCGTATGCCCTCGTTCCCCGTCTGTTCTCCTCCCTGGCCGTGTCCACTGACACTGTTTTGGCGCGAGGGACGAGAACCCACCAAAACAAACTAGGTACTTTCGGGTGTGTCTTGCCCTTGTATGCTGTTGTATACTTCACGCAGGGGATTTGAAGATAAGTCGCACTTTAAATGAAACTTCTCTGGCGTATTGCCATCCCTGAATATAATTTTTGGGGCATGGTTTCCTGTCTAGTGCTCGTTAGTCCCCGTGCTGTTGGGTGGGTTTCTTGTTTGCCGATGCAGGCAAAAGGCTAGGAGAACCATGTGTTATTGCTTTGAAAAGCCCACTAGTGTTTCCTTGTGGCTATAATAACTTGTATGAATACGCAGCCATTGAACCTATGACTGGCTTCAGCGTGCCCTGCGGCCGAAGCGGCCAGTCGGGTTCCTCTCTCCTTTCCCGTTCTTTCCCATCTGATCAACCACGACTCGTCAACTGGTCCGACTGGTCCTTGCGGAGTGGCTCCTGACCCGAGGAACACGTTCGCCTGATCAGGGTGGAGATTTACATCATCCGCGACTTGGCATAGTTACTACACGCAGTCTGCGAGAGCGAGCTGGACAGCTTTCAAGCAAAGCCACTTACACATAAGCTGGGGGGTTTGTCGATGCTTCACTTGCGAGGCAACCAGAACATGCAAGAAGACTTGATGGAGCAGAAGTTCGTTGGCTCTGCCGAGTTCAACCTTGCAGAGGCCGTGTATGCACGATCCAACCCAAAGCATCACGGGTGGCTCAAGAAGAAGCTGGAGAATGTGCGAAGGAGCTCCGGCTGTGCTGGCATCCTGAATGTAACGTTTCATGATGTGCTCATCCAAGGAAGCCGCGCGACCCCCCGCTTGGCAAGCTCTTTGTGTATGCTGAGGAATCCATGAATGCAAAGGTTGATTCCCGGCTGCAGGCACCCAAAGGCCTCGCTGTCGCGACTGCCTCTCAACCAAGGAACTTTCGTTCTCACTTACTGCGCACGACTTGAAGTCCACAGATTTCTGGAAGCGGAAGTGCGATCCGTATTTTATGATGAACCGCATCGAGGCGATTGGGGTCCTCGGAGTAATCTTGTTTGAGCAATGGCTGGATCAGATTGTCACCCCCCCCTGTTGCAGGGTGTCTACGACACTGGCGAGCTGTACCTTGCTCCAGTCTTTCGAAGCGAAGTGGTTCGAAAGACCGGCGAGCCGACTTTCGAGGACGCAGGGCAAGGGGGGCGGGCTCTGATTTGCGCTGCCGCGAGTGGAGACGTGTATGGAAGGAAAGCAGCTACACTGTGGCTCAGACGGGCTGCTGCGACATCTACCAAGATGTTATCCTCACAGATGGGGCCTTAATATTTAACTATGCCAGCCAGCTTGCACACTGTGCTCGCCATCAAGGTGCATGATTGGTTTCGTCTGAGTGATGATCGCTATATCGGCGAGTGTGTCACCACGTTCGAGGAGTGGAAGTGACTTAGGTGATTGGGGTGTTTGGCAGGCGGTGGCCGGTATGACGCTGCTATGTGCCGAGGAGCTGCAGAAAATCGTGGGCAGGGGAAATCCCCACACTTTCCCGCTTTTCAGAAGAGAGGGTCCGAGGTGCGGCAACTCTCTGCGTGTGGGAATCCAGTAGAATAGCCCGGCAAGGTGAGAGGGGCCCGTTTGAGTGAACTCTTGGATACATGGTGCAGGATTTCTGGGATGACCCGGATGAAAACCACGATGGCCATGCTACGCTCTGCAACCAAGAGCAGCAGAACTGGGTCGGGTTCAAGGCCGGACGATTCCCATAAGCCATAGGCTTTGGTCTGGAAAGTGCTTTTGGGAGAGCCAGGTCGGGGTCCAACTCGCGGGCGGCATCCTCACTGTCTGCTGAGCGGGCAGACAGCAAGAGGACACAGCACTGAACTCGGGGAGCGACAGTGTCCGAGAGTTTTCAGACGCCCCGCCGCCCTGTGTTGTTTGTGAGAAGTGCCTGAGAAGCGCGCTGGACCGCGCAGGAAGAGTACAAACGCCTCCGGGGAGAAGCGAACAGCATCGCGCCTTACCGCGAGGCCGCGCCTTGCAACAAGTGTCAAAACATGTCACGAGTATGTCATGTCTCGCATCGTCTCGTATTGGGTGTTTCGACTTATGCATTTTCTCGGTGCGTTGGAGGACGGGGTCCCAAATATCCGGAGGGCACAGGCGCCTCACGAGTCAGGGGATGCTCGGGCAAGCGAAAGGTGAAGTGCATCTTTTGCCACACTTTTGCCACATGCTACGGCTGTTCTAAAGCAGGACCTCGTCACAGATCTCGGGGCACTCGAAGGTAAGCCAGTCATCGGGCGGGACACAAACCGTATCAATGACATCCTCAGAAGTTCGGAATCAACAAGGCCTGGGGTTGTGATGGCTGTCATACGTTATTGTTTGTGCCATTTTTTGGGACTGTGCTCAAGCTTTGCTCAACCTTTGCTTCCCCCCACTTGGGCCCTCAACAGCGTGCCTTTTGCGTTTTTCTTTTTGCTTCGTGCGAGGCAAGGGCAACTTTGGCCCTCTCGTCGGGTCGATTACCTTAGATGGTCATCGGTTTAAGAGGCACTACACTTTTTTGGACTACTTGCGTGGTGGCTTGGAGCTTCAGCTCATGGTGGCGATCGACTTCACGCGATCCAACCTTGGCCAGACGAACCCCAGCTCGATGTTGCCTGATTGCATTTCTCCGAGGCTGTGCGGGCAAGTTTCTGTCTAGCCCGGTCTGGGTCAGGGGGAAGCGATGGTGTAGTCAACTTCTTTACTGGGCAGTACGTTCTGGGGCTTTTGGGAATTTAAGTCTGCGATCCGAGGCATAGTGTGGTGAAGCTTGATGAAGAGACTGCGTATGCGACTGCTATCCGAGCGCTGGGGGAGGTAATGTCTGTGTACGATAATGACAAATGTTACCCCATCTATGGTTTTGGGGCTAAAATTCCGCCATCACACTCAGTTCGGAGCTGAGATATCAGCAGTGCAGAGCGAGCACTTGGAGTCAACCATGGATTCATGTAAGCGGCACCCTGGCAGAAAAAGTATCTCCATTCGAAGACTTTGTGCTGAGGTCGTATCCAACTGTTTTGCTCTGACTGGCGATTTTTTCCAGCCGGAGGTTGAAGGCATCTGAGAAGCAGAAGAACTTGCACGAAACCCGGCAATGTATACAGGGAGCCTATGGGAGCCTGTCATTGTCACGAGGCGTGGAGGGCATGCTCAAGGCGTACCATCGCGCTCTTCGAATTTGTCACCTCCACGGACCGTCATATCTTGCCGCAGCCTAGCTGCAACCATCTGCAACCCAAGTCTTCTCGGCTGGAGTCTATAGCCAGATTGGTTGGCATGACTGGTTGTCAGATGAGTTTGCAGCACAGTCTGCCGGAGCCAAGGATGTTGTCAAGCTGGCAGCGAACATGGCGAGGCACAGGAGTTGGTACAAAGCACGAGAAGCATTCGGGCCCGTTCCGAGGCCGTACATCCAGCCCAAGGTTTTGAAGATGACCGAGACCCCACCAGACATGAGGTGCACCCACACCAGTACATGGTTATGTGAGCATCGCACATGGTCTCCAATCCGAGTCCGTACCTTGCCACATTGTCCACATAGGTACTTTGTGCTTTTGGTGCTGACGGATGGTGACATCGAGGTGCCATTTTTTGCACTACCATTTGTTGCGGCAGATACTTTTTGGCCGGGCATTGGCCACCTGTCATCTCGTGACACACACATTCACAAACTGCTGGACCAATGTGGTCGGAATCTTCTTCGCTTTGGTGCATTCCCTGCAGCTTATGAGGCTGAATCGAAGTGTAGTTCCATGCATGACACATGAAGGGCTGTGTCAAATAGGTAGCTCACGGGAGCGCTCCCACCGAGATGGCCCGGAGGGACTTAGCTTGAGTCAGAGTAACTCCAGTCTATCTTCTGACAGAGCCAGCGGATGGGGCTGTAGACCGCCATGCCAGACTTTGAGCCTGTGTGTCACTGTGACATAAGCTCTGGCCCCCGGGGCTAAACCTCGGCACGGCCTCGCAATAACAGCCTCAGCGCTTTTGACAGCTTTAAAGAGGGGGCGCACGCCTTTTAGTAGGAGTAGGACCCATCTAACTTAAGAGCAAGAAGGTCAGATAGCACTCTTGGAAGCTCAACCACAATGTCGAGATCTCTGTCAGTGGAGACTGGCAGTGCTCGCATCCTGAATGAAGAGGCGCCAGACAGGAGACATCCCAGACGCCCAAGTGATAAAATTTGAGCTAGTTACAGCTGGTTCAGCAGCTAGTTGCAGATACAGATCAGGACGTCAAGGCCAGCATGGGTGACCAGACTGTCTCACGGGCTATTTCCGCTGCCTTGGCAAGTGTAGCCATGAGCTGCCATGAACGCCGCTGGTAGTTCGCTTCTACAGTCAAAGCCGCAACCCGTGTGCCGAGGTTTCTTAAATTGAGGCATGCGACGGAGGAGCCTTTTTGGAGACGATGTTGTGAATCACATCGCACTCCCAGGCCTGTACGGACAGTGCAAGCACGGTCAACAAATCATTTTTCGGGCCGTGAGCTTCTTTTTCGTGGAAGGCCATCGGAGACCTTCCTGGCTGGCTTGGGGTTTTGGTTGGTAGCTGTGGCTGTTGTGTGTGGCACAGTTGCATAGCTCTGGACTTCAAGTCGTATGTGCAATGTCCAAGACTTGCCATGCTGCTTGTTGTCAAGGCTATCTACTGTTGACGATTTCGTCGACGACCTTCTTGATGAAAGAAGTACCAGTACCGGGCTCCAACTCCACGAAATATGAGGCTGTTTCCAAATTTCCTGGCTGCCGGGTTCTCAATCCTGGACCCCCTGGGACCCGCTTGCTTGCCCACGCGTCACTGCGCAGACATCGTCCTGAAGAGCCGAGGTGGTCGTCACATCTACTACTTCTTGCTGGCAAAGCGAATTGTGGAGGTTCTACTGCTGAACCACCTTTGCGGAAACCTGATGGAGCCCCTCCCAGAGCCACGGCTTATCACCCTGCCATGCCCCGCCGCAGTTTTCTACAGCATGTGGGGTTGAGGACATGTATCAGAAGCGCTTCGCGGATCTGGAGCACCTACAGCCATACGGGGTCGTGCGCGGGTTCCAGAGGGCTGTGAACTGTCTCCTCAGGCTCGGCGACACCGTTTCGAGAGCTTAATTGTAAACGCTTGCGCGCCCCAGGACAGGAAAGGAGGAAAGAGGGTTTCGCAAAAAAAGGGGAGGAAGGGCAGAGGGGTCGAAGGGGGGGCGGGGGGGGGGGGGGGGGGGGGGGGGGGGGGGGGGGGGGGGGGGGGGGGGGGGGGGGGGTCCCAAAGGGTGGCGTCAGAAAATTTTGCAGGGGGGAAGGGTTGGGGGGAAGGAGGCCCGATCCGGGTCTGCTTGTTCCAGACGCTTCTCGGCGAATTCGTAACAAGTCGCCAGCAATGGAGTCTCTTTCGCCAGGCGTCATCATCGTGAGAAATGGCTGACATCCTTTGTCCCAGACTACATCCTGCTGCTACTGGCAGGTTTGCTGGGAATTGTATACATCATTGTTCTGTGCGCCCGGAAGCTGGACGTCCACATCTACCAGGAAACGGAGCACTTCATCATTGCACGGAATGATCCGGGCAGTGCTGCCCTGCTGATTTTAGATTCCGTGGCATATGCTTACACCATGGTGCTCGTCACCGGCTTCCTTCTCTGCACCTTAGAAGAGAATGTGGTTTCGAAGCCAGATCGTCAGCGCGAGTTCTTCGGCTCGCTAGCTCTCTTCATCATGCTTTGGGGCACCAATTTTTTCACGACCCTCTATGACCGGCAGATTTACTCCGGCGTGACTTGGTTTGATTTGCTATTGAAATTTGATGGGTCCGTACCCAGAGGTTGAAACTCTTTTGTGATAGTGTCTGCCGAGGCATGGGGGATAGGCCCAGCGCCAGCAGCCTTCCGGGTAGTAGCAGCAGCCGCGCAGGTGTTCGTAACCCATTCGATGGTTTCTCGGCCTTAGTACTTGCGCTGTTAGAATTTATGTAGCACAGGTTGTATGCACTTTATGCACTACGTCTTACTTTTTTGATAGCACTAGCATGAGGTTATGATGGGAGCAGTGCTTTTTGGTCACTCTGCGCATTTGCGGCGAACGCCAGACCTCACATGGATGGATTTTCTTAGCAAACTCTTGCCAAGGTGCGCCAGGGTGAAATTGTTTTCAACGGTTATCTCGCGTTTTTCGTGCATTAAGCTTTCTACACCTGCGTGCCTATTGTGCCCTTGAAGCGCGCTGCTTATCATCGTTGCTGCCGTGTGGGTGGGTTTGATGCGCAAGTTCCACCAACATGCTGAGTGCTACCCGGATGGCTTCTTGGTCTTTGCCCAGACTTGGCCATACTTTAACGCGCTGCTATCTAGCCTGGGCGGGCTGGCATTGATCCTGCTGACTTTCTGCGGTGCGCCGCGGCGAGATGGTGGAGAGTTGGACTTCATGAACGAGCTGGATTCTCTGTGAGGGCAGAGTAAAGGTAAGAATCATGGAGCTTAACATCATGGTCTAGATCCAGCTGGTGCAGAGGAACTAGTAGTCAGTTGGACTTTTCTGGTGTGTAACGACTGAAACTGTTCTGAACAGTGCGAGGCACTTGTTCAACTATAGAGTTCGTAACTTCAAAAGCCTAAGGATTACGATTCCATTCTGATCTTGCTCACGGTGTCTCTTGCTGTGATCGGTAACATCAACACCGTATATGCGACGCTGTTCTCAATTTTGCTCCACATTTGCGGCAGCATGGCTTCTGAAGTTTCTGTTGCAACATATACACTTGTAGAGACTTCCAACGCGTACACCTTGATTGGTATCTGTATATCTGCATATAGAGTCAGCTCAGTAACCAGATGTTGCCTGTTGTCTGTGCACAGCCGTTGTACTTACTAGGATGGAAGCCTCCAGCAACTTGGCTTGATCTCAGATCCCATAAGCAGCTTGCGAGTGTCAGCATTCAGCATCATCTTCTCGGCTGATGTGAGGAGCTTTGGCCAGCTTCCTTGGTGCTTTGGCACAGCTGCTGGCCCCCGTCGGCCTCTCCACATTTGCCTTCGCCGCCTGGAAAGACCCTCCGCGCCGAAACGAGCACAGGAGAGGGCAGTTCTGGGAACCCATAACTAGGTAGGCCCTTAGGACTTTTTTTTGTGTTTTCCCTGATGGGGTTTAGAGGATAATTCAGGAATATTTTTCAGAGGGTTTTAACTAGGTAAGGAAACGGAAAGGCCCAGCCAATGTGCTTGTACGACTCACCACATGGCTGTCTCAGAGGAGCAAAGGCTTGTGGCTGGGTCTGGTGTGCCTAGTCTTGTCTTGGCGACATGCTTTCGGGCTGATGTTGAAGCCGTGGTGCAGTAGCTGGCCATTTCACATCCTGAGGCTTGCGGGCATCATGTTCATCAACTACCAGCGACTCAGCATGCATGCGAGTCACCTTCCCCGTGTGTCACTGCAAGTTCTTTGCTGCGTTCAGTCCTCTGCCAGCTCTCTCTCTCTCTCTCTCCAGGAATCTTGAGGATTGCGAGATCGCTTCTGACCCTCTGACGATCAGTCAAGAAGAAGTGTGAACTGGGCTGTTACAAGTTGTTTGGACGTCCTGGCGGCTGGCAAATGCATTCCAAGGACATGCCTGGATGTTGTTCCTACCCAGGATTTCCTGAATACAACCACCACGAGCACCGGAACCTGAAGTGCAGCAAAGATCTGCGCTGCATGGTAACGCAGTTTGATGCACCGTGTGATCTCGGGGATGCGGAGGATATTGAGCCTGATGCTGAGAAACGCTACAAGACAGATCAGTATGGTGCATCTGGCCAATTTCTCCTTTTCTGATCGAGAAGCCCAAAAACTCTTATGAGCATGAGGTGTGCCAAGCTGTCGTTTCCAAACTCAGGTCGCTGAATATTTCGAATTTGAAGGAGGCCAGCTGACTGTCCTTTGTCAATCATGTGTGCCGCGGCCACACCTCGTTGGTTGAGGGCCCCACCCCACCTTGCATAAGCTTTGTTTGGGCTGGTGGCATGAAGTCCCCCGCTCATTGCAAACCTTGGACCTGCAAACGCCTGCACGCAAGCCACAGTCTTGTGTTGCACTTACCAGTGATGGCAGAAATGGGCTGCAATGGTGGCAGGGTTCTTCGGGAGCCCCAAAAAACTCCCAAGCCAAACCCTGGACAAGTTGCCTCAGCCAAGCACCGTCAAGTATGAACACATGAGCTGCACAGTTGCCATTGCCAGCAGGGCTCGCGCACTCGATGCTTCACTATCCTCATCGTGCTCGTCGTGCTTTTTGCAGAAAGCCCACCCTAAGTTTGCCCTGGTTGCATCTGCACGCTTGTGGAAAGAGTCGGAACATGTGAGCAGGAGTTCTCTCAAGACTTGTGTGATGAACTAGACGATCGATGGTACAAGTTGCTTGGATTGAGCAACCTCTTCCCGGAATAATGCGGGGGACACCAGACCCTACATGAGCAAAAATGACCGGACCTGGCACGGCTGAGTTACACCCTCCCGGACGCCACGGGCTACTCCTTCGCGATGCAGGCCTCCGATGCCATGGTCACAAGAATTCTTGGGTTTGGTCCTCACTTAGAAGCCTGCAAGCCAAATAGGACCCGTTGAGCCCTCAGAAGCCTTCGCCAGGATGCCCAGGAGGAGGAAGCCGATGAGTCCACAGCGTACAAGCTCTTCAAGACGATCGGCCAGGCTGCTGGAGTGGAGAGACTGGCTCTGCCTAGCAAAACAAAGCTTAACAAAAAGAGAGTGGCAGTTTCGAATTAAGGTTGGGTGGGGGGGGGGGGTGGGCTTCATGAAGGGCCTCTGCCATACATAATCTTCTGTACCCTTGTCGTCGGGCGTTAAGTCCAAGGATGTACTTCACCATCTTTGGCGTGCTGCTGAAGGTGGTTTTCTTGACACAGCACCCGAACTCAGACGCTTGCGCAGCACTTATTCAGACATCGGGGCTTTCTCCCAGCAGCAATGCTACTTACTCGTACCATATAGAGGAAGCTTCGTTATTTTACACACTGCGTGCCCCCGCCTCGGCCTGGTCCGGTGCGCAAGGGTTTTAGGGCTCTGGGTGTTCGGGTCAATTTGTCAGTAGCTCCTGAGAGGTCCGACAGTTAGTGGAGAATATTTCCATTTTCTATCCACGCACCACCCCTATTTAGCACACAAATAGCAGCCTCTACCTCAACCTTTGACCCACCGACCCAAGACCCACCTGAAGAACCCATGCTATGGAGCCATGCATGCCCCCATAGCCTAACCCGAGAAATGGACATGGTCTTCTCTAATCAAATATCTATAATAGGAGAAAGGTTTAGTAATAGTGGTGCATGGTTAGAGAATGGAAGTTGTCTCCACTAACTCCGACTGGGGGCGGGTGGATGCTCAAAGCAAGTCCCCAAAAGCTGGGTGCAATTTCAGGGCCTCGTGGGAGGGGATGCGAATTATTTCAGGCTTGTTTCATCAGACGTTTTGGCACCAACGATGCTTCAGACTGTGTGCGCCTTCTTGCACGTTATCGCCCATCGTCAATTTTTGAGGAGCGGGCCAGGAGACGTGTCATCGCCGCATCGTGCTGATCTCGAGATCTCGGTCTATGTGTCTACTGTATACATATGCACGCCCAATTGTATTTACGAACAATTGCCGCACGCACGCGACCATTCCTCAACCATGAATGGTCTGTGCCGGAGGGTCTCAATCAAGAACAAGCTTCCGCAGCCTACAAGTACGTGGGTTGCAGGCCGCAAGCCTTCATAGACGCCTGTCCAAGTCAGGAGCAGATCCTCCTCCTCGATGTGCATCATCACCAGGCTGAGAGCTGTGTTTCAGTTTGAGCCGAAAGATGCCTCTGCAGTAAGTAGCCCGGGAAACCGAAGAGGAAGCCATGCGGCTTATCGACGATACCTGCGCACTTATGCGCTGCTTAGAAAGGCAAACTTGGCAAACACCAATGCGTTGAGACTTACAAACCGAGAAGTTTACGAGCCACCCAATGTGTCTGTTGCCACTGGTTTTCACAGTGATCGAGTACCGTGAACCTGCCCAAGACTGTGACACTAACCGTAGTGCATGGCATGCTGCCATGTTGCGGGGCAGACTTTCCGCCATTCCCGAGAGTTTGGACTCTGGCTGTGCATGTCTCTGCCGGCGTAGGTGGACCCCCACACCGGCCGGAATGAGCTGCTCTCCTTCGTCTCACATTGAGGGGCTCACCCGCAGAAGCCATTGTAGGCAACATGCTTGGTGACAGCGCCCGTCAAAACATCCGAGTGTCTTGCGACTTCGCAGAGCTGCAGTTGGCGGGCATGCTTTCCGCACTTTTGTCTGGTGGCCGTTGCCACCCCTTGGAACTTGAAGCGGCAAGTGGCGGTAAGCACCATGCTCCTCTCATCGTAGTTCCATTGTTTCGTTGATCTTGGTGCGCGCTTCTGCTGTTCAACTTTAGCTGTCTATTCTGATCGCAGGATCAAGAAGAAGTTGTCCGACAAGTCAGGCATCTGATGATGGACGTTTTTTGGTATACATTCCTGGCTAATCTGGCTGTGAACTGCTGTGGCAGGGAATGCATGGACATACCGTTGTCTGTGATTTTCGTGGGCATTGGAGTTTCCCAGGCAATGCGCACTTGTGTCCTGTGCATATGTTCCACAATCTCATTGAATGTGTTGCTGCAAGAACTGGCACGTTGCATCAGGACTTCAAGTTCCTCAAAGAACTCGCAAAGGACATAGGGCAGATCTTGAAGATGAAGGGAGATGAAGGCGACCATGAGCACTGGTGGTACGCGTGATTAAGATTGCCGCGCGAGCCATTCAAAGCTGTTGGGGCTCGAGCAGTGTTGGACACGCAAGGATTCTCTTAGTTCACCGACTGAGCAGGAAGCGATCTTCTGGGCATGTTTTTGGTGAGAGTGCAACCTAACTCTAGCCCCTTGCTGCTCACAGCTCCGCATCGGCTTTTCGTTAAGTGCGAAATTCCTGTATGGATCCTGGGCATCAGAAGTTGGCTTCAGTTGGATCCCTCGCACTTCTTCCAAACTGCGTGCAAGGGGCTCAGGAAGCCATCATAGGAATCATAGGGCACAGTGGGGGTGAAACAGCACCCGCAAAGCTCAGGCACACATTGCTCCTTTGGTTTTTGCCAGATGGCGCACTGTGCCCCGCCTCTTTTCAAGTGATGGGCTCTATGTGCAGAGATAGCTCAGACATTGCTAAGCTTTCCGTGTGAAGTTGTTTGCAGGTGCAGGCTCTGCAACTCCAGCCACTTCACGTGCACTGCTGCAAATGAGCACCCGTCGTGGCAGCAGCGGGTTCTGCAAAGATTTGGTGGCGAGTTCCTGGAGCTTGGCTACCAGCTTCCGAAGGAGTGGAAGCAACTCCACAATCGGCTCACGAAAGCTTCTGACAGCTTGAGCTGGCTGGGAGGTGGGTTGCCGCCCCCCCCCCCCCCCCCCCCCCCCCCCCCCCCCACCGCAACTTCCCCTGTTGACTCTTGCAAGCGTCGTCAGAGCGGTAGCAGTCTCAGGCGCAGAGCCTCATCAAAGACGCTCCCGTTTTCCGACTGGCTCAGCCCGGCAAGACATGGAGTTGCAGCCGAGACAGCAAGATGCAGGTTTCTTAATTTCTCGACTGGCAACTAGCTGTAGTTAACTAGCTTGCAACTGACGACCTGAGACGGCGCTGGGAGGCAATGGTCCCTGGTGGTACCAGATGAGTCTCTTGGGACTCTTGGGGCTCTGGCAGTTTTGTGCTATGATGGTCGATCTTGCTCCTTGCATGTTCCTTGGCATAGAGAGGCTGATGGAGAGTATTGAGAGTCGTTGGGATTTCGAGTGTTTATCTTATCGTGCCTTTCGTGACTTTCGCGACCTTCGTGCAAGTTACAAAGGACTTGGCTACGGAGAAGGTCACCGTTCTCTGGAGCAGTCGATGGAATGAGGGGATCGAGCCACTGCGTGCTGTGGTTGGTCAAGGCTGCATCTACCTCCTTGCTTGTGCCTCAAAGGCCTGGCGGGTCTCATTATGCTTGCTGCACCCAGTGGCCCTGAGCATGCTGCGCATTGCAATGCGAACAGGTTGACATCTACTCTTACAGCGGCTCGCGCCAAGGAGAGTCTTGCTCAAAATGGAAGCTGTTTGAATTTGTCTGGTCAACTCCTACTCTTTGCTTGGTGAAACATGTGAGACGAGCTGGTGAGTCTGTTTCAAGTAGCTGAGGAACTAACGCTTGGACAGGGCAAGAAGCTTGACCTCTTGCGCAGCGCGACCGACTTATTTCTTGCAGAGGGCAGGTTGATCATAGAGAGCTCCTCCGAGTTGCTTGTGTGGAACACCGCTGCTCGTTCTCACCTTTGCTGCATTCCGCCCGAAGCTCATGCAGAAACGGAAGCCGTCAGATCCTCAGACCGGATGAAGGAGTGTGGAATAGGGGGGGAGGGGGGGTGGGGACACACAAGGTGACATGGTATTGTCTTTTTGTGTTGTATAGATGGTTGCATCGCTCTCAGGAGGGTTTGCAAGGACGGCCTTGTGGCAACGGCATCCTCGCCACCTGGTTCGAAGAAGGTGCGCTTGCTTGTGATGTTCCACAGCTGCTCAAGACCATGCTTTTCTACTTGAGGAGGACGCGATGTGAAGTTCTGGAACATGCAAGATGAACCACGTGATGTGCCCAAGATCACTTGATGTTGCGGAACAGGGCCAGGTGTGCAGGTGTGTGCAGTGCACGTGAACTTCAAGTTGAGGTCTGCTTATGCGCTGGGTTCCGGCTCTTTCAGATCCACAGTGCGTGTTGATCACCTTTGCCACATCCACCTTCGAGCGACTGCTGGTAGCAATTGACTCGACAAACACGGTGCATGTGGCAGTGATGCAAGCGATGCAGGATTCCGAGGAGGGGGGATGTAGCGTGAGGTCAGTCGAACTTTACTCCTGCCAGCTGTTTCCTGGCCAGAGTTCACGCATCTTGCCCTGCTCTGTCGCCGTTAGGTGCGGCGTGCTGGCATTTGTAGAAGCAGCGGACCTCGAAGCGCAAGAGCGGCAGCTTCATGTATGGCAGCTTGCGCATCACGGCGCGCTGCTCCCGACACCTATCCGCTTGACTGCCCCTTTCTGCACACATGGCCCCACGGTCTCAGTTCCCAAGCCGTTGATGGGCCGCTTTGTGCTGTTGAAAGGCTGCTCGGCCGTGGAGGAATCTCATCCCTTCGTGAGTGTCCATCTCTTCAGCCTGGACCACGTTCACGAAGTTCAAGAAGTTCAAGAAGTTCAAGACGGGCGGGAGCGACATCGGCTGCGTAAGCTGTACACGCACGGATGGGAGAACGTTTCGGACTCCACTTTGTTCCGTCGGGCGCATCCGCTGGCTGACCACCTTTTGGGGATCTGGAACTTAAGCGACGTACGCTTGGACGGAAAGACGTCGGAGCCCGCTCTGAAGTCCTTCGTCCTCGTGAACCTCTCGCAGATGGAAAGTGGAGAGCCGGAAAAGTCAGCAAAGAGTTGTCTTCGTAGGCAGCTTTGCTTCTTTAAAGCTGCCCTCAAAACAGCACAAATCAGCATGCTCATATACTCTTTGAGCCTTGAAGCCCGACTGCGTGTTCGGGCCATAAGAAGCCTCTTGAAACCTTTTTGAGAGCTTGGGCTTCTTCTTGCCGGGCCGAAGGTTCTCGGGGCTGTGGTTTAGCTTCTGAGGGCGGTTTGACGTTCCTCCTCCCCCCCCCCCGCGCCCCTTCCCCTAAATGCAGTATCTGGGAGATACGCAGATTTGCGGCATGTGTCGTGCTGAGGAGAAGGAATTCGTGTAGTCACCGAGTCAGGTGTCGTCGTTCGTGCTGGCACAGCGTCTCGTGCCTGACAGGGGAAGTTCACCGCGAGCTGGCCCTCCGCCAACTTGCAGAAGCCTCGGGGTGTCCTTCGAGAGCTTTGGTGCAAATCGGTGCTCCGGAAACTTTGACAGGTGCACTTTATCGCCTTCAAGGATCACGCGGACGATCCCTCCAATTTGTCGGCAGCGACGCTGCTCTCGCCTTACTCGGGCAACTTGAGCATGTGCCGAGCAGTGGGCGCAAAAGGCGACCAAAGCTGCTCATGCAATGACATGCAGTGTTTGCCGAGGGCACACCTGCCTCGGGATGTCGTCCGCTACTACATGGCTAACGGGATAAAGCCGGGCCCCTCAGCATGGCCTGGAGCACGGCCAACCTTTGTGCAAATTTTGTGGTATATGGTTCGCTGCTAGGTCTTTGGCAGCTGTTAGGAGCACAGGGGTGAGTACAGGTTCGCTATGGCACAGTAGTTTCGGCAAGAGGCAGCATCCAGCACTTTGGCCAGAACCCTTCACTTGGTAGAGAACCCATATCAATGAAAAGACCTGATCAGGCCACGAGGCCTCCAGCGGTTTGAGGACAAAGACGGCAACCCCGTGCCAAAGTACATCCCCAAGGAGCCTCGGACTGCGGCTGAATCCTAAAGCTGCAAGCCTTGGAATGCGTTGAGCCGAGGGACCGAGGATTTTGAGGATTTTGAGGCTTCTTGTTTGTCAACCCGCTCCCACCTCGCTGTGCGCACTGTAGGGCTGACGGAGAGTCTAAGACAGATCTTATGGAACACCGTGGAACACCGTGGAACACTGTTGAACACTGGAACACTGTGGAACACAGTGGGGAATTCTGGTTCAGGAGCCCATCAACTCGCAAGCAGGCGAGGATTGGCGATGCGTTTGAGCTGGAGAGTTTTGCTTCAGGAGTGCACGTCATGCGAAGGGGCTAGTACTGAGTACTGTTCTGGCATTTAGGTGTTGCAGAAACGGATTCTTGATGTGGGTGCGGGTGTTTCAGAGACAGCCACATCTCAGTTCCGCTGTGGCATGTTTAGAAAAGCATATGTTCATGTGACAGCCTGCTTGCCTTGCCCTGCAGTTCCCGTCAAAGCCATGCGAATCCCGAGCGGCTCAGCCAGCGGTTCCCGTGACACTTCCAAGGCCAGGCCCTCGGATCCCGCAAGAAGTTGCAGAATTGCGCCTGGAGTCTGTCAGGGAAAGCCTAGCCCTGCAATAAGATGGCTCGTCGGGTGGCAAAAAAAAACAAGCGAAACGAGATGCAACGGCCAACTTTCTGCTTAGTGGTGTTCAGGTGGGGTCATCGCGCACGGGGACGAATTTGCCTTCAGGCCGCCCATGACCATATGGCATGAAGGACGTCTGTGGTGAGGAGATGAGTTGTTTAGGCTCCAAGTCACCAGAGTCTCGTGGCAGATCGCCGCATGGACCTCAGCATGCCCAGTGGCCACAGCTTTCGTTGCTGTGCCTCGAACAAAACTTAGGGCTGGGTCCAGGGTCACGAGCAAGTCTGCATCTGCATCCATGAGGCCATGTTCTTGCGGGGCCTGCCTGCTTGGCTTCTGCCATCTGGTGCCCGCATATGCAGGTTGGAGAACGCAGTCACTGATGAGGAGGAGGAAGAGCCGTGGCCAGAGGAGGAGGCCGTGCTCCTCAAGCGTGCAGAACCCCCACCAAAGCGGCATACTATGTCATGTGACGTGGTGATCTTGGTGGTCTCGGCGGTGTGTTGTGAAAGTGATTTCGGACCTGCTCTGGAGTCTGTGACCTTTAGTGACTTTAGTGCTTGTTGAAACTTATGGGGTCCTGGTGGGGATGAGGGTGGTTATGCCGAAGAGGGGGCTGATCCAGGTGCTGTCCATTTACCTACAATGTTACCGGCTGTGTCACGAGGACTCCGATGAAGACAAGAAAGAGAAGCCTCTTGGCTTTTTCATCGAAGCCTAGGTGTTGGCTTTTTGCGTGGAGCAACTTGCTTTAAGTACAAGGGACGCCGAGCACAAGTTGCCGATCTACCTCGAGGAGGTCGCTCGCCTCAGACTGTGCTGCAGGGCGAAGCAAGCATATGTTTGTTTCAGTTGATACCCAGGAGCGGCTGCGCCCCTTGCATGCAAAGCAGCTTCAGAATTCTGGGCAGCGCGGCTGCTTGACCTATCCGATCCCATTCGTACGTGCATCACAGGCCTGCTCAACAACGGCGTTGGACTGGGCTATGATCCCTGGCCCCACAGTTTAACGTGACATCACGTCGCACCGTGAAGTTCACACCGGTCTCAAACGGTTCGATGCCCCCAAATATTGTAACAAGCCCGTTGTGCACTGGGATGTGGGCCCAGGAGAGGTTCCGGATCATCCGCGCGATTCGGGATGGCTTGCCATCTGCAGCCTTGGATGCGACTGGGACCCCCACAAGCAAGAGTTTGGGGGGCGGGGGGGGGGGGGACATTTTGGAAGCATGAAGTTCTCTGAACGAATGTTGTGCCAAGGTCCTGGTCGACAACATGTTGCAGCTTGATTGCTTTCATATGCCTTTTTTTACAGAAGAAGGCAGGCCAGAGAGGCTTACGGCGATGCGGCATGAAGCAGGCCAAGGAGGTTAGGCGGGCAACTGTGCCGAAAGTAAGCAGGCCAAGGGGTCGCAGGCAGGCAACTGTACCGAGATGTTGCCTGAACAAGCAGGCTGGGGAGGCGCAGGCGTGTAACTGCGGAATGTTGTTCACATAAGCAGGCTAGGGAGGTTCAGGCATGCAGTTGTGACATCATTTCGCTGTTGCGTATGGGGTGCGTGGTACCGTCTTGGTTGCGTTTGGGGTGCGTGGGATGTTTTGGGTGAATTCCTGCAGCTTTTCGGTGTTTTTGGACCACTTGTATGACTGTTAGAACTTTTATTTAGAACATTTAGCACTTCGAGAGCTTCGAGAACTATTAGAACTTTCAGAACTTTTAGCTTTTCTTTGAACTTTGAAAGCGTTTAAACTTTTAGAACTTCTAGAACTTTCTAGAAACTTTTTTGAACGTTTAGAACCTTGGGAACATTTGGAACTTTGAGAACTTGTAGAGTGCTTCATGGGTTTGTAAGAAATTCATATGGTGTTTGAGGCAAGCTTGCACGGCTTTAAAAAAACTGCAGCTGCTGTAGCAGTATTTCTGCGTTTTCAGAGGCCGCAAATACTGTAAACGCACCATTTCTGACTTTGCAGAGGCTGCTTGACACCTTTAGAACTTCTAGAACTTGGACGATTCTAACTTTCAGAACTTTTGGCTCCTTCTGACCTTTCGAATGTCCAGAGCCGGTATGACAACTTCTAGGAGTCGAAAAGTCGCAGAACTTCACGGCTCTAGGCACTCTAGCGTCTCCTAGAACTCCTAGAGCTTGCAGAACTTTTACAGCATCTCGAACTTTACGCAACTGACTTTTTTGAACGTTTACAACTTTTCGGACTTTTAGAATTCCTGGAACTTCTAGCACTTCCAGAACTTTTCGATCTAGAACTTTTAGAACTTGTGGAACCTTGAGGATTTTTAGAACTTTTAGAACATTTAGAACTTTTAGAACATTTAGAACTTTGAGAACGAGAACTTTCAGAACTTTTAGAACTTTTAGAACTTTCAGAACTGTTAGAACTTCTAGAACTTTCAGAACTTTTCAATCTTCTTCGAACTTTTAGAACTTTTAAACTTTTAAAACTTCTTGAACTTGTTGAACTTTTAAAATTTTTGAACTTTTTGAACTTTTAGAACTTTTCGAACTTTTAGAAGTTTTCGAACTTTTAGAACTTTTAGAGCGTTCAGATATTTTGGAACCTTTTAGAGCTTTTGGAACCTTTTAGAACTTTTAGAACCTTTAGATAGAGCCTTTGGAGCTTTTAGAGCTTTTGGAACTTTTCGACCTTTTCCGAACTTCTTCGAACTTGTAGAACTTTAGAACTTTAAGAACTGCTTTGAACTTTGAAAACTTTTCGAAATCTGGGAAGTTGTACAACTTTCCAGACCTCTTGGAGCTCTTAGAGCTAGCTCTGAAAGTTCTATTCGTTCCAAAAGTTCTAAAAGTTCTAAATGGTTTGAAGCGTTCGCAGATCTAGGATCTCGGAGATGCTCGAGTTCCTGCAGCGTTTAGCGTTGTTTAGAACTTTTGGAACTTTGGAACTTTGGAACTTTAGTGCTTGTTGAGAGCTTTTCAAGCCCGTGAAATACGGTATGTTTTGGCTTGAAATCCCACGCGCCCCAAATGCAACCATGACATTCCCAAGCGCCAAATGGGTGCGGCTCAAAAGTCTAGGTATGTAACTGGCTCACGGGCGTCTTTCCGCGACATAGGGTTTGTAACAAAGCCGTTCTGCTTGCGACAAGCAGTCCGCGACAAACCTCCGCGACAAGCCTCCGCGACAAGCCTTTGCGACAAGCCCCTTCTTGGAATTGCATGGGTTTCGTATCTCTTTTTCAAGACAGCGCGAAACAGCCACGACAAACCCCGCAACATACGTATGGAACAAGTGGGCGCGATATACGTATGTAACACAGGCGGGTGGCGGGACACCGCGACATACCCCAATTTAGACCCACAGCCAAATGCAACCAACCCACATCACGCTGCTTTAACAAGCTGGCCACGGAGGCTCAGGCACCGAAATGTTTGATTAACACGCAGGCCTGGGAGGGGGATGCTGTGCCGGAATGTTGCCTGAATAAGCATGCCGGCGGGTGCGCTCGATTTCGAATGCATGTGCTTGGTGGGGCAGCGTCGGTGCCGACGTCAGTGTAGGTTTCACTGTTGACGTGCCCAGCTGGCTGGCCCGTTGACAAGCCGTGGCCAAGGCCACATCTCACCGGAACGTATAAGGGGTTCTAAGCTGAACCTTTCCCAGAACAGGTTTCACGATTGGCAGGCCCTGTTACTACGTTGTTGGCCTATGTGAAGAGATTCCAAGCTTCTAGGGGTCAACCGGTACAGGTTTCACCCTTAGTGGGCCCCACTTTGGGGGCCCGCTGACAAGCTTGCGTTGGACGGCACAAGCCAAGAAGAAGAGGACAGAGAGAGAGAGAGAGAGCGAGAGAAAGAGAGAGCATTGGTTAACCACGAGACTCTGTAACGCACGCCTTCGGGCGGCCCTCCTCACCAGAGGGGGGTTAGGTGCGCAGAAAGAAAGAAAGAAAGAGAGAGAGAGAGAGAGGGAGGGAGGGAGAGACAGGTATAAGCCGTTGAAGGAGTTGACGGTGCTTCTTGCGGCGCCAAGGCATGGCGGCTACGGCCACTCGCCGAGCTTTAAAGATGCGGCGGCTGCCGCCTTGTCGGATGCAGCGTGGGCAGCAAGGAAGTGTTGTAAGGGAAAGCCATACGTTAATTATGGTTAATTAAGGGCTCCGGGCATTCAAAACATTTTGGGTTCAGGATGTAGGGTTCCGGCCGGCTGGTGATGGCGAAAAGAGCGCGCAAAGAGCGCGGCCAATCCTAAACCGAGTCCGACCAGGCATGACATGCATCTGGGATGGCCCTCATGCAGTAGTGCACCTACTGGGTGAAAATGAAAAGCGGAGATTTGCTATCGCATTCAGCGTGCATGACGCATGGCAGTCCCTCCACAATGGTGAACCTTCAAACATGTGCCTCGGAGTCTGTCGCCAGCACATGCCCAGGCGGAGTTCTATAGTCTTCCGGGCATGGCGCGCCCTGGAGCAACGAAGGATCCTTGGCTGGTGAAGGTCAATCGATACGAGCATGGAACTTCCGCGATTGCTATAAGCCTTTGAGACTATTCCAGGATTTGGCCGGTGCTGCATTGGAGAAGCCACTTGCCTTATGGATGTTTGTCATTGTGGTTTCTCGGAGTGCGAGTGGTCTCTGGTAAAGTGGCACTTGCCAGCATGTGTGGGCACCCATTGTGCGTAAGGGGCCGCCTGGCGAAGAGAATCCGGATGGGATCCGATGAAGACGACGATGATGTCGATTATGGGGCGAGGCTGGTGCTGTAGATGGAATCCGCTGGGGCTGAATTTTGTCGCCCGCAAGGTTGCGTGAGTTGGCGCTACCTCCAAAGTCCTTGGATCGGAGGATGGAAGGCCGCCTCGGCAGCGGCCCTGGAGAACCTTGCTTGGCCTCGCGGATCCTCTCAGCTAACTTGGCCTTGCGAAGGCCTCCTTCCGAGAGATCGCGTCCAGATCAAAGAGCCTGCTCCACGTCCACGCCTCGACACAGCTTGGCGAATTCTACCTGACGTTTTCTTCGGGAGTCGAGGTCGAGAGCGGACAATGACGGCCAGCTCCGCCGTTAGTCGAGCCAGTTCCTCGGTGCTCTCGTTTCCTTCCTTGTGAATTGTTCGATCCACCATGGACTATGCAGGACCCATGGGAGACTATGCGTGTTGAAGATGGTTCAGCTGCGCGCACTCTACTGGAACTGTCGGCCTCTCGAAATGAAAGCAAGGACTGCAGGGGCAACCAGGAAACCAGGGAAAGCACGATGCGCTCACTCACACCCTTCGGGGGTGCTGTTTCAGTGGCATAAGCACAGTCCTGTTTAAAGAGGGGACAGGCTGCTGCTCTTTTGGAACATGCTTGCCTTGCATCGCGCAGGATGAGGCGCACGGCTACCCCGGTGTGGCCCGCGGTGCCACGAAAACACTGGAAGAGGCCTGTCACGGCTGAGCACATTCGGTGTTTCGGCGGTTTCGATGAGCAAATGCGGCCAGGCAGCGGGCATGCTGACCATGATGCAAAGCAATGGCAGCAAAGGCAGCTACGACTAAGTGCACAAGAATCCTGCGTTGAGTGCACATCTCGGTTCCGGCTTGCTCAGCAGTGCAGGCACCCAAGACCCGCCTTCGCTTCGGACTCAGCACAGAAATGGGAGCTTGCCTGGGCATTGCATAGTCACATACAGGAGCAGGGCATGTTTCTTTCCCAAGGCCCCACATGGCCATGGACGACCTGCAGCAAGAGCTACGACTTGCAGGTTGATCCCCGGCATGTTGCCGCCACGTTGTGTTTTTGTGGCAGCCACCTGGTGTTCCTGCATTTTGCACTAGGGAAACGAGACGCTGAATGGCTTGAATTGGCTGTTTGAGTACTCATGTTTGGAGATCTCACATCGCGAATCCGGCATCTCCATCGCTTGTGCTGCATGTCTAAGAGCCTGCGAGGTCGTGCACGCTCCAACACAAACGAGCCAGACATGGCAGCTGCCGACACCGATATAGAGACCGAGCCAGTGATAGACACTCTCAGACAGATGAGTGGCAACTATGCTAGTTATGCGAGTAGCTGACTTGTGCAGAGTCTGTACCGCTGCTGGGCACCTTGCAGTTTACACAAACAAACAACGAATCCACTGCAGCTGCTGGCACTGCGAATGAGTGGCGTACACGATCATCAAAACGACTGCGTGCAGAGCGTGCCCAGGTGCGTTTGGAAATGTTTCACCCCCAGGCCTCGCCACGAGTGAAATTATTAGCATGAATTGAAGGGTTTGCATGTTGCTCCCTCGGTTTCCCTGGTCGAAGACCATTTGGAAGAGGAGCCCCACTAATCACCGTGGATTTTGTCTTCGTGACATTTCGTGACGCTGGATGAAACATGGTCCCTCGATTTTGTCCAGTCGCAGCAGCCTTCTGTTTAGTTTAAAGGTTTCTGACATGGCTAGTGCATCCGACCAGCCAGCAATGCTCGAGCATGCAGTAAGTGGAATGCGCATCTGGCAACCTCATGTACTGGCCGGTATGTAACTCTTAGACTCTAGCCAAGCTTCGGTACCCTCGAGCACATGCAGTGCAAGAGCTGCCTGATCAAACTCGCACCCCAGCTTGTTGATCGATAGCTTGTCGGCCACGCCTGCACGATGGCTTCTGGCAATGGCCAGGGCGCGGATACCTTCATATGCCGCATGGACCAGCTATCGCAGAAGCTGAACAAATGGAAAACAAAGACAATGCAATCAGCAGCGCCACAGAGGACTGACAGCCAAGCCAGACCATTGGCTGGCTGGGAGCAGGAGCAGTCTGGAAGTTCCGGAGACATTCGCTCTAAGCCATCGCTGATCCCTGCAGTGCTCGAGCCGAGCTCGCCGGCAGGCAGATCCCATGCTTCACGCTCCCCCAGCAGCCCCAGCAGGCGAGGCTCCATCAGCATTTTGTCCACTTATGACAGAGCCAAGGTTGCAAACCCCCCGGAGCGGCTGTCATCTTTGGGCACTGGGAATGAAGGTGAACTCTCCAAAAAGGCAGTGCCCGAGTTTGAGCGGTTGCCGTCTTCCTTCATCCCTTCCCGATCGATCCACGGCATCGCTGAAGGTCAAAGTAGTCAGAGCAAGCTGGTTGAAAGTCCCTCTCGCCAAGCATCAAGGAGCCTCAAGCGCTTCGACCCATCTCCTGCACCGTCCTTGAGTCCCACATCAAGGCTCTCGCGTCGGTCGACTGGGAACAAGCCTCCGGAGAGCAATCCTTTCCAGATGCCTGCGGGTGGGCATGAGGAGGAACGACGGACACAGAAAGAGGCATGCCTGACACGATCGGTACTTCCTGTGCAGCCTGCGCCTCTCATGAATGAGGCGGAGAAGACTACAGATAGTCCTCAGCCAACGGCCGCATTCAACGCCCGCGTGGAAGCATTGCAGAAGAGGGTTTGGAAAGCAACCGCGCCGGTGCCATCTGACCCTTGACATGCCTTTAATGCTGAGCAACTGCCGGCACGACAGTCGTAGACATGTACGTGGGATCAGGCATCACTGTCCTATGCTTAGTTGTCAGGAGGCGGTTGCTCAGCAGCCGCTGGCGGGCATCCAAGATGCCAAGCAAGGCCAGCACGAGGCCCCTGGTAGTCCTGGTACGTGTTCCGGGTATACAGTAGCCGCAGCGGGGTGTCAATCTGCCAGGTCTCATCAGTTCACTCCCTTGGTTGCTTTGGCAGAATCCTTTCACGGGAGCCGCTTGGACACCAGCATCCCACAACTGCCTCTGAAATCTGAAAGCCCCACTGGACTGGCAGGGACAGACACACGCTTGTCAAATCGCCATAAACCTGTGGTATTCTGCGGTTAAACCAGCCAAGGCAGGAACAACAAAGTCTCGCTCGCGATTTGAAGCTGACCGCGTCTCCGGGGACGGCATGTTCGGACGAGACGTTAGCCAGCAGAGTAGGCCCTTTCCGAGCGGAATCAGAAAGCAGAGTAGGCGAATGAGTGGAGGGGGGGGACTCTTTTTTTGCGGAGGTCAGCTGGAGGAGTCCTTGGGGCGCATCGACGCCTTCCTGAGAAACTCTAAGTGTTTGCACGGATGTTGCTCTCGGTTGTGCTTGTCCCGCGGATAATCATCGCAGTCCCGTTGTTCATGCGTCGCCCTAAGGAGATGATGCTTCAGCAAGTTCTGCAGAGTATTGCTGTTGGCGACGCTCGTGGCCATGCACAACCGCTTGCCCTTGAGCCCGAATCAGGCTGCGCAGTCTGGCAAGGTCTGGCAATCCTTTTCTAGTGTAGCCGACATGTCGACGGCCAGGTGATGCCAGGCCACAGGGCCAGCTGAGGCAGTCTCCGAATAAAGAGCTGCCCCGCATGCCCTCGCGAACGCCGTTGAAGGCCGAAGAAGCGGGTTTCGTCAGCTTTGCTTTCACCACCTGCTAACTATAGGGTCTAAGTCTAGCTCAGCCATTCTCCTTGGTTGGATCTCCCATCCCCCTGGCCTGGCCCACCTGCGCCGTACCCCTGAAGTCTGGAGTGCCCAACACAAATGAATCCAGCAGAGCATCCCGCAAAGTATCCCTGGAGTGCCGCACCTCCAGACTTTTTTAGCAGAGTCAGAGTCCCACCGTCACGCGCAGAGAGTCCCACAGAGTCCCCCCCGCTCTGCATGGAGTGCTCGCCAATTCCGCAGAAGCTCCCACAGAGCATATCTCTGGAGCGCTTTCCCCACACAATCCTGCAGAGCAGTATCGCCTGGAGTCCCTGGCGTGCCAGCAATCCCGCAAAAATCCTACACCTGGAATGCCCACCCTCCGAGAATTCCAGAATACCCCTGCCCACCCGCCAGAATCCCGCAGAGTATCCTGCAAGGCACGGAGTGCATCCCTCATGCCCAGTCTAGGTTTGCACGTCCATGTCATGTTCCAGCAAGGCGACACTGGCAGCCGATTCAGCGCCCCTACCCTACAAAGCCAACTGGGTTGTCGCTGCATCTGCATTCAGAGCTCTCAGAGCACCACACGCTGAGCAAAGGTCCACTCCGAGAGCACCGCGGCAAGCAAGTGTACACACTGTTCGCAGATTGTGAGACGATTGTTCAAAGATTGCTCAAAGATTGCTCAAAAAAAGAGCCACTGGCCCGTGATACTGCAGGCGAAGTCGGCGAAGCCTCGGAAGCCGCAGCCTAGAGGGGCTCCGCGTGTGTTCCAGCCGAAGCCCTTCTCCAGCTCCGCTAAAAAACGAGCTGTTGTTCGAGGCCTTCGCTCCGCGCGCCGAAGGACGCTGAAGAAGCCTCTCCTCTCACCAACACCGACGGGGCCGGCGACGCGACCGGCGACGTGGCCGGCGACGCAGGTCCACTTGTCCAGCAATCGCTACTGTACCGCCACCTACTACCACCTGGCTGCCACCTTGGGGGCTGGGGAGTTGTTGGGTGTCTCAGGAGCACTGGCTCAAGCAGCGGTGAGCAAGATGGAGGATGGTCAGGAGTGCCAACAAGCTTAGGGTGTCAAACCGCGTCAAGCTTTAGCGAAGGGACTGTCATGTGTACGGTTGCGGCATTCACACAGGACTCCCGACGCAAGTCCTCCAAGTCGAGGGATTCTGTGGTCCTCTCAGTTGGTGGTGGGTGCACTGCTTCCAGCCGACATCAACAAGAAATGGCGAGCTTTCGTGCGATAAAGAGAGAGAGAGAGAGAGAGAGAGAGAGAGAGAGAGAGAGAGAGTGCCATTGATTCTGTGCCCCGACATTGGGGCGGGCGCACCTTGCTCGGGGGCGAATGCCCTATCCCCACAAGGGAAGGACGGAAGGAAGGAAGGAAGTAAGGAAGAAAGAGAGAGGAGAGAGAGACAGCCGACTGCTGTGGCACTCAGACGTATCACCACATGGCACTCAGACGTATCACCACAGACGGCGAAGTCAGGGCGCGCTCGCACGCAGGGGAGCCCCTCCTAAGCCCGGAAGAAGACGAAGAATAAAGAGAAGAGGAGGAACTAGAAGAAGAAAAAGAAGAATAATCTGAAGAAGAAGAATAACAAGAAGAAGAATACTAAGAGAGAACAATTCCTAAGCCCAAAGTTGTGTGATACATTTATTCCCATTCGAGCACCGGATGGACCTGTGGGTGTCGCCGCGCGCATGCCGGGGGCCCTCTCTCCTGGGCGGGGGAGGGGGGTGGGTCCCCTTCATTCGGTCGAAGGAAAGAATGAGCACAGCCTGAAACATCGGGTGCTGTCTGGAGCGAAGGGGCTCGCCCAAAAGCCAAAATTCCTAGGCCCTAGGCCCTAAGCACTCGGAGCACCCGTCACAGAGTGTCTGGACTTCACATTGGGCATCATTCGTTGAGGATGCTGCCACTGCAACTCGCAGAGGGTTCTTCAGGTGGCCGCTGGCGCCGGTCCTGGTGGCATTGCATGAGTCGGCATTGTGCTTCCATGTGTGGCATTGGAATCGCTGCCGTGCCGGATGCTTAGGACATTGCCGAGGCTCGTGAGGAACTGGGCCTCAGAAAGCAGAAGCGCTCACAGGCCTGTGCCACGTGCGCACGCAGCAATTAGCAGTCGCCTTTGCCAGCCGTGCGCGCTGGCCAGAGCTGCTTGCAGACTTGTGGCAGGCATGACCACAGTGTTGATCGTTTGAGTCGATCCATAAGAGGCGACACGTTGTTTCAGCACTGGTGTTGCTGCACCTGGACCGGGCCAGCATCAGCGATTAGAGTGTGTGTTGTATGTTTTGTGTGCTAAGACCGTCAAGATGTACATGTTTCACCCGCAAAAACACGTGCCTTCAAGGGCTGTGACTTGTGTTTGCCACTCGGCAAGCACCTGAAGGCTAATGCATCAACCAAAAAAAACCGGCAGGCTGCCTCGCTGGTTGCTGTAGCCTATAGCGAAGTATGAACCTGAGAAAGTGATCGATGGAATGAAGGGCAGAGGCGGGAGGGGGGGGGGGGGGCAGGGCGGGCCAACAATTGGTTTGATACTGGCTCAGGTTACAAAACAAGTGGAAGTGTCAGCTTTTGTGGGAATTGGTAACATGACGCTCCAGCAGACCCTCAGCAACAAACACTGGTGAAGAATCATGTGCACGTGGGTCCCGCAACCAAGTAGCGTAAATCCCCCAACAATGTTTCAGCAGACCTAGGTCTTGAGCAGATTCTTTTCTTGTGTTGTTTGGTCGACATTGCGCGGTTCCATATTGCAGCGGACGCAGAGAGTTTGCTCAAAGAGATCGGGAACACGGGGAGAGCGCGTTGGTCTGACTGCCAATGGCTTTCTCCTCGCGGCTTGCTTGCACAAAGTCACCTTCGAAAGTAGAGTTCTTCGGGTTTTGACTCGCTCGTTGCAGGTTTGGCACATGGTTTGCGGCGACCTCTGCAAACCGAGATGGCTCAGTTGGCATCGTGCTTGTGTAATTCGCCAGCTCAGGCCAAATTGTGCAACTGCAAGCGCCCTTTGCATGAGGCTTCCGTGAGAGAACGTGTCAGTTCATCGTCGTTGGATACGGGCTGGTTTGCTTTGCATGCATGAGGCCGCAGCTTACACTCCGCAAAAATGCGTGGAGGGCTGAGTCTCTTAAGTCACGGGTCAGACTGAAACTTCAGGGATTTGACTCATCTGACAGGTGCCTGACACCACAGCAAATCCACGTTGTCAACCCACGAAGCCGAGTCAAGTTCAGGAGGCCTTTGACAAGCAAAGCTGCTGACGGTCTTGGGAGGGCACATTGATTGGTTGCAAAGGTTTATATCGACAAGATGACGACAGTTCCTGCAGCAACTTGGCAGAGCATGTCACAGGATCAATGCGCGCACGGTGAGGAGTTTAGGTTCGTGCTACACGTAGTGGGGCAAAGCTCCTCGACGCACCTGTAGTTCAGGACCTCTACAAGCAGATGGTGGTTGCTGGGAGCCGCGCCCGCGCACGTGGCCAACATTCACTAAAGGCAGGCATTGATTTTGGCACCTCGCCGATGGCATGGTGGGACCTTGGGAGCCAAGCCAGGCAAAGCCGAGATCGGACACGCCACGGGCCGAGTTTCACAATCTGCCACGCTTCCAAACTTTGAGCAATTTCAGGATATGCGTTCGTTGACCGGACATAACCTCGAAGCTTCAGGAAGCAGTCTAACCGCACTTTCGAGCCCAGCCTCGTCCGGAACAAGTCCTACTACGGCCTTCGGGCTGCAAGGATGTGTTCTCATTTCTCAAAGCGTCGAAGCCGTGTCATGTTGCATGTGAGACATTATGAAAGATCTTCAATTTGTTTAGTGACGGCTGATCATCCTGATGTGCTGACCCCATTTGGTATGAGCCATAGCTGAACTCGGAGAACCCTGCTCTCGCTGAATGCCAGGCTGATCGATTCTGGGCATGCGCAGATTGCCTTGGGCCCGGCAGACGACGACTTTAAAACAAACCGAATACTTAAAGCCGAGTGCATGTGCCCAATTATCCTGCAATTCTGTGCAGGCTGTGCGTGGCTGCTTTGAATAGCCTCGAGGCAGCCCCAGCAATCCTGAAGGCATGTTGAAGGTACAACAAACACCCAGCCACTGTTTGCAGCGCCTTGCAGGTGCGAGAGGATGCAAACCCAGCCTCTCTGACTTGCGGTCGGAAGCGAGACTTTCTGTTTTATTATGACTTCATTTTCGTGACTTCGACAAATGGAGAACCGTAGACTGGGTGTCGCATGAGGAATGGGCCGGGTCAAATTGCTGTGAATGCTCCGAGCTGCACCCATCTGCCACACGTGCACATCACATCTACGCGAAATTTCAACAGCAAAGGCTCGGAGCGTGCACGATTATCTTTTGGCTTTTGACTGCGAGTAGGCCTTGCGACCATTTTGGTGTGACTGTTTTTCCAAGCAGACTTGCCGTCAGGCAACACAAATCAGGAGAAAGCTTGCGGTGGACAGCCCCGGCCGCATGAGAACACACGCGAAGCACCGGCAAGTCTGGATTGATGTCCGACAGACACAACCGTTTCTTCATGCATCTCTACATTGCAAAGTTGCAAAGGCCATGCCACAACATGGAACCAGTGCCTCAGAGCGTTCCAAGATGCTAATGTTGAAAACGTTTATGAAGCCTTCAGAAGGATATCAGGGAGCTCAGTTTGCGCTCGAAGCGGCGTTTTCATCATCGCAGTGTTGGCATCAGATGTTTCGTCCGTTTCCTCCGAGTTGGTGCAGCCCTGCAATGCGGAAGTTGCCTCATTCCCTTGGAACCGTTGGATGTTGCGACATTTTTGTTATTTTTCCCAGCATTCCGCATTGCCAACATCATGCCCTAACCCTAGAAAGTTCCGTCTCGCACTTCTGCAGTAGCCGTTGTCAGTTCTTGAGCAACCATGGGCGCACAGGCAGGTGTGAACGCACCATGGAGTACACATGCGAGCATGTGCATGCGATGTGCCGGTCGAATTCGCGAGAGACAAAATGCTCCAACAGTGAGCCGTTTGTTTTTCTCCTAAGTTAGCTGTACAGGGCTTTGTTTGGCAGCTCATGTGCATCTGGCAGTCGGCCCAGTCCGAGCTGCTAGTGCCGTGAGTTGAGGTGACCCGCAAACAAGTCGGGCTCCATTAAAAAAGTTAACCACAGGGCTGAGGGAAGCCTCCGGTGTCCTCTGCTGCTTCAGGTTGTATCTTTCGCGAGCTTGTCGAGGTGGAGGTGTATACCTTAGACCTTAGAGCTTCTTTCGCATGGTATGATGTGAGAACCAGGGAACTGGGGGCACGCCCATCATGGTGCAACTGGGCAGCGGACCTTTCCGGTCCAGTGAGCAGCTTGTCGTCCCTGGGCAGTGCGCCGCATAATTCGTACATTCGTACACTGCAAGTATGGAGGTGGTTCTCGACAGAGATAAGTGAGATCAAGCTGACTTTGAAGGGCTTGGTGAGCAGCATCTGAACGTTTCCAAGAACTTCTTCCTGGGCCAATGTAAAGTGATGTGAAGTTCTAGAGAAGCTTGAATCTCGACAGTTTTGATGAAGCCTCAAGATTTCACAGCAAGGCCTTGAAAGCTTTGCAGGCTGCACGGTCTGCACGGTCTGCCCCAAACGAAGCATACGAAGCCTTACTAAGCCCAGGACTGTCAAAAGCAACCCAGGCCTCAGGCGAAAGGTGAGTCTGACAAGAAGCTTGCCTGTGATTCGCCGATGCTGTGTGAGACGTCCCTGCAAGACATTGAAGCATGCAGCTTATGCCAAAGAACTCGCACCCAGACAAGCAAAAGCGCATGAGGAAAATGGAGAGTTCGCGCTGCCTTCTACGGGAAGGCAAAAGGCGGATTGACGTGTTCTGCGGCAGCGGCAACTTGGGACCATGGCCATCAGCCAATCAACAATGCCGGCTCAAAGTGACTTTCAGATGAACAAGCGGGAGCAAAGGCTCGTAGCAAGCAAAACCAGCTGAATCAGAGAATTTGACAATTGGTAGCCAAGTTCCTTCACGCCTAACAGCAAGTGGGCACTCGAGCAAGTGAGCATGTGCATGCTGACTGCGTGCAGCGCAGATAGAATTCACAAGCTTCTCGGACAAGGTGCTGCGACTCTTTGCAGACCCTACATGTACCTTCTTTCGGAGTTTGCGCAGGAGCTGCGCTTCACAGCTGAGGCCAAGGCGCTGCATAGGCTGAAGGATGGTTTGGGATGGTTTTTGCTAAGTCGTGCGAGGACCTGCACTCCAGCATATCGACTGCACTTGTACTGCTGCTGCCCATCCGGTGTCTTGGACCGCGTGGAGCACTGGCTGCATGTGTATGCTTCTTGGGCAGGGATGGCCTCAACGGACTACCACTTGCGACGGCTGATTCAAGAGTCCACCAAAGCCAGTGAGCAACAGCGGAAGCCCCAGACAATGTTGCAGCAGGGCGTGTCTTCATGAACAGATGATCGTACTTTCAAGTACTGCGGGCAAGGGCTCACAAGCTGGTAGACGATGCCTTTGTCATCATCGAGGGCAACGCAAGTCGATTTTCCACAGGCCCGCCGTTTTTTTAAAGACTGTCCTGACATTTGTAGGCCCTGCGCCCTCCAAAGATGTGTACGGCATTCACAGGGTTGCCACCGCCGCCCCAAAAACAGGAGAAGACTTCGCACCCGAGCTGCTGGTCTTCTTCGCAGAGGCTGCTTCTGTCTCTTGGACTGGAATGGGAGTAAGGTGGACGAGCTGGGATTAGATTATCAGGGCCGTTTAGCTGAACGCCTAGGTGTGCAAATAAGAGTTCAGCTCATCGGGCAGTGGGTTGCAGTTGCTGGAGCCGGCAGGGTCAAGCTGTCCCCGAATGATACATGAAAGATTGTCAACGCAAATATTGGTGGAAGAAGCTACTACTGTACATATTGCCAGAACACTCTGAGGGTGCAATTGGATGAAATCCTTAGACGAAGACTCCTTGAAGCCCTCCGAACCTTCCGCAGGACGTCGGAGGACACGACGAGCAGGCGGAGAGAGCCTTACAACTTTATGACCGCTTGGCCTGTGAGGAGACCCAGCAGCTTGGGCTCAGTTTTCTCTAGCGCGCGCGCGCGTTTTTTTGTTAATGCGACAGATATCTGTGAACCTTGGGATGCTGCTGAAGGTATACCGTGCGGGCATTGCTCATCCGCTGCCTTTGTCAAGCACGCCTCGGCGCGCAACATGGGCTGAAAGGCTTTCACCTCCTTCAGCAGCATGGTTCCAACTTAGTTGGGGAAAGTCGCCCCAATGCGAAACTGCTCTGTGAGTGCGGACGTTAATGCAGTTGGCATAAGTTGGCCTCAGGCAGCTGCAATATGCATTGCAGGAGTACTTGGTGAAGGCAGGGTTGTGCCCATGCCGGACTCAAGGACACACACACATGCACTCAAGCATACCTTGACTTCTCCGCCTTCGGACCTTCATGGCCGTGTCAGATTGTGTGCGTGTGTAAGTGAATGGACAATCGACTGAATGAGTATGTATGAGTGTGGGAGTCCCAGTGTGTGTGTGTGTGTGTGCGTGTGCGAGTGTGAGTGCGCGTGTCTAGCCCACAAAGTGGAAAACAAAGCTCTTCGTCAAAAGCCTCGAGAAAGTCTGCCGAGCGAGAGGGGATGAGAGGGGCGAGCATGCTGCAAAGCACAGCAAAGCTCCGAAAATCAACAGAAGGCCACTCCGCAGTCTCCGGAGTTGGAGGGGACAGTGCTACACCGGGGAGAGTGCGGGGCGGAGGGCAGGGATCACTCCCAAACCCTTAGGCCGAAGAGAAGCACGGGAAAAAGTTGGACAAGGGGTACGGGTTGGCTTAGGGCCTGGCTCACACCGTGATATTCATGCGTATTCGTATGAAGTGGACGAACGAAACAATCTTGCCCCCCCCCCCTAAAAAAAAAGCTGGAGAGAGCTGCAAGGTACTTGATGCTTGCATGTTCTTACTGATCTGTCCTGATCCGGAACAGGCCTTGAACATAGCAAGCGAGTCCGGGTGGGCACAAAATGACAGCCGCATTGCAGCTGAATTCAGCAAAATTTGTGTTCTGTTACGTTTATGAGAATGCAATGTTTATGCATGTTGTATCCTGTCTGGTGTAAGGTTACGGCTTCCTGATCTACAACGCATCTTTAGTTTTTTGGAAGGTTGCGCGACCAATGTGTCGATCTGGATGGCAGAAACACATATTGAATGAGACGACTCAAGTCTTGGAAGCTTTAAAGCTGGTTAGAGCAGCCTCAGCTACGGCTGGTGGAGGTGGTGGTAAGCCTGGGAAAGGGGGAGGTGCAACTGCCGCCATTCCCGTCCCCATTGACCTTCCATGGCTGATTGAAATCACTTTGAATCTGGCCTTTGGGCTAGAAGACGCCGGCCGCGATGCGGATGCACAGAAGAGGGTGGACGAAGCAAGCGCGCTGCTTGACGAGTTTCTGAAAGATCCGGCGACCACCTCGAATCCAGTGCTATCTGCTCGTGGAGCACGCCTGCAGCCGCTCATCTGGAATGCCAAGGCTTTCTTCAGCCGGAAGGCGCCAGGAAAGGTAAAGGACGACATTGTGAAGGCAAGTGGCAGCACGGTGCTTGGTGCTGCTTTGTTTATTTCCAATGGTGGTACGCCAGCCGATGCCGCTGCTGAGGAGCTCATCAAGGCTTGGGCAAGCATTGATGGCGAGTACGATCTACGGGCAGCAAGAGATGCCTTCAATGCCGATCCTCGAACTCGGCCCGATGGCGGGCAAGTCACCCGAGGGAACGTGAAACCCCAGATGTTGGTGGAGCTTTCTTTAGCAGTCCGTGCCGCTTGCTCAATCAAAAGTTGGGCATTGGCCATTTGCATGGTTGCTCGCCTGGAAAAGTTTCAGATGCCCCCGGGCAGGGGCCGGATACTTCTCGACATATGCAAAGCAGAGTGCGATGTTTGGCAAGCGTGTAATGTTAAGAAGGAGGACCCGACATCCAAGATGCTGCTCTCAGCAGAGGGGCAGGAAAAGCGAGAGGTTGAAACTCGGCACAGGGCGGTCAGACTCTGCGAGCAGTGCATCATGACAGCCAAGAGGATTGAAGCTTCTGATCTGATCGAGGAGTGCGCCGTGGTCATGTGGAACATTTCGCGCGAGTTGATGTGCGATCAACACCGCTTTCGAATCCACAAGCCCCTGCAGAAATGTTCCGAGCTGCTGGAAGAGATGCAGTCGAACAGGTTGATTCACTTGCGAGTGCAGCTTCACTTCGAGGTCGCTCATTGTGAGGTTTCTTCCGATCTTCTGACAAAGGGCGCCGCAGAATACCAGCGCGCAAATGCGCTGGACTATACGGCTGCGGACGGGGAGCTTCCCGATACGGTCAAGCAAATTCTGGCAGACGATGGTGGAGGCCTCGGGAGGGATCCTGCACCTTACCTACGCCGCTTCGACAGTGCCATGGACCAGCAGCTGCATCTGCTCTACTGGAAGACGACTTTGTACGAAGAACCGACCGACCCTGCGGACCAGGTTATGTTAGTCTTGGACCAAGTCTCCAAAGTTACCGGTGCGAAGAATGAGAATGGTGAGGTTTTGCCACTATCCGAAGAGAAGAAGAAGCTAAATCACAGCCTACTAGTGCAGGCTTATGCAAAGCTCGAGACCTACCTGGACGAGCTGATCTCACCAGAAAATATGCAGCAGTTAAGTGACACCTTCGAACCGCCACCCCGGCACGTCGTCGACAAGGAGCCCATCAAGCCGCTTCCTCACCAAGCGCCTGCCACTGCCCTGACAGGTGGCAAGGCCGAGATGGATGGGAAGCCCATCTTGGACAAGCGGCCACAAAGCGAACGAGAGAAGACCATTCAGAAAGCCAAAGAAATTGTAATGCTGCTGTGCCGCTGTGGCTTGGAGGCCCACCGAGCGGAAGAGGGCGAATTTGCAGTGAGGGTCTGCACCAAAGCTATTTCTACTGCGGTGGATGCCATCAGCTTTGGCCCTGCGCCCATTGAAGTCGAGGGGGCGTTGCTGCTGGCGGCTTGTGCATACACAAAGTCGCAATGCCTGTCATGGGAGGTGGAAGATTTGGGGCTTCTGATGCTGGGCTGCAAGCCATGTTCTCACTAAACCATCAAAGTTAGAAGTGCCCTAGAAAGATGGCTGGCCCTTGGGGAAAGGATCTGGCCTGTGTATAGGGTAAAGGCTCAAGATGCAGCACTTTTTTCTCTACCGCAGGAACGGCATTGACGAAGAGATCCCAGAGGAAAAGGAGGTGACTGCATCTGCATCAGCACCAGTTCTTCGGCTCCTTTGTACCCGACTGCACGTAAGCTTTCCGGATTTGCGAGCATCCGACTTCCCAGGAGCCTGTAGAGGAGATTCCGGATGATGGCAGCGACAGTGAGGACATGCTGCATTAGCGCATGATGGAACACATTGAGGTTAATAGGTTAGGCATTGTGATTCCTCCGCGCTTGCTTGTATCAACTGGCGCCCCATGCAAGTTTCTGGCAGGAGCAATTTCGCGAATTGACGCCCGAGGAGATTTCTGCGGAACAAGCATGCGTGTAAATCACCTGGGACATGCTGTATGAAGGAAGATGGAAGCCAGAAGAGTAGCAATTATGTTACTGTGTTCTTCGCTAGGTCTGTTTGATCCCGAGTGGGAAGTTTCGCAAGCATCCAGAGCATTTGTAGAAGACAAAATCTACCGAGCCGGAGGTGTAAACTTTAAATCACGAAAGATGTTAAGAGTGTACACTGCTAGCCTGCGCTTTCCCCGTTTCAGCACGGTGCCCCAACAAGGAGAAGGCTGCCATCACGGACAAGAAGCGAGAACTCATCAGGCGGGCGTCTTAAAATCCGACCCATGGTCTTAGGGTTTGGGGTTTAGGGTCTATTAGGGTTAGGTAACATGAGGTACCTACAGAACGATTGTCGGCGTGCCGCGTCTTATGCCATTGCAGCTTGCAGCTGACAGGAACATCCTCTACGGGTTGGCAAAGAGCCAAGAATTTGGTCAGTACTGGATGGTGGCCAATGGCTTGGTACTCCCCTCCTTTCTGAAGAAAAGCGGGGGTCTCTGTGCATGGCCCTGTCTCTTCTCACTTGTGATTCTTCACAGGTACACTTCTGGAACCTGCATCTGGACATGGTTTGGTTCGGCTGCTTGCTTAGAAAAAAGCGGCTTTGAGTCCCAAATGCAAGAGCTGCAAAAGCGGGTAGAAGCGTGGTCTGTGAAGCCTTGTGAAGCCTTGTGAAGCCATGGAGGCCATGAGGAGCCCAAGTTGCTGAAGCGGACCTTGCAGGATATGGAGGGGGGGGAGCAGGAAAGGGTGCGGAATCTAAAGAGAACGTCGACGTGCAAACTTGCCTTGTTCACCTGACCGCGCAGGATTACCGGGCGGCTCTACAAGAGATTCAGAAATACCTTACGGGCCCAACGGCGCTACCAGACAGCTTCATGCCACGCAAGTCAGCATCGAAAGCAAGACTACATGGACTTTTCGCACCTTCTGCTGTGATTCGTACTGTAGTCTGAGTCTGGCAAAGGTGAGTTGAAGCCTGAGCTCGCTGCTTGCCTTACTCTTGCCCACATCAATGCAAATGTGGCTGTGGGCAACCTGAAAGTGCTTGAGACGGACGAGCTTGCGGTGCTGTGGCTTGGCCATTTTGGAGATCTGGGGTTCTTGTGCTGGTGTGAGGTGCGTTCGATGTGCGATGATGTTGGTGCAATTTCGAGCCCTGAGGAAGCGCTTGGGCGCATGTCAGCGGAAGGACATCATGGCCCGGGTGGCGCAGCTTTGTAAGGAGCCCTGGAGAGAGCGCGTGTCAGGCCCTTACGGGCACAGCGCCTCACAGCGCCAGGAGAACGAGAAGCCACTGCCTGATGTCACGAAGCTTCGGCCTGCGCGACTCGAAGCTGCGGCACCGGCTGATTTGACTGCTACCTTGCGGAGTTCCGAAATCTAGGGCGTTTGCTCCTTGTGCTTCGTGTGTTCCAAGTGGGCCCCCGTATCGCAGATTGATGATCCTGTCGGCAAGAAAGTCTTAAGTCTTGAGGGGCCCTGGCTCGCCGAACGGCGAAAACCTGCAGGAAGAGCTGAAACGCTTGGTACTCTTGCTACTTGTGGCCTTGTGGCTCAGAACTCTACCGAGCGGGTGATCAACCATCCTCAAACCAAATGAGACTATAGAGGCTTGGACTGGGAAGCTTTTTGGGTCTTGGGTCTAGAAAGCCCGGCTCCATTGGCTTTTTCAGCGCGGGGAAACCTGACGCCAGCCTGACGTGCTCCCAAAATTAGAACAGGAGCGGTGACAGGTAAGCGGAGGGAATGAGGAATCTTTTTGAACCGCAAAACTTACAACGCAAAGCCGCAGGCTATATTGCCTGCGGCAGTTAGGCCGAAGGGTCGCCGCGGCATCTGGATGTCGGTCAAACTCTGAGCGCCCTAGGTCTTAGCCGCTAAGCCTTGGATGGTACTGTAAGTAAGCTGTCACTCTCCGCCAGGCGCCAGCTGGCAAAGACAAGAAAGGTTGGACTGGCAGTGTGTCCTGGCATGTATAGCATGGGTGAAGTAATCCTGCCTGCAGGACCGGAAGTTGTGGATCCGAGTGACTTGCAGGCATCGCCTGCGACAGCATGACAGAGACGTGATGAGACACAGTCCAGGCATGACGTGGGCTTCTTGGTGCTAACCGTGGTAACCTGCTGCAGGGAAGCGAAGTAGACATCATGGTGGCCATCATGAGCATGCCCAAGGCGAAGGACGTCCTTGCCGAAACCTTCCGCACCTGTGCAATCATCCAGTCGGCGTGTCGACATTGGCTAAGTAGAATACCTTAGAACTTGATGATATGTGCTTTTTGCGAAGCCTCAAACTTGGGCTGTTCTACGCTGCTTCGAAATGTAGAATCTACATTTCGATATCTGATATCGAGGCCAGAAACATCTGAACATGGGTTTGATGTTTCCCGAAAGTCCAATGTCGCGCCAGCTTTAACCAAGCAGAGACACAGCAAGCAAACCTTGATCTCGAACTCGAGAGCTTGTGAAGATGCTCAGTGCCATGTCAGTTTCTGCAGCGCTCTAGTGAGAAGATTTCGTGGAGTTGTTGCATGTGGCAAGTAGTTTGTGGTCATTTGGTCATGCGTTCTGCTGATTGAAGGCCAAGATGTTTCGATCCTACCCTCGGTGAAGCCTGAAGTTCGATAAATGAATAAATAAATGAATAATTATTTTTTATACATACACACATATATATATACACATACACATATATTGATTGATTGTGTAACGGACACCCGGCTCGACATCTGGTGGCCGGGGATGCGCAGACATCAGCACGTCTTTTGTGGGCAGGATGGCGAGGAAGCAAGAAAGTTTGTAGACCAGGACCCGGCCGCCTAAACACGCTTCGCAGTGCCACTGTGCTTTCTCCATCAGCACCGTGTATGTTAAACGTTATTAAACGTTCTGAAGGCTGTTGCGCTGTTGCAGAAATGGACGCCAGCTTCAAACGACGAGGAATCTTGCCCACAAGATGCTGCAAGTCAAGCAATGGCCGGCAAGCCGACGTAGTGTGTGAGACCCTGGCACGCACAGCGGCAGGCCATGCTCTCGCTTTGGGTCGAGTTATGGACCAGGCGCTTGATGTAAGAAGTTGTAGGACTGCAATGCCACAACGGCTCGTGGTGCTAGACGTGAGATGCGGTTCTCGACAGACTCGGCCGGCAATGCCTGAAGCCACCCATGAATCCGAACACCGGCTGCGGCCCTTGCAAGCCTTTGCGCTCTTGTTTCGATCGCGAGTGCGCCAGCTGTGCACCAAGGTGCGAAGTATGCCCTCATGTGTGGAGTGCAGGGCCTGGGAGATTTGAACGCGCCCATGCCAAAGTGCGCTTCACCCCCGATTGGGATGCATAAGCGCCCGACGTTCCGTGGTTCATAGCTGCAGCGTGTGACAAAGCACAACGCATGCCGCATGTCTGCCACAAGCTGCACGGCCGCTCGGAGGTACGCCTCCCCATCGCTGCTTCGCTGGCGGGGTGCTTGCCATGCACTGTGCGGTGAAGTGTTCGCGTCCTTGGTGGACCCGTTGAAGCAGGCAAGAAGTGAAGAAGTGAAGAGATGTGAGCATGAGAGTCATGAGAGTCGCCCTCCACTGTGGTTTCGTTCGCTTGGGAATGTAACTTGTCAGGAGAAGGAGAGCCTCACCAAGCTGAGGTGCGACAAACTCCTATTGTTTCGAGCAGGAAAGTACTCATAGACTCAGACAGCACCAGGCTATTGCACGCTTCTTGTTTCGCAGGCGAATGTCTGTGGAGCAATTCGAATGCTGCTGTGAGTACGCCATGGTGACCAACAACCATGTAGCCCGGCCAGATGATCAGGATTAGTAGGCTCGTTTCTGAGAAGATGAATGAGGAAGCGATTAATTTTTTGGGAGTGTTTCAACTGAGAAGCCTAGTAGCCAAAGAGGGGGCGAGGGCCTCAACACCAAGCCCCAAATCTGCAAGGAACTGGCAAGCTTTGGTGCCAGTGCCTTGTGGTGACCTGGCGACTTCAGCCCTAGTTGAGTTGGCACCCAACTTCGGACGTAATTGTGACCTTGTGTTCGTAAGAAAAGTTCGTGAGGATGAGACAAAGGTTCTGGTGCATGCCACGGCCGCTGAGGAACGTGTCGCTACCTCTCATGCACTCCGGGGAGACGCGGCAGATGCGCTGTGCCCAGCATGGACAGACTTGAGACAGAGTGGCTTAGTACCTTCAAGTGCGTGCCCTGAGCAAAGACGGCCATCGCGCAAAGGCTCATAGAGCCATTCCTGAAGGCCACGCGTGCTCTTGCGGCCCACACCTTAAGGAGCCTTTTGTGAGCCTTTGCCGCAGGATCTCAGCACTAAAGCATGCTGCCAAGGCTGTGAAGTTCAACGAGGACCCATACTTTTTCGCAGCCCTCTACGCAGCGCTCTACGAAGCCGAGCAGCATCACACCCTCAAGACATCTCAAGACATCTCAAGACCACGAGTCCGCAGGTTGGAAGACTAGAGCAACAGGTGCTAGGGGGTTTGAGTCTCAAGTCTCGTCGAATCATTGCATGGAGTATAAGGACTGCTATGCTGACCAGCATCAATGGGACAAGATCCACGATATGCTGAAAGATGCTTTTGTGGCCGTACCGACCTCCTCCCATCGCCGGCTTTGGTCCCTGAGGATGTTGGCCCTCAGTCATCAAGGGAAGAATGTCACGGTCGCCATGGGGAAGATGAAGGCAGGGCACTGCAAGACATCTTTAGGCTTCATATGCTTAGCTTCAACGTCATTGTATATTTCTAGCCCCATACTGTCACTATTTGTCAACTGCACGTTCGGCGATGTGAGTCTCTCCACCTCGCACCAGGAAAGCCAAGCGAAGGCTCAGGCAAACATTTGGCTGGTGCTGGTTTCGGCCAGCTCGCAGCCGAAAGATCAGATCACAGCCTTCACCAAAGCAATCAACGTCTTGCAGGCTGCAATGCAGCCAGAGGTGGTGGAAGTCCGGATGCAATTTGCCGACTGGCTGTTGCGGAATGGCTTTCCAGTCTCGGATGCTCTGGAGCAACTGGCAGCAGCTTCGGATCTCCTGCTTGACATCGAGGAGGGCTCCGAGGATGAGGACGAGGAGGAGGCTGGCGGCGACGACGGCTTTTATGGTGCCACCCATGGAGACGGCGGAGGAGATGGAAGTGACGACGGCAGCTCCGTAGCCCCTTCGGACTGGGACAAGAGCGAGTCCAAGTTCGGAAGCAAGAAGGGCAGCAGCAAAGCTGGTAGCCGCATGGGCAGCAGCAAGGCCGGAAGCCAAGCGGGAAAGTCCAGCCGCCACGGGAGCCGTGCCGGCAGCCGTGCCGGGAGCCAGAGCAGCCGCATGTCCCGGAAGAAGAAGAAGAAGGGCAGCGCGAGCCGAAGCGTGGCGGGCAAGAGTGCCATGGGCGCTTCGCGAGCCGGTAAGAGCTCCAAAGGCTCCAAGGCGGGCTCTCGGGCGGGCTCTCGTGCAGGCTCACGCGCAGGCTCGAGAGCGGGCTCGCGTGCAGGTTCCCGAGCCGGATCCCGGACCTCAAAGAAAAGCGCCAGCGTCGCTGCAAAGTCCAAGAAGCAGCAAAAGCAGGAAGAAGACGACGAAGTGGAGGCAGAGCTCTTCGCTCATAACTTCGAGTCGCTCTGCCGAATACAAGGGCTGAAGGCACAGCTCACATGTGGAGTAGAAGTTCACACATCGCTTCAAGCTGCCTCACACTTCGCGGTGCGATTCTTCGAGTCCTCGCTCGAGCTCCTTGCCAGCACCTCTGGAACTTTCTGTTGGCGGCTGTTGGCTGCACGTTGTGGCCATTCTCGCTTTGTGCATTTGTGCATCTGTACACCTGCCATTGTGCTGGTGATTCCTGATGCAAAGGCTGGCAAACACCTTCGCACAGGAGTTGCACAACAAGATGCAGAAGGACTGAGAAAAGGTTGTGAACCGGAGTGGAGAAGAGGCTCAGTTGCTGACTGGTAGTCACAAGTAGTCACTGTCGTCCCGTACTGCAGATCGCGAAGGAAGTGTTCCTCTGTCATTGTGCCCAGTGCAGGAGGGAGATGCAGCTGCTGATGCAACAAAGGTAGGGAAGAAGGACCGTTCTTGTCATGTCGCGTGAGCATGCATCACAGTCAACTTCTGTACATTTCTGTACCTGTCCGTAAAAGCAGGAGGAGAAGGATATTCTTCACCTGGCACCGTGCTTCTCACTGCCGGTACGCCTTGCCGACTGGGCCTGCATGGAGAAGTGGCCTTGGCGAGAGAGCGCTGCCTCGGCTACCTCGGAGTCTCCACCCTCTGTCTTAGCGGAGGTCTTTAAGCGTGCAGAGCTTGCTGGATTGGTCTGGAGCAGCACATGCACCTGGGTGGGGCATCCAGAGGCTTTCTCCAGGCCGCAGGTAAGTTTCTTTACTTTGATGGCCCTGGAAGACGACCTGGAGGAGCATGGCTACCATTTGATGGCCTTGCCTTTGCTTTGCTTGCATTGCCAGTTGGCCTCTGCCTTCGAGAGCCCTTCTGTGAAACTGGCCGTTGCTTGCACAGCGAAGCTTCGCCTGGCACGCTTCGCAGCAGCTTGCCGACTGCGGGAATACTCCAAGGCCCTGCAAGCCGAAGCCGAGTTGGACTTGCAGGAGCTGCCCAAAACGTTCAGCAGCTTCAAGGAGGAGCTGGAACAGGTGCGAAGCCAACGCGCAGGCCGGAGTGGAGCAGATACTCCGGACCCACCCTGGCTCACAGTGCAACTGCCGAAAGGTGATCAACATCGGGTAGCGACGCCCTGGTCGATTGGTCAGCTCTATGCCTATCAGGTTTGGGCCGAACTGGGTAAAGAGTGCCTGCACCATGCGGAGCTCTGGATGGCCTGCACGCTTACCAGTGAGGCGGAGCACCACGCTCGCGTCCATGGCGATGGCCGGACACTGCGAGACCTGGCCGTCACAAGGGCGCGGATCGCCATGATGGAGGGCCAGCACGGCGAGGTGATCCGCGCGCTCCACGAGCTAGAAGCCGCGGACCTGCGACAGTGTACAGAAGCTAAGCAGAAGAGGTTACGATAAGGACTAGCAGTCACTCTCTCTGTCTTTTCGTTTTTATTTGGTTTATTTGTTTTATTTCTCTCCCTCTCTCTCACACGCTCTCTCGCTCTCTAAGGAGGCCTCCGTGCTCTTGGCCGATGCCCACGATGCCCGCAAGGAGACACTGCCGGCCATCACAGCATTGCAGGAGGCGGTCGTTGCCATCCAGGCGAGCCCAGGCAGCACGCCGCCCGAAAAAGCCAAGCAGGCAATGGGAAGCATTGGAGGATCAACATTCAAACCGGGCGGGAGCGATACGGGCGGCTTCCAGCCCAGTTCAAAGCAAGTGCTGGCGCACTGCAGCGTCAGTGTGCGGCAGTTGCACGCAGAAGTGAGCAAGCTCCGGGCAACCCAGGTTACAACGAAAGAATGGGTGAAGGACCTGCAAGCTGCATTTGATCAGCACCTGCACATCGGCCAACAGCTCCTGGCTGCTGGCTTCTACAGGCGGCACGTGATGGAATGCCTGAGCTTTTTGGAGCTGATGTTCCCTTTGGTTGAAGCAAAAGAGGCAGACTTCACTCGTGATCCTCAGAACTGCAGGGAGCTGAGCTACAGTGCCCTGGAAGAGTATGCAGGGCGCATGGAGCAGGCTGTGCTGGCTGTGCGCACCTCGCGAGATGCACTCCTTACCTTGACGTTGCCCGTGGAGGGTATGGAGCAGAACCTATCCTTGCCTTCGGAAACATTACTAGCTCGGCTGGACATTTGGGAGGCCCGTGTTCTTGCTCTGAGACGCTCCTTCTCCGGAAACGCCAGGCTGCACCGGAGACTGCTGCACTTGCGCAAAGTCATCGACCCCAAGACAACCGACATCTTCATAGCAAGCAAAAACAGCGGTGGCTTCTTTGGCAGCTCCATCGCAGATCGTATCTCAGGAGGCCGCGAGAGCAGCTCCATGGATGATCAGAGTGTCGTGGAAAGATGGCTGAAGCTCATGAATGAGCAGATCGACGAGGAGGACAAAATGTCGAACCAGGCCCGAGACATGACCGAAGTGGAGGACTCCCTGGCCAAGGTGGGAGGGGGGGAGGGGGGGAGGGGGGGGGGGGGCGCCACGAACCACTTGACGCGAGTTCTTGTGTGCAACCCTAAAAGGGTTCCTTGGCATGAGTTTTTGCACGAGACAAGCGCGCACATTGCCTCCGGCTCACGGGCCCCTGCGGTTTGGGCTCGTAAGCTTCCATTCATCTTTGTTTCGGGGAGGGGGGGGGGGGTTGGTTTTTCGAACATAGGTCGATTTCGGCGGCCTGATGTGTTTCAACTTGGTTTTGGGAGAGGGTGATTAGCCAGGGAGCCATAAAATTCGACCAGATACAGGACTGAAGTCTTCGTCCTGAAGCGCCTCGAGCAAACCGAACACCGAAGATTGAAGATTCCGTGACTTTTGCTTGAAATCTTCAGTTGCCCATCCTCATCTTGAAACGTTTGGAAGCCAGGACGCCAAATCGAAGGTTGAAGGTCGAAGATTTGGGGTGACATTTTGCTGGAATCTTTGGTTGTCCGTCCTCGTCTTGAGACGTCTTGCCGAAGATCAAAGGGCTGGTAGTCGGGGGGTTTGCTTCGACATGAAAAGGACATCCTGGGGTTGGCAACCTGCGCAAGGGCTGGAAATTTTTCTTTGTCCTTCTGCTTGAATGCTTTTTTTCGAGCCGGACCATTGTTATGTGGGCTCCATTGAGCCTGCAGCAAGCAAATCTGCAAGAGAGAGAGAGAGACCCCGACGATGAAATCCCTCCGTCTTCTTGCCATGAGAACGTCGTGAGGGCTTACAGCGAGCTTTGCAGGTGTCCAATGCTTTATCAGTACTCGAAGCTGCCGAGCGGAGCTGAGTTACAGCAACATAGTTCCATCGGCTGTCGTCATATGTTGTAGCAAGCTGCTGGTTGCCATCCACAGTTGCCACCGAGGTGGTACCTGATGGGGTCGAGGCCACCATTGCAGTTCCTTATATACATCACCGCCTTGGCTGTTTTCCATTGATCCACCAGCTGAAGCACCAGAATGATGTGACCAGCCATTGCTCGCCAGCAGGTGACTGATGCTCCTCTGCAATATCCACTGCTATGGTCTGAGGCGCACTGTGCTGAATCTGGGCAAGAACTCATCAACGTGCTGCCTCCCCCTAGACTCCTAGACCCAACCTGGAAGGCCAGAGCAGAAATGGGCCGGTTGCAGATGGAACTCTCCACGCGTCAGGCCTCTGTTTTTGCCCTCACACTTCGCCAGCTGGATTTGTTATGGGCTATCTGTTGCGGCGCATCCTTAACTATCAAGTTGGAAGGCGACCTTGGTGCGGAGTGCCGGCAAGAACTTGGACGAAGACGCACCTGCCCTCCCCTCACCAAACCTGTCTCTGAGATCTGGGAAGTGGGCCGTGCCCAGGTCGCCGCAGCCAACAGGATCTGGGACAGCTTGCAGTCGCCAGATCCTACGGAGGTTCAAGGCTACGCTTCCGATATCTTGATGTCACATATCTCTCATCACAACTGAATTTGAGTTGAGAGGCCTGAAAGCGGCAGAGAGGTACAGCAACAAGCTGAATGGCTTAGATCCGAGCCAGGCTGACCGACCCATAGCTACGAAACAATGTTACTTGACCGTAGCAAGTAGCAAGTGAAGGTGTACCAGCCGACCCAGGAGGCGGAGGTCGCCTGTCTTGTGTTGGATGTCACGGGGGCCATGACATGCATCAATTCGGCCAAAGTGTTGCGAAGCATTCTAGCGGCAGAATGTAGCGTCGATACGCCAGGAAAGCAAGGAGGAGGCTAAGGAGCCAGCTGGAGAGGAGGCAACGACCCTGGTAGCCAGAGCTTTCGTCGATGACTTGAATTCATGCTGAAGACCTTTTTAAGATTTGTCGTCTTTGGCTTAGCAGTGTAGCAATTGTATCCTTTCGCGGAAAAGATCGGACAATGATGCATCCCTTGTTGCATTTAACCATGACTTCTCCGAATTGAGATCTTGGCTACAGAAATTCAGCAGTTTTGAAGAGATGCAACACACGCACCAGGACGGCCTGCTGGACTTCAGGACCTTTGCCCGGCACACACTATGTGAGGCGCCGGTTCAGAAGCAGGTGTATCACTGCTCTAGACTACAGCGTCAGGCTGCCAAGCACGCCCTCAACAACCGGTGCCTGTTTGCCGCGAAACGGGCTTTTGAGGCCCCTGTTCCTGAGACGATTCTTGTCGACACCATCTCAGGCAATCTTGAGTTTCAAGACAGGCTCCAGGATATATGGCATATTCTGAAACTGCAAGTCCAAGAGTGTCGTAATGAAGTAGGCACAGGAGACCTCTCCGTATTGACAGTGTTGAGCCCTGTTGAGCTGCAGGTGTTGGCGTGCCAAGCCTACGGCCTTTCTGTTCCGATGGCTTCCTTCGAGTCCCTTGCGAGGGAACATGGCGGCCACACTGTAACCGTCAGAATCAGTCGCACATGTGCTTAACCTGCATGCAATCTTGCTCGGTCTGGGAGGGGGGTGGGGCGTAAGTAGAATCACCAGCTTCTTCGGGGGCGCGCATTTTGCAACGCCGCTAGGTAACTAAGTGTAAGAAGCTGTAAGTAGGTGGCTACTCAGGTTTCTTTGCTGGCTGCAGAGTACAGAAGCCCTGGGCTCAGACGCGGCGCCCAAGACTTGAACTTCTGCTGAGAGACCTTCAGTGAAGCAGAGGTGTGTATGCGGGAGGAGAGGCTGTTCAAGGCACTCCGCTCCATGCTATGCCTCGGCAAATCCAAGAAGCACCATGGCTGGCGAGGAGAAGCTTCCAGAGGATCACGATGAGCGAGTGCAGCTCTACCTGCCAGGGCCTCGGCACCTGTCAGTCAAACTATCTAGTTAATCTAGTTACCTTCGCAAACTCAAATCCCGCAAAGGCTCAGAAACCTGGAGCAACGATGGCCGTTTCCAGAAGAGATTGGAACCTACAAGGCAAGTGCGGGTATGCATCAAGGTTCTGCGGTTATCTACTCTTGCAGTGGGGGGCCAGGGGTCTTGACAGTTGACAACCTGAGCAACTGCCTTGCCAGGCTATCCGCCAGCGACTGGAGACCGAATCACCCTTTTTCCAGAGATTGCAGCTGGAGTCATGGCTGGATTTGCTTTCCCACTCAGTTTTTCGACGCTGCGCGTCGCCCGCCTCGGCCTGGCTGGGGGTGCGAGGAGAGGTACTCAGCCAAGGGAAAGGGTGGGGGAGGTGATTTAGAGGAGGGCAACCAGGAGCTCCCAGGACTGTCCCATAACAAATGTCGGACGCCTTGCAGCCGAGGCCGAGGCGAATTACTTGCGGTCTTGGCCCAGTTGGCTACATATCTTTGAAGGATTTTGGACGAGTGCAGCTCCGGATATCTTATCTGAAAGAGGCTCTGATGTAGCGACGTTCCCAAGGACAAGCTGCCCTCGATCGAGGAGATTTTGCTCTCGCACTTGCCGGCTTTGACATTGGTAGTCCTGCGCTCGGTCATTCCCGTGCAAGTTTGCTGTTCAGAATACCAAGATCGGCCCTCAGCACTCACCTTAATGCCCCAAAATGGAGCCCCTTGTCATCGTCGTTATCATCATGGTCATCGTCATCCTTACCATCACCATCATCGTCCTCTTCCTCCTCCTCCTCGTCGCCATCATCATCATCACCACCACCACATGTATGAAACATGTTTCGCATGCCAGGATTAGGCAGTGGGCAGGGCAAACATTGGAGCCCTGAAAGGAGATGAAAGCTTTCACGCGTTGTGTGTGTTTGTGTGGGAAGCCTGCCCTTATTCTCCATGATGAGCACATAATTACGTATGATCAAAGATGATCACGTAGGTTACGGCCGCTTCACAGAAGCCGAGGTTACTCTGCAGTTCCGCTCCAACTACATTTACGTGGGGGTGCCGCGGCGACAATGTGAGATCACAGCCCTCAAGCAAATGGTTCAAGTTTTCCTGCAGATTGTGCTGTGCTTTGCAGTGCAGACAACATAGTTGCATGATACATCATGCGAGACTTCAAGAGCTACTTCAAATGGTTATGCTGTTATACTCCTTGGATTTCCCAACTTGACGCTGATTCCTTCCCTGTTCCCAAAACTTGAAACCCGAAGGAAACAAAGTCAGTTGAAGGGAAGAGAAACTCCGTCGGAAAGTTTCAGCAATAGTCTCCCCAGAGAGGCAGTGCTGAGCCCGGATGCGGGGGACCGTGCGGAACGCGTTCAGCAGCTGCAGCCGATGGTGTCCCGACACATGGTGCACCCTGCGGAGGCTCCAAACACCCCCCAAAACCAGAGGGGCCGAAGTGAATCTCGGATGCACTCCTGTCTCCAGGTTCAGACCTCCATCAATCGGATATTGTCCACAAACAGCACCGCACTCAGAATGCCCCCCTCAAGGCACTCAAGGGGGGCAACCCTCAAGACACCCGTGTGTCCGGTGTCACCGGGGAGTGATGGCAAGTCGTACCTGGTTGTAACTTCCCCTAGTAATTACTCCCTAGACTGGAAGCGGAGAGGACGACAACTAAGGCCAGATTGAGAAGCAGCTGCTGTCGTCACCTGAAGTCGATCCAGCGCCAGGTGCTCAATGCGAACCTTCAAGGCATTGAATCGCTTCAGTGAGAAGTGTTTTAAATTTTGCGACTCGGACCTGGCGTCTCAAGAATGTCTCAGAGGCTTCAAGAGAACATCCGGATGGTCGTGGAGGAATTCGACGAGCATTTGATGGAGCCGCTCTCGCGACGGCTGGAGGCATCCAGGGGTCTCCGCGCTGATGATCGCTGATGGGTCTCTAGAATTTTTTTCGAATCTGCAAACTTCTTCTCGCAGTGCTTACGTGTGGTGGACTTTTATGGTGTCAGGGGCATTTCTGGCAGTGTGGCCTTCATGCCGGTGCCTCATAAGATCGGTCTCTGCTGCGCAATCCTGCAGAGATTTTGGCATTTTGACCACGTTTACGTTTGGGCCACATGACCACTTCGGCCTCAAGGTGCGAGTTGCTCAGAGGAAGTAGGAAGAGGAGGACTCCTTGAAGAACTTAGGAACAACTGCCAGGGCCAGGGTGTTTTGAACGTAGGGTGGAATGCCGAGACCCCAAAAGCCCAAATTTGGCCCCATTAGCCAAGTGCTTCAACATCGTTTGCCTCGACAACATCAAGGTCCAGCAGATTCCAGCAGTTGCATGTGAAGCCGCATGGAAGAGACGGCACGGCTGTTAGCTCTGCTCTGTCACCTGCTGAGGCTGAGCTGCCAGCCACCCCCAACCCGCGACAGCTCCTCCTGCTGCCAGATGCCTCCCTGGCAAACCTGCCGTGGGGAGCCCTATCCCTTCGTGTCTCCAAGTTTGACTCCACATATACAGACAGATAGACAGCTTGAGTTTGTCTGAGTATGTCTCGTTTGGGTTTGTCTCAGGCTGGAGACCATGCCATCGCTGCTCCGTCTCTTCGGAGAACGCGGGGCGGAGTGCATCCTTAGGCACAGTTGGCATTGCAAAGTGGGCAAACGGGGTAATACCGGGCGACCATGCAATGTGTTCATTAGAAGCAGCTTTGAGCTCCGGATTCAACTCACTAACGTTTTGTTTTCCCCTTCTCCGTGTGCAGTTGCATGTCTTTGCGTGCATGAGCTCAGTTAATTTTTTCAAGAGCGCATTCCGGTAGCATTGCCGGGATTTAAGGGATCGGGTCTAGGAAGTCTAGAATTCTAGGATGGTCAGAGCTGAGTATTCTGCACAATGATAGATTGCATCGTAGGGGATGGTTTCAGGCGTCTGTGGTGCAAAGTGCCCTCTCGTGCTAGCAGCAGCATGCGGCAATGCCAGGGATCACTCCTTGCACATGATGGCGAAGAGGGCGCGGGACTCTGCAGATGTATCTGCAGACAGTTCCCCTCTGAAGGCCGCCTTGGCACTGTGGGCATGTACGTACGGTTTTCGCATGGCCCAATGAAGTCAGCGCACTCAAATATTCATGGAGAGAGACTCCTCCTCCTCCTACTACTACTACTACTACTACTACTACTACTGCTGCTACTACTACTACTACTACTACTGCTACTACTACTACTACTCCTCCACCTCTTCCTCCTCCTGCTGCTGCTGCTACTGCTACTGCTATTCCTTCTGCTATTCCTACTACTACCACCACTACTACTACTATTACTCCTCCTCCTCCTCCTGCTCCTCCTCCTTCTCCGCTTCCTCCTCCTGCTGCTGCTCCCTTACTTACCTATAGCAAGGACCAGGTCTTAGCCGCAAGGCCTGCATGCAACAGCCAGCGCGCCTATACCAAAATAGAGAAGTTGGTTGTAGTTCTTGTTTGTGAAGTTGATGTGGCTTTGAGTTGTTGGGTTTCCCCAGAACCTGCCGTCGATACTCGAAACCCAGCATTTTATGTTTCGCAGCTTTGCCCTCTGCAGCAACGATTGAATGAAAGGCTGAGCCGCCGTAGGCTGCCAAATCCGCAAGTTCGACGATCCAAGAACTCCTATAATGTCGTTACATTTCGTTCATACGTCCTTTGAGAACTTTGCAGAAGTTGCAGAGTTAGCCAGACCCGAGCTTCATTGTTTGCAGGTTGCCCTGCAAACTCTGCCGAGAACCTCTTTGCTCGACAAGGTCCACTAAAGCAACCACAAGCCCAGGGGCATTACGGTCATCAAGACTGGCGAGATTAGCATGTGAAGATCGCGTTGCAGGCCTGAGCTCCAGCTTGCCGGTGAACTTCCTCATTCCAGGAGGAGAGGGAGGTTGGCTGTGTTCAGAAGGGTCAATTGTACACTGACATGCTCAGATTGTGCTAGAGGGCCTGTCATGTCCCCGTGGAGATCTGTGGAGTCAGTCTGGGCAATTCTGTGGCTCGTGATGCAGAAGTGGCTCAAGCACCCTTGTTGCTTTCCAAGGCGTGCAGACCGGGTCATGGGCAGAGTCCCCCTCCTCCTTTTGCATGCCGCGGGTGCTGCTGCAACATGCTTGAAATCCCAAGCTTACGGCACTCCTGAGCAAAGGGGGGCACCTTTCAGTGGCGCCCTCAGAAGAGCCGGGATGGGGGCTTCTTGCGATGCATTCAATGGATGCATTCGATGGATGCTGGGTGTGTTCAGGGTGTTCAGTTCATGTTCGAACCAGAGCGCCTCGACTCAGGCACCAACATCAAGGATGCGGAAGCGTGCCAAGCGTCCTAGGCTTAGCTGTGCTGAGGGCAAACTGACAAGGGCAGGCGGGAAGGGGCGTGGCCGACTCTGTTCCTTTTCAATTCAGGTCCTGCGCGGGCATGAACAATTGCCGCCATTGGACGTACGATACCAGTACGACAGGCAGTGGCCTGAGTTTATGCGAGAGGATCAATCGCTGTGAGCTGCAAGCATGGGCAGTTGAGTTGAATGGCATTTCTCCTGAGATTGCTGGCTGCTGGAAAAAGTTCTCTTCGTGCAGATGCAGGTCCCCTTGACCAATCATCTCTAGTCTTGTCAGGGCTGAGTGTGCCTTTGTTGATCTTTGTTGATTGCAAAGCCCTGCAGGACACTGCCATCTCGGGAACCGTGGAGTGCTCGCTTGAGCAGGACGTATGTTCTCTCCCCTTGGGGTGACGCATAGTGATGCGCTCTGTGATGCGCTGTGAGGCCATGTGTCATGTGAGACAAGCGTGAGTGTGTCTTGGTCTGTGCCAGGAAGACGAGGCCTCACGGAGCAAACGGGTCCTGGAATCACTGGCGAAAGCATCCCAGTTCGTGCACGATCGGACGTCCTCTGACCAGTTGCGAAAGATGGCCAAGCATGTCAAGTGGTCCTGTGAGAACGACTTCCTACCGGAGGAGAGTTACGATAGCGTCGTCCAGGTGATGTCCGAACTCTCATCACTGGTGAACACACCGGAGGGACTTATTGAAGCTGCTGAGCAGGGGGCAACTCTAACATCGGATGATGTCCACTGGATCACGAAGCACATGAAAAAAGAGGAGGTTATACATGGCCTCTACGGTTTCGAGGATGCTGAGACGGGTGCAACAAATGGTGCCTGCAGCAAGAAAGGCGTAGCTTGTGACGAAGGAGACCCGGGATTTTCAACACCATCGGCTTCTCTGCCCTCAACTTTCAACTTGCACTCAGACCTTTTGCCACAATGTTTACACCCTTTACATGACTCGTTCTGTTTCGCATGAGCCTGGACAGGATCTGGAAGCCTCGGGGCAGGCACACCGTGGGATGGTGCGAAGGCTTGGGGTTCCTGGGGTTACTGGGATACGTCAATGTGCGCCAATGGAGTATCGAGCGGAGAGAACCTAGGGACATCTAGGGTCTAGAGAGCCCAGAGTCATTGTTAGCAAGAGCCCGCCTGCCAGTAAAAAATGACGTCGCCAGAGGTGAAGTTCTGCTATGATGTCGCGCTTGCCGCGAGCGCGAGAGAAGCGCTGCAATGCGCCATGGCAACCTGCCTGAAATTCTGCAGTGCAGGGACCTTGCCAAGTAGGCTGCGAGATGTCGTGCGAAAGACATCCGATTGCTCTTGTCAAACTGCATTGTCAGTGCATCCTGCAATAAGGCAAAGATCACAGGTCATGTTCCCGGCATCATGTTTGAGAACGTGCAGTACGCCGGGCTCGACCGGTGCGGCGCGTCGCCAGCTATTTACTTTCAGTCCAATGGCCGGCGCAGTGGCGGCGGCTGCTGGTCAGACATCGGCATGTCAACTTCCCTATTTGGTGGGAATCAGAAATTGAATTTGCAATCCCCTGGTTGCGACAACTGTGGCACGGCAACCCATGAACTCCTCCATGCCTTGGGAATGGCGCACGAGCAGTCGAGACCCGATCGCGACGGCTTTGTCACCATCGTGTGGAACAACATCAAGCAAGGTATGGATGGTCAGTTTACCAAGAACCCACGTGCAGACACCGCAAGACCGTATGATATCATGTCCATCATGCATTATGGTTCCCGATCCTTCTCCAAGAACGGTCAAGACACAATCCTGGTGAAGCCTAGCGGGTACCACCTTTACACGACCAATCCTTCGCAGTTTGCGTACTATCGCGTCGGCCAGAGAATGGGCATGAGCAGGCAAGATGTGTCTCAGCTTGCTGACCTTTATGGATGCAGTCCAGCTAGCAACTACCAGAGTTGCCAACCTTCTGGCGGTGGTGGTGGTAGTAACTTCATTGCGACTCCAGTTGCAATAAGTGTGTCTTCTTGCGCTGTACCATGTGCAAACAGTATGTGGAGACACGGTGCAGAAGAATGAGATCAGCTCAGGCCATTTTGAGCCCAGAGGGCGCCTTCTCTGACACCGGCTGCACAGCTGCATGCTAGCTGCATACTGCTCAGCAATGTGCATAGACTTAAGCTGACCAACTGTTAAACTTGTGGTATTGCGTCCAGGAATCAGGAGTTTCAAGGAATGGCCACCTGGGATTGCTTTGTGTAAAAAGCCACAAGCCATGTAAGATTTGAGCTCGCAGCTGAAGCCAGAGGCAGGGAGAGCGGCAGCTGTTTGTCTCAGGGCACGACATTGCCATTCTGAGTTCTTGCGTCATTAGAGTTCGGTCCGGTGCTTCTCAGCTTCTAAGCTGTGAGCCTGATGCACACAGTGCGGTGCTTTGTTGCTTCGTCGCTCAAGCTAAGGCTTGATCGTTCTGATTGCGTCGCTGCTTGCGGCCGTTGTTTGCATTGGAGGCTTTTGCTTCTGTTTTGGGGGGTCCGCCTCGAGCAAAGCCATCCGGAGATATGAGAGATTTTGAGATTCCGCGATTTCAATTGCACAAAGTGGCCTGGACGTGAGCTCGTGCCTCGCGGCAGCACACAGCGTGACTATGATCCAATGTTTGCAGATGCGTGACCTTCGCCGCATAGCCATGTGAGTGGCCCAAGGTTGATGCCAATCACGCTGAAGCGGCTGAAGGTTGGGATGCTTATGTTGATGGGACGACGGGGTGGTTTGCCAGACAGGTTTGGTGGGCCAAAGTTTGGATGCATTGAGGAAGATGTTCGTTGCACTAGGAGACAGCCACTCGTGCAGCATGTGCCATAGTTGGCATTGGCTCCGGTTACTCGCGGTGTTGGAGCATGAGCACGGCTTCCCAAGTCCCTTGAACGCGTCCTCAGGTGTCTTCACATACAGTGATTGAAAAAACAATCGCTGCCGGCTGTGAGAGCCAGTTCATGTTCAATGTTGAAGATTTCAGTCGCTGTACAGTAGCCTGACTATCACTTAAGGTGCTGGTGGGTTTACGTGCCAATTCGATGCCACCAGGCAGCGGACCTGTCACACAAGGATTGACAAAAGATGTGTCGTACCCCATGGTTTCACCGCGACTTGAGGAGCTGGCCAAGATTCGACTGTATAAAGAGGTGTGTTTGGGTTGGTGCACGAGTGTGATGCATGGTGCTGTAGTTTGGGATTGCTTTGTCCGAAGCAATGCGCACTTCGCAGTGGGACTCGTGCTGCTGTGCTCGGAAAGATCTCCAGGACTCCGTCTGCCCGACGTTGAACCATCTTGAGAGGAGCTTCTCACCGGTGCACGCTTAAGAGACCTGTGCCGACAAGCACCATCAAACGAAGCCAAAGTTGTTATGTCATGTCTCAAAAGCCCTAGAATGGAAGAATGTCGGGGCAAATCCTTGCGCAGACGGCAGAAAGAAGACACTTTAAGACAACATGATTCTGTGCGATATTGCATGACAGTGGCATGCTCAGAATCTGAGCAGCCTGTCCGTTTCATCCATGTTTCACCCTTTGTTGGCGATCGAAGACTCGGCCGGCAGAAACAATGCAGGTGGCTGCCCAAATGATTTTCCTTGGTTTCCGTTCGCTAGCAGTAGCAAGCTGGGATTGGGTCGGTTCTGGCGAGGGGTGCAACACAGGGCCTCTGATTCTGACCTCTGTAAAAGCCCGGAGAGCGCTCTTAGTTCACCCGCCGGCCGTGTTTTTTAGCCGTTTCCTGGACATGAACGAAGTGCGGCTAACGAACCGCAGAATCCACCAAGTCAATGGCTTTGCCGAGGGGCCTCTGCCGAAACCAGGGGCAGGCAGTTCAATTACTGTTCCATTGCAAGCATGCCACTTAGGCCGCTAGGCTCAGGTCAAGATACAAAGTTTCAAAACCGGTGTTGAATGGCTGCTTGCATGGATACACCTTGTCCGATCGACTGCTCATGGCTCAGTTTGCAACCCGCGGTTCCTCAGGCAGAATACAGGTTTTCACAACCCACTACTTGTGCCCCGAGGCGCACTGGATTCTCTGGGCGGCGTGCCCAAATGGGCCTCGATTTCTGGTCCCTTGCCTCATTTGCAGCTGGAGTGCTGGAAGTCTCAGGCCTCGAGCTACAAAGTTGCATCGTGTGGCAGGTCGATGCCAACAATCAACTCACGCCCCAACCTGAGATGGCTGCCGCGCAAAAGTAGTAAAGGGATCGAACAAAGCTTGAAGGATAATCGACTCTTTCTTGAAGGTTGTTTCGTAAATTCGAGAATGTGTTCTGGCGGCTGTTCCTGTGGTTTCATCGTGGCTTAGCAGATGCGGCATGATGTCGTTTGCAGTGGCGCTGCTTGCTGTTGAGAGTCAGTCACTCAGAGTATTGACAGAGATGGACTGGAAGTCCCAAGTGGGGTTCGGTAGGTTCTGTAGGGAGCCAGCGTCCTGGTGTCAGCTTTCCCAATGCTGCATGATCTCCCCGAGTACAGAGAAGGGGGCGACGCTGTTTACCAGTAGCAGTTTCTGTTCTGACTTGGCGCTGGCCTCAGTGGAATGACGTGGGCTTTCCGGCTGCTTTGCTTTAAGGATCTTGTGCAGCCAGATGGAAGATGGTGGGGGGCCCAGACATGCCCAGACTGAGCAATGCTCTGCTGCAGAAGAGACACTGCCCAGGGCATGGTGTAGTCAGAGGAGTTCAGCGTGGGCGGAAGGCGCCCAGCCTTTGGAGGGTATAATTGGGATGTCAGTGTCGGGGCGTTACTCAGGCAATCCGCTGCAGTCTGCAGTCTGTGAGGTTTGGAGCCGCTAGACTGGGAGGAGGTCCTGGAAGCTGGACAGAGGCGAGTGCCGACACAGGACGACGGAAGGGGGGGGGGGGTTGGCCTTCTTCAGCCTAAATGGTGGATTCCAAAAGGCACGGCATGCGGGCGATGCTCAGGATTGCAGTTGTGATGCGTGCAGCTTGCCGGCTCTTGAACTTGCACTGGTCTGTGCCGGAGTAGCAAGTGCACTCCTTCAACACCCCTGAACCCCATTCATCGTCGATCTAGATACATGCGCCCCCTTTTTTTGCTTGACACAAACGGATGGAAAAGCTTCGACAAGCACCTGCCCCTTTGATAGTACAACTGTCGGCTCAGTGCGGCTTCTGGAACTGGAGTGCTCTTGTTTGCATCATTTTCACCGAAACTCTAGGGACTCTATCAGCTCGCAAGCTGGTTGAGCTCGACCCCACAACAGGCGAATTCAATCTGCGTGGTCACCAGGAGTCGATTCGAGTTGCTGCTCGCTTCAGACCACTAAGTCTGCTGGAGAGGCTGGGCCCCGGGTGAAGCCCTAGCGTGTGGAGCCTGTGGACCCTGTGGAGCATCAGCCGCGCGCTGGAAGTCAGCCATGTCCTGCTAGGGAAAGTGGCGAGGACGAGAAGGTTTGCGTGAAGTTCGGCCAGGATGGCCAATCTTGCACGCTGCGAATGCAGAAGCTCCTGGTCTTTCATGTCTTTTCTCGACCGCACAGGTCCTAAGTTGTCAAGTTCCATGTTCAATCAAGCCATGGGCAAGGGAAGACCCACACTGTCACTTAAAAGAGACTCTACAGACTACAGAGGCTAGGTAGGTCAGACTTCGAATGCTTCCCAGCCTTCCACGCTTTCACGTTTAGCAGACTTGGGCCCGAAAACATGGGATTCGGCCAGGATGCCCCAACTGAACAAAAACTGTTATTAGGCAGCATTCGCTTTGGCCAAGCTGCACTGAGCTGAATCCCGAGCCGTGAATTGACACCCCGTGCATCCCAAAGCCCGAAGGCACCTTGCTTGATTTCTGTTTCTTGCCGCCGCTTGAAGCTGTAAGGACACATGGAATCAGCGAGTTTTCGTTCGCATACGACCATCTCTTTCAACCAGAAGCTTCACAGTACGACGTTTACAGGGCTGTGGCGCAGCCGATCGTCGAGGGAGTCATACATGGTTCCTGGCGTTGCAATATGTCACCGTACAGTAGCTTTGTCGCTGCAACTGTGCAGCAGATCATTAAATCCAGGTTACAATGGAGCCATCCTGGCCTATGGGCAGACAGGCAGCGGCAAGACACATACCATGCTGCTTGACGCAACACTGGTTCATGCGATTTGCATCCAACATGCTCCTGTGCCAACAACATTAGGTTCGGGTCTTCGGACGCCACCTGGATGGACACCATCGACGCTTGGGCTCACGATCCGATCATGCATGAAACAACGAATGCACTTTTGCTTAGACCATCCAGTTGCGCCGCTGTGCCTGCAGGATGTGGATTCGCAGAGCATTGGCATCATTCCTCGCGCGCTGCAGGCTGCGATTCGTCGCCAGTTTGGAGAGCTCAGGCCCTCGTGGCCCTCCATAGGGTATTCCTGGTGCAGGAGTTGGTGGACTACGCCACCAATACCGATGGCCTTGTGCAGCTGCGTGCATCATACGCAGAAGCCTTATAGGGAAAGCATGCATTTGACAGCACAAAGTGTCCGACATTGTCAGACTCGCTCGTCACAGCCCAGTGGCATTCGTGCCTCGCTTCAGGTGGAGATTTACAATGAGAACGTCCTAGACACTTACGCTGCGAAGAAGACCCGGCAACCTTCAGTGGATTGCAGAAGACTCAGCAAGTTTCTGCCACATTTCCATCTTCAGCCGAGGACCTGCTTGCTCCGTTGGGCGGGGCCATCGTGGGAGACATGCCATCCTCTGCGGAGATGCGTCATAGGACCCAGCAGCCAAGTCCTTCTGCAACAGGGGCGATTAAAGCCTGTCCAGACTCAGGCGAGCAGGCGAAGGATCTGTTCCTGCCCACCGTCACCGAGACGCCTTTCGGGTCCGTGCGCGAGGCACGCTGGGCACAGCACCTTCTCATGCCAACTGCTTTAGCCGCTTTAGCCGCTTTAGCCCCCGCCCCTTGCCCCCCCTTTGCCCCTTCTCATTTCTCTTCCAGCGAGGCCATGGAGGTGATGCGCTTGGGCAACAAGAACCGGCACCAGGCCCCTCTCTCTCTCTCTCTCTCTCTCTCTCTCTCTCTCTCTGTCTCTTTAAAGGAAGTCGAGGGCATCTTGCTCTCAGAAGTTGGTCTGGAGCACAGAGATGCTTGAGATAAACTTAGACTTCAACTGCAAACACCGCATCTAGGCTGAAACAAAGATGAATCGAAACTCCTCACGGAGCCACGCGGTCTTCATTGTGACGGTGCTGAACCGAGCCGCTCAGAGCGCATTAGTTAGCGATAGGGGACAGACGGCTGCGCAAAATGGCACATGACTCAGTGCAACGATGCGCTAAAGAAGCATATGTAGCAGTGTGGGGCACTGATCGAGTTTATGCCACTTGCCTCACTTGCCTCACTCGCCCCCTCCCCGACCCCTTCCCCCCCTTGCTATTTGCCGGTGTGAAGGGACTTATGAGGATCCCAAAAAAAAAACATGTGCCGATGCGCATCGAGCGTTGCAAGGCAGGGCTGTTAAGAACAGGCGGGTGAACTCAAGACTCTGCAGAGCAGTATGCCAGTATGCCAACGTGAGTCAGCTGTTGTGCGAGCACAGCACTTGCTTCACTTGGATCATGTCTTAGAAGCGGAGTGGGTGAGGGAGGGGAGGTGGGTGAGACGATCCAGACACCTCTCGTGGGCAAAGAGTGGCAAATTGGGGCAAGCGAGGCAAGTGAGGCGAAGTTGGGCAAATTCCCCATGCAAAATCACTGCCATATCAGCTAATTGGTTCTTCAAGCTGCTTGGAGCTGCATCTCAGGTCGATCAATCGCGACAGAAGTTTGGTCAGCTCTATCTCGCGACTCGGCGAAATTGTGGCTAATTTGGCTCTTGAAGCAAACGTGGTGCGGCATCCGCAAGAGGCATCCAACCAAGGTTGACCTTGCAGGCTCCGAGCGTGTCACGAAGACCGGCGTCGCAGGAACGCAGCTGTCGGAGGCGCTTAGATTCTGCTGTCGCAGTTTCCTAGAGTCATAGAGGTGGTGTGGCCCTGTCTTCACAGCAGCATCTGGCAACACAAGTTGGATCATTGGCTCAACCTCCAGTGTCCACAACCGGAGGGATCGCGGAGACGCCCTGGCAAAGTTTGAGCCGAGCCCCGCCAGATTTCAGATGACGGGCAAGAGCTGAGTGAGAAGCCCCGCATGGAAACACGACACATGGCACAGGAGCCGCGCCCGGCAGTCGGGCAGAAGAGGGGGTTGGAAAGGGGTGGTAGCCAGGACCAGTGCATCCAACCACTGAGGCATCATCCATGCGCAACTGATGATTACATCCGTGGTTCTAGGGGCCCATGACCAGAGCATCCATCAAAGAACGATGATTTCGTGCGTCACTGTTGCTAGCAGTGTATATGTCTCAAAGGCACGCAATTGCACGCATGCCCGAAAGATGATTACGCAGCAGGAAGTGGAAAGTCGCGCACCGATCGTCTTGCACTCTGAGCCTGCGAGAGGCCAAAAGCATCAACAAGAGCCTGCTTGCACTGGGTCAAGTTATCTTTGCCTTGGCGCACAAGCTGAAGCACGTTCCGCCAGGGCCTTATTTCAGAGCCTCATCTGAAGGACAGTCGTAGTGCCTAGGCAAAGAGCATAGTGAATTGTTCATCTTCAACGTTGCCTTTTTTGTGGGAGGTATCGAGACTCGAAGCTTACGCACTTGTTGCGAAATTGCCTGGGAGGAAATGCGCGCACTGCAGATGCTCGGCCAAGAGATATGATTCGAGGTAAAGAGACTACAGACACAAGGCAGGCAAGGCTACGGGCTCTCCATTCACAGGCAACTAGGGAGTGACCTCGCGGATTTGCAGATAAGGAAGCCGAACCTGCCAGCGGGGTGGGACAGTTCAATGTAATTAGGCTTATCGAGTTCGCGCAGGCTATCAGACCGCAGAGCATTGTGGTGCTTGTAGTTGTTTCGTTTGCAAAGGTGCTCATCACAGTCTCCCCACATGCAGACAATGCTGGGGAGACGCTCAGCTCCTTGCGTTTCGGGGCACGTGCCTCGCTTGTGGAGAATGCAGCCAGCGAGAACGTGGCTGAGAATGCTGGAGCCCAAGCCCAGCCGAGATCAAGGGACTCTCCAGAAGTTCAAAGAGGTTCTTTAACGCTCGCAAGAGAACATCGTTAGTGTTGATGACGTTCAAAAGATTGATGTCGGCCAGGTCCAGGAGCTCAAGCGCCTCTTGGAGCGTGCCCGCCAGGCCCGAGCCACAGCTTCCGCTCTTGAACTGGTGATTGCAGCATCTTCTTAAAAATTGGGGCTTGAAAGCCAAGAAGTGGGCAAGGCAGAAGTAAGCACAAGGCCATTTGAAGCCGGCTAAAACGAATACTGCATATTCAGGAGAAAGCATGGGGACCCAGATAAAACTCTTGTACCATGGAAGCCAGCCTTGTGATTTTTGTGCCAAGTGCCAAGGACCTGGCAGAGCTCCGAGCCTCGAATCACCGGCTGCAGGCCGGAGTGCCCACCCCCTAGAGATGCCGTGCCTGGTGCGTTGAGAATCCTGTGGCGAAACCCTTAATTCTGAATCCTGTTAAAAATGTTTTTTGGGTCTGTGTGAGAGTTCGGAACCCGTACGAAGCTTTCAGAAACCCGCCACTCATTCGTCAGCACTCCCAGCAGCTAAAACCCATCGTGACACATTTGCAGCAAAACCGTATTAAGTCGGCATCCGAAACATCCAGAATGCAGGCGGAGATCTCGGCCTACAAAGCAGCGCCCATAGGCTTGACTTTTTCAAGTCTTCCTGAGAAGGTCGTTGCAGAGTGGCCTGTAGAAGCACAAGCTGTCTAAATCATTGCCCGTGCTGCTCCGGCCTTGTGGCGCCAGGCTGTCCATCTCCAGGAGACGGGCAAAACGGGCAGCAGTTTGCCAAGCGCATTGTCGTTTGGGAGCTCCTGCCATCCTTGGTTTGTCCACTCACCCACGGCATCATGAGGCGCAGCACAGGTTTCAGATATTCGTCACCATGTAACCATGTACCGCTGAGCCATGAGCGGAATATGAGGGGAACCTGCTGGAACCTTCGGAACTTGCTTTGAGCGTCTTTGAGCTGGGCAGGGACCCTGTGTTGGCTTCGGACGGTTGGAGCTACGAGCGCCGGGCCATCGAGAAGCACATCGCCAAAGCTGGCCGTGCGATGCCGTTGAGTCCAGACGCCTGGAAGCAAGGGTACCACGACATGTCCCAGAAGACGTGGCAGACAGTTCTCAGTTCTCCGCCGCCACCTGCTCAACTGCAATGCTTGTTGGACGGGGTCACATTCCGTAGCAAAGACATCTCAATTGCAATGGCAAGCTAAGTTCGCCGTTCGGCTCTTCAGCAAGCAGGGACAGAAAATTATGAAGCAAACCCAGTTGGCCAATGGCTTTGCGTCAGTCAGCAACAATCCGCGTCGTTTGGGTGAAAGTGAAAGTGGCATGCACGAGCATAAGCACATGCCGACAGAGATGTTTGGTTATTCTCCCCCAGCTATAGGGCCGCCACGGCCCTATAGAACATCCAAGCAACTTGCCCAGGTGACAGGTCAGCGCCTGTCGACGCGTCTCTTCACGCCAAATCTGCTGGCAACTGGGCAGCTTCCAACGCTTAGGGCTTAGGCGGCTTCGGGTCTGAGTCTGGCTCTAGATTATCCTTCACGCAGGATTTGTGACAAGGACTTGGCGCTTCACTCTATAGGACCTAGTGGATGTGCAGAAGTGGTCCGTGGACGCATTCAGATGTCTGATGTTGCTCACGCAAACAGGCGGGGTCTCTGTGCAAAATGCAGGGGTCCTGGGCCTGAAAGTTCGTGATCAAATTAAGTTTCAGTCTTCACGCTCTCGAAACCTCACGAAATTGGGCAGGAAGGCTTATCACATGACCGAGGCAAAGTCGTGAGATGAGGGTGACTTAGTCAATTCCCATGAGTGTGCAATAATCTGCATAGTCTGCAATTCTGACTGGACCTCTGTCCTTTCTGCGCCTGATGATGGTGCGTGGGAGCGGGGGGGGGGGGGGGGGGGCGGAGGTGCAGGGCCGTGACCTCAGCTCGTGGGAACTCGCGCACGCACATTTCAAGGCGTGTGTGTGTGTGTGTGTGTGTGTGTGTGTGTGTGTGTGTGTGTGTGTGTGTGTCTGGAAGCACAAACTCAAACACCTCCAGGGCGCACGCTTAGACCCAGGCTTCGTGCTCAAGCGCACGAAGGAGGGGGCTAATCCTTCATGGATCTCTCGCGTGTTTTCGCAAGCAGTGTGGTCGTCACTGTCCTCTGCGCAACGGGCTCGTCCAAAATCACATCAACAACTAAAAGCATGTGCCAAAAAGTCCGTAAATCAATTGTGACAGCAATTTATAATTCCAGAAGCGAAGTATCGGAAGTTCTCGTCGACCGACGCTTAGGTGAAGCAGCTCGTGCGTGTGGGGCCTAGTGCCAGGGCACGGAGTGTTCACAGCTCGTGGGTTTGCAGATGATGTTGCCCAAAAAAACCATGCTTATTTGCTTTTATCGGCGCTTCTCGGGCTTGAGGTTTTTTAGAGGTTTTTGTGGTTCGCGGGCTTGAGTTTCGGCTTCAGGCACCACTGCTTCGTGTCCAGATTGCTGCGAGCAAGCCTCCAAATGCCGCAGATGCGGTCTAGGCTGTGCCACTAGCTCTCATCGTCGAAAGCAATCGATAAAACGAATAAGCAAAGAATTTTGTCTACACCTACGAGCACAAAAAAACGCCTGCTAAGGTCAGTATCTTCCGGATTTAGGGCCTTTAGAGGAGCCGCTGCCAGTGATCCAGCTGCTCCACGTTTGGCACGCCTTCCCGCTGCAATGGGGGATATCTTAAATCCATGCACCCTGTGCGGTTGAGAACCGGCATGTTCCTTCAGCTTCTTAAAGGGCATCTCTTTATTGCCTTGAGTCCTGAGAGCGATCTGAGTTTTCACGAACGACGAAGAGAATACGAAGAGAAGTCCACTGCAGTGGCTTCTGACCCCTGAGCCTACAAGCCGTGCAATCTGGCGTAAACTCCTCAAGGTACAGCTGATCCTCTCCTTCCTGGACTTCCGGTCGCTGGCTCGCTGTGAGGCTGTCTGGCCCTCCTTCCGAGCAATCGCAGAGGACCAGGCAGATCATGTGGCGAGCTGTGCAAAACCCCTTCACGACTTCACAGTCTTTTAAGCGCCTCCTCGCTTGGAGCCTGCCTGTGCTGATGGCATGGGCAGCAGCCCCCCGCGCCTGCCTCTCGTGATGCATGAGGAAGCCTCCACACCGTACTCGTAGCTGCTTAGGAGCTAGGCATTACAGAGCGCCGCTCATCTCCATGAGCAGGTTTACCGTCTTGTGATAGTTTGGTTTTCGTGTGGCGCAGGTTTGGGCCCAGCTGCTCCAGCGTGACTTCCCGAACTCGGATTTGGACCCTCACATGGCCCGAAGCACTTATCGTCACTTCGGCGAGATGGATGGTTCAGTCGTGCTTGTGACTGACATGTTCCAGTGATTCCAGTGTCGCACGTCGTGACCTTTAGGACTTCCGTTCTGACATTTGGAGACTCAGGTGAGGAGGCGTTGAAGGCAGGCATCCACAAGACGCCGGCCTCAGGAGCGGCGGAAAGCTATGTCCATCACCATGAGCTTGAGGTTTGAGCTTGCCATGTTTCTTGAGTTTGTTGATGAAAGCGTGACAGGGGGTATGAAGAAGGCAGACGGAGGCCAGCCTGCTCGGAGTTTGATGCTTGCGCAGGTCTGTGCGGTCGCAGCGTTCGAATTGTCGTGAAGCCATACAGCCTAAAATGCAGCCTAAAATGCGTGCTACATATCGGGAAGCCTGGGAAGCCGCCCTCCACTTGCAGCTTGGCGTGGGCTTCGACTCTTCCAGCCGAAGGGAAATACCGCTTGAGGCCGGGGTTTTGAACTCGGAGGAGGAGCTTTACATGATTTACATGCATTTGATATCTCAAGGATCAGCTCTTTCACTCTCCACGGCAATCGGTAAAGGTCAAGGAGAGAGACATTGCGTCCTCAGCAGGAATATGGGGGCTTCGCCTCCCAAGCATCTCGCATGACTCTGAGCACGACTCTGAGCATCAGGCTTAAAGAAGGGGGAGCAAGGCCTGGAACCATGTACAGATTGCCCCGGCCTCCTCTCACCGGCACCTTTCGCGTAGAAGATCTGACGGAGCAAAGAGCCTGTCTCGAATTCAGTTTAAACGCGTTGCTTCGCGAATTGCCTCACTTCTATATCGGCTTCTTGATGAACAATTCAGAGAATGCCTCCTTTGCAAAATGGAAGTTTATTGGAATAGGGCGCCCCTGTCTTGAGAAGCCTTATTAGCAGTGGAGATTCCAAAGGAAGCTCCAGTTGTAGGTAGGAGCAGAGCTGGAAGATGACATTCCAGCTCTGGACGTGGTGCATCTGCTTCCAACAGAAGAGCATTGCAACCACCGTGCATCCCATGTAGCCCCGTGGTGATTGCAAGCAGGTTCTACGAAATGTCACAGGAAATTCCTACCACGGGCTTCCGAGGATGCAAGCCTCCAGCCGGCTCCCCTTTTGTGCAGACTCGAGGGACCCGTGCGATATATGAGCAAAATGGCAGATCCAGAACCTCACGTCCAGATTTCAAAACAAACAAAGCCCCAAACCCGAAGAACCCGAACAACTCGTCGTTGTAGCTGAGGGCGTCGTAGTAGAAGTAATTAGAAGATATTTTAAGGTAGCGGTAGTGGCAATAGGAACCGTAGCAGAAACAGGAGCAGTAAGAGTAGTAATTAGTCGTCGTCGTAGTAGTAGGAGTTAGTAGCAGTAGCAGCAGGAGCAGTAGCAGTAGCAGCAGGAGCAGCAGCAGTAGGAGTAGGCATAGGCGTAGGACTAGTTTGCAGCTAAGTGCGTAGTGACTCGGCGTAGTGCGTAGTGCGTAGTTGGCAGTAGTAGGAGTAGGAGTGTGGTAGGAGGAGTTGTTGTGGTCGTGTTTGTGGTTGTCATAAATATCGCTCTCATTGTACAGACATGACGCGCAATTCGTGTGGCAGAAAGCAGGGCTAAGTTGCTTAGTAGGGCTTCTCACACACGTGCAGGCCTGTCTGCTGATTAGGCATGGAACTGGGCACAGCTGTGTTGCAGTTTGTGTCGTCGATCCCACTGTTGCCTTTGCTGTCCGCCCAGCGAGGAGTGCAGAAACTCCCCGCCAGTAGGCCAAGACATCATGGATGGAAAACCATGTTGCAACAAGATGTACTTCTGCATCCTACACTTTTTACTCTCAACGGCCCTTCGCGGCCCTACTTGCTCTTGGAGCAGAATCTTGGAGCCATCACCATGGCGCAAGTCCGCGACAGCTTGGATCAGCCATGGAAAGGCACCCCAGGGCCGGCTATTATCAGGATAGATCAGGATCCACAGCTGAAGATGTTGCTCTTCTTGCGCAGGCGTGAATCTTGGCGGCTGGCTCCTTTTGGAGCCTGGGCCATCCTACCCCCTCTTCATGCAGCACCCGCTGAAGGATAAAAGCGAGGCGCCCCCTGCACCCATGCGTCAGAGTCATCGGAGTTCATCGGAGTGCATCGGAGTTCATCGGATCTTTTTCGCGTAGCCAGCTGTTCAAAATGCTTCAGCAAGGCACGATGCGAATGGGACATCATGAAGGCTGCCTGGGCAGAGCCAGAGTATGTTCACGCTGCCTTGGGCGGTCGTTGTTCGGAGTGTGATTGCTCCCTTGTGCTCCATTTGTGCATGCCAATGCCTTTGGTTTCCTTGATTCGCTCACCTGTAGAATGATGCATCTCCTCTTTTCATAGACTCGTTCAGTCTTGTTCATCCATTGCTCGCTTGTTGTCCCTTTGTTGCAAGACTGTTGCGGCCCAACCTTGTGAATGCCAATGATCTGTTTCCCGGTTTTTCTCCAGCACTCCATCGATGCACGTGCGTGCTGCTGCAGGGCTTAGCCGCAAAAATGGGCAAGATGGGAGCAGCCGAAGTGGTGCGATCCCACCGCGAGACTCACACAACCAAGGCGCATTGTTTCGGTGTGTCGTTTCTAGGCAGCCGTGCGGAGCGCTGAAGCTACTCATTGCATGTAGGATCGGCACAAGAGATGCAGCTGCAAAGAGCCACCGCGGGGAATTTGCTGGTGAGGCAGATTTTCAGCGGGTGCGCAGCTGCGGCCTCAACTCCGTCCGCCTGCCCTTCGGCTACTGGGTGGTGACCGAGCCGAGGCCTGCTACCAAAAAAGAAACCAGCCTCGAAGGGGCAACTGCCAGACACTTTCTTGTGGTAGAGTCTCTGAAGAGTCGTAGAGGCCAAAGGAGCCTTATGTCGGTCCGGCGTTGGACTACATTGACCGAGCTGTCTCGTGGGCCGAGGAGCTCTGAGCTTGACAAGGGTTGCTCAAATCTCCCCAGAAAGTCTCTTGAAAAAGCATGTTTTTCAGGAGTTTAATCTGCAGATCGTGCTTGATCTGCATGGGTGCCCCGGTGGCGAGAGCCCAGAGGCGGCGTGCCGTCTGGGTAAGGCAGATAATCTCCTCCCCGGCAGTTGAAGCGTAGCTTGGTGTGCACAGGCAGCTGGAAGCACTTGCCCGACGGAATCTTTCTGGCTTACGCTAAGTCACACATTGCCCGAAAGCCCTGAGAAGTCTTAGGCCCTCAGTTCCTTCAACCCTCATCTGCGAGCCCCGTAAGTGCAAGGTGCAAGGCATGCACTCTTAACATCTCTTAGCTCCGACCTTGGAGGCCCCGTGTGGCCGTCGCCAGCGTCCTGAGAGCCGGTGGCACTGGTCGCATTGGGATTTCCAGGCCAGTCTACTTCCTAGACCAGGTATTGAGTATTAACTGCCGAAGTAGTACGGAAGCTTTTTAGCGCACATCTGTTGTACAAGACAGCTGCTGAAAGGCTTCACTCAAAGTGCTGCAGGCAAGGGTCACCTCTCAATTGCATGCGCCATCCACTCTGATGCCGTGTCAGTGTGTATCTGTGTTATAGTATGGGTCCTGGTGCTCTGGCAGATTCTAGCGCAGCGCTATGCCCAGCGCTCGTGCGTCACCGGCATCGCGGTGTGCAACGAGCCATCCGGAGAGGTTCCGGCCAAAGCCCTCATCTCGTCACTTGGACTGCCAGCTTCAAGTCCACGCCATCCCATGCTGATGTTGTCAAGGAAGTAAAAGGAGGAAGTCTCAGTGCATTCTTGTGGCAGAGGTACTACTCCAAGGCCGTGGATGTCATACGGAAGGCCACCTGCAAAGCTGGCTTTTGTGCCCTCTCTGTTCTGCTGAGACCCCATGGCCCCATGCTGGAGACATAAGGCAGGCATGGACGCACAGAGGGTGGCCGTAGTGCTGCCCGTCTTCCAGCGCCCAGAAGGAGTTGTTTGGACTTGTGTCAGAGCTCATGTTGTCATTTTTTGACTGTGACGACCGTTTCTTGACTCCATCCTAGAGTTCGTCGAGCGGTGGCAGCTTGCTGCTGACACCCAATCATCGCACCGGGGCCGGAGATGACTCTTACCAAGTATGATGCGCAGGAGAGGAAGGCTTCATCCAGAAGTGGGCGAAGTCCACGAAGGGCAAACACCGCAATGTGTGCTTCGACGTGCATTGCTACCACTGCACTCCGCCGGCAAGCTGAGAGGTATTGTAAGTGGCTGTTTTTCCCCACCTTCGGTGTGGGGTTGCTAGATTGTAAACTCAACTCTTCTCCTTGCAGGGACCTCTTCTCCTCGCCCGGCTACTCCTAGAGACTCCCTGGAATGCCCAATGCGAGAGATCTCCCTGGAGTGCCCAACGCCTGAAGGCGCAACCCCCAAACGCAGAGTCTCCCTGGAGTGCCCAACCCCAGAGTCTCCCAACCCCAGAGACTCCCTGAAGTGCCCAACCCAGAGGCTCCCTGCAATCCAAATCCCTAAGGTGGGGATGTTTGAAGTAAGATAACTTGTGTTTAGTCCCTCACTTTCCAACGACCCTGAATGGCCCTGAATGTTATGAAATGCAAAGAGCGCCAAGTTTGCCAAGGCTTCGAGAACCAATTCCACGGCAAGACCTTCGCAGAGCAACTTCGAGCCGTCGAGGCACAGCTTCAGGGTAAATGTATGAAAACTTTCAATTAAACAAAAACTAAAAGCAATTCTCTGGAAGGCCTGGTTCATGTTTGCTTACGTAGCAGATGTAAACTTGAAAAACCGTGCTTCATCCCCTAAGCTCTAAGTTTGCACTCTTTACCTCCTCAGGCAAAAGACATGAATAAAGGAGCCCCCCAAGGAAGGCTTCCTTGCGGTAATGCGCTTCATGGTATTCGCAGCACCAGTCAATTCAGATGAGATGTGGACCATTGTGGACCCCAGCGTGAAAAAGCATACCGAAGCATCGTGATGCAGGCCAACACGGAGATGTTCAAGCTCTACCCCATGGTCGCAGGCCAGGCATGTTGCGGGTGAATGCAGATCCCGCCCATACAGAGAGGATCAGGGAGGCATCGCCTGTTTTTGTAGTTGCATCTGCACATTCTTGCACATTCTTGCCCTGAGGGGAATGGTCACTTGGTCTTGGTCAAGCCACGTGGTGCACCTGCGGCGATCTAGATGAGGACGGCCTGTAGCTGCTGCTCATCTCGAAAGTCAAAACATGATCAGCTGTCGGATTCAGAGGGTGCTGACCGCCCGGATGTCGAGGACACCGTTCTCAGTATCTTCGGAGTACAGCAGCAGGAGGCCTTCAAGCCACCCGACAAATCTAGCAGTTTTGTTCGTGGAATCCAAGCACAATCCTTCAACTCGACCTGGCTTGAGACCTCATTGAACCAAAACTCTGAGAAGCTAAGCTCCGAGTTCAATGAAGCCTCAGTTTTGTAGCCTCGTCTTTTGCTGAGGGGCGCCTCCCATGGCTCCTTCTTCTGGAACTGGAAAGAGGATCCTGACAACAAGGATGGGCATGGGATGTGGGGATGGGATGGTGGGAGCGAAGAGATTTGTCGAGGGCGGCGAAGAGCAAGTAGCGCAAGTAGCGGACACAGAGCCTCCGAAACGTGAATTCCTTCAGTAAATTGCAAGTAATTGCCCTGCATGAGGAGTGGCACTTCCAGCATGCATGGGATCTGGGCCTCTTCTCTCGTTCGCCGTTGCCGCTGCCTCCGTGGGACCGCCAAGGTGAGGACCCGCTCGAGGCGGGGAGAGGGGATGGACCGGATCGGCTCGAATTGGGGCTAAGGGAGGTGCACAAAGAGGTTCTCCAAGTTGGAGGGGTGTAAAATAATCCCTCAACCTTCAACGCCGCAGCGCGCCTTGAGACTAGCGATTGGTCTCAGAGGGAACACGGCCAGGAGCTGCTCCATCCCTCGCCAGAAGACCCTGTTGTCTACTATGGCTTCTTGGCTGCGCGCAGGCGTTTGGGTTTGAGGAGTTGGGTACATAGGGAGTGGCTAGCGTCTTCATTCACTGATTTGGCTTCTGCCGCGCAGCTGAGGTGATGTCGTGTACCTTCGTGTGTTCCATGGTCGTTACATTGAGGTGCAGGGAAAGGCTGCTGGAGCCTTGGTCGTTAAAGCTGCCATAATATGGAGGCTCTTTGTACCAGTACACTTCACGAGCGTGCCCTCAGGCCTCGGACCTGGGCTAGTTTGTGAAGCATGCTAGTCCGTGGCATTCACATCCAAGCCGTACTTTCAACTTACCGTGGCCATCATCTAGAGAGGTGTAGTACACCTTGCTCGAATGCCCTGGAATAGTCGAGCTTTTTCACCTGCGTTCTCAACACCCCTGCGTGATTCTACCTTAGGCTGGCTGATGCGATTCAGAACATTCGTGCAAGCTCTCACAAAACCCGGTCCCACACGACCCATATTCGTTCTTGTGGCAGGACTCTATACTGAGTTACTGTCCTCGATGTATTCAAGAAGATGACGTATCAACAGAGCTTCGCCGCCCAAAGCACCGATGCCATTCTCCACCGAATCAGGTGGACTGCAATTGGTCAGACAAAGGCGAGTGGCAGGCTGGTGCAGCTGACCTCTTTCCCGCTATTGTGCAAATATTGAACCAAGAGCTCTGCAAGCAACACCGTGCCAGTATTGACCTACGACCGTGCTTCCGAGTGTACATCTCAAGCCTTCTCAGCCTGCTGTGCATTTTGGCGCATTGCTGTGCTACTCGTTGCTAGAGTCAGAGCACTGCTACACCTTTCTGAGCAGGAGTTCTCGTTTTGCCCTTCGGGTGAAGGGGATGCTGGACTGAAGGACCTGTCGGACCCATGCTGGAGTGCAGAGAGTATGCAGTCTCACTGTGCCTGCCGCGTTCTTGCAAACCATTCTTCTGCACAGGAGAAGGCCAAGAGGCCAGTGGGAGAAGCTGCAGAATCTGATAGAGACCGAGCACTGCTGTCGGTTGCCCTTCAGGGCCTTCAGGGACTGTAAGCACGTGACCAGGCCCGTTCGCCACCGCGACATTCTGCGCATCCGAGCCCGCAGTGGAAGTTTCCTGGCAGTACCCCGTGCCCTGGATGCCTTGCTGACTTTCTACGCCGCTCTGCTCTGCTCTCGTATTGTGGCACTATGGTTTGTGAGTGGCTCTGCCTAGGTGATGCAGCTAGCGGCGCCCTCGCTCTGGCCCAAGTGGAGCAGGATGCACGTTGTGCGGGCATTGTGAGCCTTCGCGGTTTCACCGCATGCGGATGTTTTGAGACCATCCGCTCCTTCGTGCATTGAGGTGACAGCTACACGAAGCAAGACGTGCAAAGAAGCGGATTTCGAGGTGCCGGATATATATGCTGACGGGGCTGACCATGCTTCTGGCTGGAAGCGCCCAATAAGTGCAAGTTCGAAGGACCTAATCTATCTGATCGGGTTTCGTTTGTTTGCTGCACACAGCTGGACATGAGGTCTGCTACCTGTGTGTCACAGAAGCAGAGCTTGGAACAGACTGAGACTGCGCACGTGTGGAGGTGATTTTGCACGAATCCAACGTCTTGAAGCATCGCGGGCTGGCGCCAGCGCCCCAAGTCGTTCGCACGAGGGAGAAGATGGGATTCTTGGAGCTTGGTCAGGATAAGGATCATGCATGCTCAGTCTGAGAGCCTCAGACCAGAGGAAATGACACTACAAGAATAGATTACATGTATGCAATTCGCGTTTCATTTCGGTTGTAGTGACATGTCTTTTTGATGAGGTTAGGCCTGCTTGGCTAATCAGAGGTTTGGGGCCCTTTGAAGGCATGCCCGCTAGAGAGCCCAATAGCTCTCCTGCAAAACAGACGCTGGCCCAGATACTTCTTCAGCCGCGCGACTGCCACGACACTCGACGCAGACGAGGACGAGATGGGCATCCGCGCTCGCTGGGCAGATTTCGGAGATTGGCAGGCGAGACAAACAGATTGAGACGTCAGCAAAACTTTACTATCAGGCTGCAAACAGGGTCTTGAATCCCAGGGTGACGTCAGGGGTTACAGCCTCATGGGTTGCAGGCTAGTTAACGTCGAAACCTCCCAGAAATATGAGGTCTTGAAGATAGATGTTCTTTCCCCTTGCAAAACTGTCGACCCTGAACCCACGCGCTAACTGTCGATGGCGCCTCCTGGTCCCCGAAAGTTGGGGAGACCTCCCAGCTTCCGAAGTGCGGGATAGGGTGTGCACACCCTCTAATTCTCAAGGAAAGCAGCACGCGCCCCAGCGATGCACAACCTTGTACAACAGTCATGCCCTTGGAAGCCTACAATACACTCCATGTACTCCATGTTTTCACACACTCTCTGTATATCCATACTCTCTCTCTCTCTCTGTCCCTCTCGCGCTCTCTCTATCTCTCTCTCTATATATGTGTGTGTATACTCTGCAACAAAGGTCCGCATGCCATGCCAAACAGGCTTTCGCTGTGGAGCGGCCTCTTGAGCTCCAGCGCCGCGTAGCCTTGGGCAACTTCGCCGTGGAGGAAGCGCCGCGGCGGAGACAGCGAGGTGCCGGGCTTTTGGTGGTTCTCGGGTTTTCAAGGCATACTTTGCGGTTGGCCTTTTTGGTAGGGACTTGGGTTTATGGGACTGGGCAGAGCACCGTCGACCAGAAGCTTTGGATCTCCAGACTTCTCAGTGAAGCCTTGGTGAAGCCGATGCAGGCCGCCGAGGATCCAAGGACAGCGCACGCCTGAGTTCTCCCGCTTCCAGCCACTGTCATGTCCCTGACTCTGGGTTCTCTCTCTCTCTCTCTCTCTCTCTCTCTTTCACCTTATAAGGTCCCATGAAAGTGGCAACGGACTGTGAGATGCCAGGGGCCCTGAAGCGCAAGGCCGTGGAGCTAGAGAGCGCGCCGGACGAGTAAATACAAGAGAGCAGGGAGTCGTAAAGTCTTCGCTCAAAAGCCCTCCATTTTGCTCCCTTGTCCGAAGCCGTGCTCGTGCCCATGTCCAAGGGCCTTTTGAAGTGGAGGGGCTAGTCATGGCCCATCATGGCCTATGACAGCCTTCCCTGTAATCGATAGAGAAACATTGCATGAGTTACCAGGGTTGTCAAGTTCTTCTGAGAGACACTCAAACAGTCCTTAGAGCCAGGACTCCAAGTCTGTTTAAACATATCTGTTGCCTAGCTGTATGCGTGTCTCTGGAAGCTTCCTTTGAAAGACCTTTCTTCCGTTATGCTTCCGGTCTCACAGAGCTTTCCGACGTGTCAGTAAAACTGACAAGAATGTGATGTCGACTACGTCGGCTAATGGCAGCAATAATGGGGAAACAGTTTGCTGCTTGGGTTCATGTCCGCTCGCACTGACTTTCAGATGGAAGACCAACCGCAACGGGCCGGGCAGAAGACATTGTATAGTAAGCCTGACTGGACTCGCCTGCTGCCCTTTGCGAGCAGTTCTTCCAAGGGTGAGTGGGCTGGGTGTCCACATCTAGGATCTGCGACCTCTGCATGTCCAGATGTTTGGCCGTCAAGGATATCCGAAGCAGGAGCGCCTCCACGGAAAAAAAAAAAAAAAAAGACACTGTCGGGGAGCCCTTCGCTGCGTCATGCGCGAGTCTTTCTTGGTTCATGAAGTTTGGTGCTCCGTACCATGGCGTGCCAGCCAGTTCTTAGGGGCCGGATACCATAAGCACCGAATGACCATTGTGTACTCCTCTCGCCCGTCACCAAAGATGGGTCCCAAGATGATCCAAGATGCTTTTTCAGAGGAGGTAGAAAATTTGAGGAGACTTTCGTGCCAATGGGTCCAGGCCAGGAATCACAATTCCCAACTTGACCATCCAGTCCGTGGACATCGGTGCATGAAATGGACACCACACCGAGCGTAAGAACACGAGAGTCACGAGAAATCACGCATGCAAGCCCTCATGTGCTTTCATGATTTCATCTAGTGCAAATCAGTATGACGACGCACGGCCGACTGCGATCCCACATGTTTGTTGCGCCATGGCTGCGTATTCGGCACGGGTGGTGTATGGCTCAGCCAGTTTCGGCCTCGATGGGACTGAGTGTTGTTAGATGCTCCCTTTCTGCATCTTGCTGCTGCAGGCAGTGGAGTGCCACGAAAGTTCCAGGATGTTGCCGACTGAGCGCACTGCATGTCACTATGTCACTATGTGAGCATGTAGTTCTATGCAAAAGGCTGATTCAGACTTGCTGCGTGTGACATGGGTTGCAGGCACATCGCAAGCGTGGAACTTCTGGACCAGCCGGGAGGCGGCCCTTTAGACTATTTGAGAATATACACGTTGTACGGTTGTACGATGGACGATTGAGATGGCTTAGCTAGACCTCACAAGATACTCGGTGTCGGTGACACACGCACAGACAGACAGACAGACAGACAGACAGACAGACAGACAGACAGACAGACAGACAGACAGACAGACAGACAGACAGACAGACAGACACAGACACACACACAGAGACACACGCAGAGACAGCACACACACACACACAGACAGAGAGACTCACTGACTTGACGGACGCTCGATGTCGATTGCTTGTCAGCCATGGAGTGCCAGGCGATCAGCACCTGAAGATCGTCCAAGAGCAGAACGCTCTGCCGGTGGTGACCGGCCAGGAACAGGCCACATGGAACGATCGCTACACAAGATGCTGCCGCGTACAGTATTGCAGCGCCAGAAATATGTCGCTGGGAAACGTGTGCTACCAGTAAGTTGTTTCAGATGAGCGCACACGCAGTAGCAATGAACGAATGAGCGGAACTGCTGGGAAGGGTGTGACGTATGCAATTCCGTGTTCTCGAGTTCCCAGTTGCGTCATGTTCTGCCTTTGTGTTTGTCCTTGGGTGATCCGAGCAGCTACCGAGTGCTGCAAGCGACTACGGCCAGGAGCGTCCACTTCCTGTGCAGCCAATCGCCCAGGCCGGGCATTGAAGATTCCAAAAGCCAGTTGTCAGAGTCCTGAAGTTCCCCGAAGTTCGAGGGATAGGGCTTGCAGCGCAGAGATGGCGGTGATTTGCATGACGGTATGATGTTTCAATACTGTCGTGAGATGCACCGTGAGGTTCACGGGGTTTCCACGAGGACCCTGGGATGACCAAAAACTTCCTCGTTGACACACATTTTTGGAGCAATTTGCCCGCCTGTCGACGCGCTTCGCTTCCCTGAAGGTTCGCCATGGAGACGCTGCTCAGCCGGTTCCTGTTCCGCTGAGCCGGATCCATGCAGCTTTGATCCCAGATGGACTGGAAAGCCGACCTTCTATCCGTAGTTGCACATGCGTCTTTCTGTGATCAAGGTTCAGTTTATTCAATTTTTCAGTGTAAAGCGTAAAATCTTGTAAGCACATATGCTAAGAGGGTTCATCTGTGCCTTGCTAGACAGCTGTGGTGCAAGGCCCTGGAGCGGAGACACATGGAACGAGCAGCAAAACCCAGGCGTATGGGGATCTTTCGCGGGTGTTGTTAGGGCAGTTTAGGATAGTTTAGGGTTAGGGCATCGGCAAATGTTGCAGCATTCGCATCGAGACACAGTACTGCTGCACAAGGCTTGTCCGTAACCGGCAGGTGCATTTTGATTCGTTGTGCCATGTTGCAGGTCGGAAAGGTCGGAAAATGCAGCTTCGGCCCCAGCTGCAAGCGACACCAGCATGTGGGGCATCGTTCACAGCCTCGAGGCCGTTCAGGTCTCTGCTACGAGTTCAAGGCCGACGCGACCTGCGGCACATGAGTTCACCAATTAGTCCGTCAGGCAAAGCCTTCCAAGTAGCAAGAAGCGCAGCATTCAGCACACAGACATTGAACTTTATGAGCTTCAAGGGACACCTCTGTCCGTTCCTTCAGATTCAGGGCTAATCTGAAAGCTGCAATTGTCAATTCTCCTGGTCGAAGGTGACAGCCTGTGACTGCGCATATCAGTGACGAGTTTTCCAGCAGCAAGTAGCCGATGCCAGGCGACAGGAAGAGCCAGGAAGTCGGGTGCAAGAAGCTCAGTGACTCGAAAGGTTGGCATGTGTCTCGGGCTCCGAAGCTGCTATGAGGCCCTCCAAACAGTCTGAGGGGCCTGGTGAGGAAGGCAGCTGCTTTCGGTTGTCAACCAGTCACCGAAGTCGTGGTCGGATTGCAGGCTTCGAAGATGACCAGCCACGTCCTGTGCCGGGACCACGGCAACAGTCTACAACGCTCTCAACTTGCATCCAGGCTGCTTGCGGTTGCTTTCTATAAGGTCAGGGGCGGCTGGGTCTGCTCCCTCACAGACATGGGATGATCGTGAGCGAGTGCGCCCAAGGACGCGGCACCCTCAGTGCTGGTGATTGAGTGGTCTTGTCAGAGAAGCTTGGGGAGCGTCTGCAAGGCCTTCGGGCAACTACTCCACTGCTGCAACCTCTGTGGACGAGCGGCATGAACTCCCACCCCGTCCTACGACGTCCCCGACTTGACACACTAGATCTAATTGCTGGAGACTTAGAGAGACTAGGATGACTGGGCAAGAGCGGATGGCTGAGGCCATGCATGAACAGGGGCATCAATTTTCCAGCTGACGAGCGCTTGGAGATCAAAGCGACTGGGCTCCCAGACTCGTCAAAAACATCCCTGCACTGCCCCATTGTTCTCTTCGTCTTCCGGCGCTAGTCTTCTGAAGGCCTGCTGGGCGCCTGTCGAACTCGCCCTCCGATGCACAACCTGAGCTGCCGCCCCGGCCCACGACGTCCAGCACTCAAGCTGCCATGCATGTGGGTGCCGCGCTTTGTCCTCTAAAACGGTGGAAGCAAAAAGGGAGATCTCGTGGCTCTCCAGCCCAGGCCCTGCATGAATCGGGGTGGCGACGGAGCTCCGAGCTGAGAGGATCAATGCCGCCTCCATGCGGGTGAGAGATCTTGCGCGTTACGAAGACAAAAATGAAAACACACTCTTGCATTCTTAACTTGGCGTTCTTGAGCGGCTCTTTGTCTTCGTCCGAAATGGACTGTTGACTGCAGATGCGGCGCAAGCGGACCAGCTCTGCCGGAAGGCCTCCGGCTGCAAGAGGCTGCCCTTATGCTTAGTCTCACGGATTGACGATTTTTCGAGGCCTGGCAGAGGCGTCCGTCCTTCATCTGGATCTGTGGCTTGGCTTGGATCGGTGAGACCTGGCGCATGCCCATCTAGCAGATGTCGTTCCGAAGGTGGGCTCGCGAATGCATCAGCTGGAAAGTGTCTTGAATGCACTGCTTGCAGAATTTCGGAGCATGGCAGCTTCCTGCGGTCGATCGAAGGTCGGCTGTTAAGCGCGCACCAGCAATCCGGCGCAGAGGCACCTAGTTGGCCATTGAGAAAAAGCATTCCAGTTTGCTAACGAGGGCTCAGGGAATCGACCTTTGGTCAGGGAAACGAGGGGTTTGGATGCCTTGGAGACCTTTGGGGCGTATGTTTGAAGCCTCATTGTGGTCTTGGTACCTTGGCGCGTGGCCGGAAGGTTCAAAGCTGCCTTTCAAGCTTGTAGATGCTGATCCCCACCTCTTGCCAGGGGAAGCTCTTGTTGGGTGGTGATGTGCGCCACTCCCTATGGACAAAGGGCCACCTAAAACACTTTGCAGAACTGCACACCCCAACCCCAAATCCCCCCTTGCGCGACAGAAGAACCTCAGAGCAATCACGTTTCCCTGAACAACCTCTCGAATCCCTGAGCCTCTGAGCCCTAGACCCTCGACCCTGCAACACTGTCCATAGCGTGTACCTCCCCCTTTTTGGCATCGTCAGCTCAAGCGCCACGTCCCCGTGGCATCGTACGGCCATCTGTAGCCTTTCAAGATCCCGCTGAAGGCCGATGAGGCCCCACGCAGCCAAGTCAGGCCCGCGGGCGAGATGGCAGGGAAAACTTGGACCCAGAAGTCCCTAGATCGCCAAGTTGGGATTTGGGGGGCTTGAAGCTTCGAAGCCCAAAGCTCGTCCATGATGGCATTTGGAGAGGCTGGGAGTACATATGCGAATGCCAGACTCAGATCATCCGCAGTCACACTCCATCATAGGCTAGGCTAGGCGTTATTTGACATGACGACGCTGTCAGTTACTGTACATGATCTGAACTCATCCGGACCTTATGGGATGTACTCCAACTCGGAAGCTCAGCTGGTCCATCCGAGGTTTCTTTTTTTCGAAGTTCAGTGTCGCTGATGGTAGATCTGTGCATTGAACCCTTGGAAGAGTTTCCTTCTCTGAAGAACCGAAAAAGAGGTGATTGGGGTCGGAAGCCCCGCTCCAAAAAAAGACGAGCAATGGGATGTTGGTTGGTAAGCTCTAACGTGGGAGTATAAACCACGGTTAACTCCAGCGAACGGGGCTTGCCAGCCATGCACCCTAGAAGGAGAGATGTTGGCAACCACCCGAAGACAATATGAGATGAGACGGTTCCATTCGAAAGCGACATTTTGCAAGGCCCGTCTCCTCAGGGGGTCGCTGTCAAGAACACCGCGGGGCCTGGTCCTCAGGAAATCGGGGCCGATGGCAACAAAGTGGCCGCACTGAATCAATATCGGATTGGCTTCAAAAAGCGCATCTGCGAGGCTGCACGCGTGTCTCCCAAGCTGGTGCAAGAGGCTCGTGGCCAGAAAGCCAGTCCGCCTGCATGCCTATCCAGACCGAGCTTCCATCCAACGTGGTTTCAGCAAGGCCATCGAGATGTGCCGACAATCACAAGCAGCAGGCAGCAACAGTGCGGCAGCTTGGACAGCACATATTGGCTGCAAGTTGACAGAACTCACGACTTGCTTTCTCACTCGTACTGCAAGCAGCAGCCGGCATGCTCTGCACTCCGACCGCCATTTTTTCTTGCGGGCCAGGCCACCGTGTGTAGCACCACAGATGGATGGGAGGCACCGAGAGAGTGTGTGTGTGTGTGTGTGTGTGCGGTTGCCACGTAGTCCTGTCTTGTCTGCTTGCCTTCAACTTCGGGTGTGGATTCCCGATGATTCCCGTCAAGAGCCCCCTGCCGCCGCGGCTGAGGTGGCATCACCAGCACTGTCCCCACCCCCCGAGCGGCTCGAAAGGCAGAACTTGAGAGCTGAGAGACTTGAGCCAGATTGAGCCCATTTCAGGCATCTGAGTTTGTTTGAGAGTGCTGAGAGTGCTGGGAGACCTGTATGGGCGTCGTCTGTGGGGGTCGACTGTGGGGGTCGTTCACTGGAATCGTCGGTGCCAGGCCGCAGGCCCCCACGCCTGAGCAAACGAACCACTGGCTGCAGGCGCCTTGCCCGAACATAATGTTGTCACAGCATAGCATAACATGGCATCACGTTTGGAACGTCTACTGCGCTTTCTTGTCGGGCAGACTTCTCGTTCTCGGAGCATTTGACAGAATCATGCAAGTAGTGCCCAGAACTCTGCTGACAGGATCCGGCGCTTGATTTGCATCCCCAAATTTACCGGGCAGGGCATGGAGTATTCTGCCGAACCAGAAGCAAGCATCGAGCGGCCACCGAGTGCGCCGCTGCAGGCGCCTATCGGGGGTGTTATTGGGAAGGATGCGAAGAGCGACAGGTGGAAACAAGAGAGAGCGATATAGACAGAGGGTGAATACGCGTTGTCCCTAAACCCGATTTTTTGGCACTCCACCTCTCCACGAAAGAAAACAGCTGGACCCATCAAAGCGTGGACAAGGCATGATGTCCCGAAAGCCTCAAGAAATCGAAGAATTAACCTGCACAGCTCTAGGGCTGCATCTCTCCAGCTCGTGGCTGTGACGAAGATGGCTCAGCTCAGTGTATGCTCCTTGTTTGCATTCGTTTCCCAGGCACACTGGGAATGCGCTCGTGAATAGCGACGGCCCTGTCCAGACACGGACTCGCACGCAGACACACGCAAGCAAAGTCGAGCGTAAGCGCATACGCGCACACACGCGCGCTAGCTGCAATTGAGTGCGTCGTTATTGGAGTGTACAAGTGCGCTTGTCATGGGGGGGGGGGTGCCGCCTCGCCCTGAAATCTCGCTTGCACATGCACACACGACAACTTTCTCAGGCGTCCCAGAAGCCCAACTCCGACCAAGATGCTGGCTTGGGGTGAGGAGCAGGTTGCTGAGGGTTCATGATTCATACTGATTGATTCATGGCCATTGTCTGAGCAACCACTGTGCCATCATGCTGCAGCACGCATGCAACAGGACAGCACGCCGAGCGGAGGGCCCTCCTCGCGACCCTTGTGCGCCCGAGGGGCTGCTTCGCAGGGCTTTGTACGATGTCACAGATAGCCGATAGCACTGATGGCATCATTTAGCCAGAGGCAAGCCAGTGAGCGCTTGCGAGTGCACAGCAGAAGGTGAGCATGCAGAAGCAGAATGAGATGAGAGATTGCTGTCGACGTGCAGGTATGGCTCGCCGGCCAGCGATGAGGATGCTCCTTTCGGCCGAGGCGTGTCGAAAAATTTCAGATGTGCTGCTGTATAGTCAACCCCTGCAATTCCAGATAAAACTTCTGCCAGGGGACCATTCCGATGGGCTCATCAACCGGCTCATCGAGGCGCGAGAGTCCACCGGAAGGCAAATCAAAGTGATGAAAGGCCAAACGGGCTATGCTCTTAGCCAGGCCTGCCAGATGGACGATGTTCGTCGAGCCTTTGGCATCTACGAAAGGCAATGCCAGCTGGGCTGGATGTATCGTGCAGCATGCGAAGCTCCTGCTGCTGCTGTGCGCTTGTCTTGCGAGCAAGCGTCTGAATCCATTGCGTAGCAATGGGAGCGGCTTGGATTTGCTGAAGGCTGCGGAGGATGGAGGTTCCGCTCTACGAAGGGGCTGCGGGCCTGGGATTGGACGGAACATTGTCATCATGAGAAGTGAAGACCACACTTCTTGTGGACAACGCATAAGATCTTAGTTCTTCGCCTTGGCAAAGCACATGGATGGCGGTTTGTCTGCTGCTGTAGCCGTGGGGTCTTGCCAACATTTCGTTTCATGCAAAAGCACAGCCTCTTGCTCTCTGAATGAGAACCCTACCCTTTGCGAACTAGGCAGTGGCTTCGGGTGAAAATGGGGTCGTGCTGCTTTGATTGTCCTGCTTGCTGGTCCACGCCCTTTGTTCGAGGTCTACAAGCTCATCATTGAGCCTTGAGCTTAGCAGAAGCGAGTTGCGATGAAATGTTCTAGTTACTAGTTTTGCTAGCAGCCTTGGCCACTCCTAAGCGCTCCGACAAACTTGCCTCATGTGAACGGCAGTCCTGCCAAGGTGTTGCACCCGTACTCACCAGCTTGGTCATGGCATCCAGCCCAGCACTCAAGCTGTGTCGGCCGTAGTTGCAGGCGTCCTGGTATAGTCATGTCATGTCATGTCGGTACCTCTGAGCTGGTCGGAGTTTGCATAAGTTCGCCTGATCAACATCCCTACCAACCATCGGCTCTAAAGCACTGCGAATGTAGAGGCAATCTCCGAACTATCAAATTTGTCGGTCACTGGCCGATTGCCCCTGGAGGTTCTACGAGACTCTGAAAGGCGCGGCCCTTGGCGGCAAGTTGAACCCCACCTCAATCCACCACCTGATCCAGCTGACTACTCTTGTGCTCCAGGTTGCGGACAGATCCGAATCACTCCAGCCATTGCGCATAATGACCATGACGTTGTGACAATGTGATCAGAAAACACCCTAGAACGTTGTATGACCTGCTTGAAAGGACGCTCCATCAGCGCAAAGCATCAATGACGCAATGCAATTGCCAAATGGGAATTTGCGAGAAGAAGGGACCCTTGATCTAGACCCCCAAGTAGTAGGATTCCCTTATAATGAAGACCCCAGCAAAGTACCCCCGAATTTTCGGAAACCCCAAAATAAGATGTATGTGCTCAGAAAGGCTCTGGCCAGCGGGTCTCCTCCAGGCTGCTGATTGTTCTGATCGAGGCCCCAGATGCGACCTGAGTCGACCTTTGAGAGCTTTCGGAAGTGGTCATTCTTGTTGTGGTTGTGATTGGTACGACTATTTGGTTCTTGCCCTCATGGGTTTTAATGAAGTGCTAAGCTGCAGCTTTGCCAGGCTTGTGCCAGGGAGCAGCACGGTGACAAGGCACCTCGACATCATTCGAGAGCCCTCTAATACAGTGATCAGATGCAACATGTCAGATCTCGTAGCTCGGCTATTCAGAATCAGATGAATCGACACGAATGGGCTGACGACTTCTCAAGTCATCTCGAGACTCTTTCCGGTTGTGTCTTTCCGGTTGCTTAGGTTTACGCGCTGTGGCAGGACGGGGGGGGAGGGGGGGCGGGGGCGGAGGGAGAGGGGGCGGAGGGGGTTGGGGGATTTGATCTAGGCGGTTCATCTTTCGTTGTGAAATATCTCATTCCTAGCAGCCTGGCGAGGACTCATGCCCCAAGAATGAGGAGATCGAGAGCAGCCATCGTGAAGTACTCTTTGTGACCCTTGCGTCCTTGCAGGGTGCTGAGCGCCAGAAATTGCATACCTCAATGCTGACAAGAAGACAAGTGGGCGCATGGACCAAGTATGACTTGAGGGTCCGCACGATGAGCCCTGACTTGGCCCTGGAGATCTTGCGGGACGCCTTGCAGAGGCCAGCTGCCACTCGATGCTTCATCTGCTTGCTGCATTTGCTTTCTGCTGCAGAAAGATTACCCGACAGACCTTGCACGCGCCCACGCCCCTCCCTTCCTCTCCAACTCTCCTAGCCACCCGCCAACACTTCCCACCGTCAGTGTCGTCATCGGAAAAACGTGCACGAAGCCACTCTTGCAGCAAGCCCCTTTCGTCCACGTTTGCCGCGGATTCGGGGAAAATCCCTTCTGAGTTACTCCCTATAGTTACTAGATTGATCCCGCTTCCTTTTGGGGCTGGTCGAAGATCTTCGCTGGTGGATTTTTCGCACAAGATGTGATTACGATGCAGAGGCCGAGCTCCAATCCCTTGTGCGACTACAGCATCGGGGGAGCCTTTGTCCGCCTTTGTTGTCGAAATGTCGCAGGAGTGGTACCACTGTGCTGATCTTCATCAAACCCTTCTGGCGTCGGGTAAGTCGAATTTCATTATTGAACACGTTCTGATTCGCACGATGCTTTGCTTTTTTAAAGATGTGCCATTCAAGTGCAAGCAGTCTCCTTTGGCGTGTCGTTTCTGGACTCTGCTCCCAACCAACGCCAGTCAAACGTTTGTCGAATGCTTCTCGAAACCTCAGCCTGCTGCAATGGCCAGTCGCTCGTGGCTACTTCCGGTTCCGCCACGGATGGTTGCTGCATCGGCCGCCACAGTTGGAGATCGTAGACTTTGGGTCCATGGCAAGGCCCAGGAGGCACATGCACGCTACATTTTATGTTTTCGGCTGTTCTCATGACGCTCGTAGTTCCGCTTCGATCGCTTTCTTTTCGCATGAGCGTTGCCTCACCACAACATCGGCTCGTGCGTCCGCGACGTTAAGACGAGGTTTTTAGGATCAATTCCTCAGGGTTCTGGAATTATCCTGGACCAGGAACTACCCCCAACTCTACCCAGGGAAGGGCAACGCATAATAATCATTTTGGTGAGTATGGGGAAGTGCCTCGGGTTGCAGACGGACATCGGGGGAAGTGCCGGCAACATGCCATGGCTGGGTAAAGACCCACACAAGTGAGACCGCCTGGTCGAGTCACGTGACCAGATGGTTAAGTCAAGCATGGACATGCTTCTAAGAAAGTCTCGCAAAGCCATGGCTGCTCCACCTGCTCCACCGGTTCCCACAGGCCCACAGCAAGAAGAATCCACAACTCTTTGTGCCAGGTCCCGCGCTGGTGTGACCTGGCTGGTGGAGTCCCAGGCACAGGCCGGAGAGCACCTGCAGCCAATAAGAAACGAACTCATTCCCTGTCTTTTGCTCAGTCAGTCAGTCGGTCTCTCTCTCTCTCTCTCTCTCTCTCTCTCTCTCGCTCGCCCATGATGGCAAAGCATGCAGGGGCTCCCGAGTTTTGCATCCCCCGATTTGGAAAGCGGAGCCTGTCCAGGTTCGAGGTGCTGTACTCTATTCGTTCTATCAGAGGCCTGTAGGCAGTTGGGAGAATACACCCGTGATGGGGTGGGTTTCCCACATGAGAGACAGAGAACGCTTTCGGAAAACAGTCGGAACTGCCCCGAAAGAAAGCTTCGCGCCCAATGATGGCTTGAGAAGACGCTGGAGCCGGGCGTCTAGGATGTCTAGGACCACTCCTGCCGCGTGAAAGGGCATCTCGCCATACAGGCAATCGAAATTGTAGGCCTTTACTTTCATTCCATCCAGATATATGAAACCAAGAACGCACCTGCTCGGACACCTCAGACTAAGTCCAGACATGAATAAATGCAAACCTTCCCGTCCTATTCCCCACTTGGCCCCGGCTTTCTTTTGGGATCAGGTCAGAGATCTGCTCCAGCTTGTGGTGAGCGCTGCCAGTTGTGATCTCAGCTCAATGTTTCTCTTGTTGGAATGTTGAGTCATCGGGTTGTTCTCTTGGCAAACTTGTGGGACCAGCAGGTCATCCAAAAGGGGACCCCAGCTCTGTAGTATGCAAAGCCCGCAAGCAATTTGTCTACCATGAGGATCCACAGTCGCGAGATGGGGTTGAGAGATGTTGAGATTTCACATCTCTTTTCAGAGATGCGATCGGTGAAATGCAGTAAGCACGATACTCCTATTTCAGAGATGCGTAGAGCTTGGGGGTTTTGGGGTTCCAACGTCGAGAGTAAAAGGGGGTAGGTCAATGTTGCCGCGCGGCCTGCCAGCAGCCGGCACTGCAGCCCGGACCATGCGATTTTTTTGAGGCTTAGCTCTCGCATTTTGGACGAAAGTCGCAGTCTTGCCTAGGCGCGGGCGTGTCTGGCGGCCCTGCTCGTGCTCGCCGATCCTCGCGGTCCTTGAAACTGTCATCGCTTTTGGACGTCGGGGCTCGCGAATCGCAATGCGAACTGCGTGTCAGAAAGTGTCATCGCCTTTGGATGTCTGGGCTCACAGTCTCTCACTGTTTGGGGTGTCTGCTTTGGCATAATTGTGCTTCAGGCCACCTTCACCTGGCGAGGGATGCCCTGCTCGTGCAGAAATAAAGGTGGAGCGATAAAAGGGAAGCGCCCGGGGCGAATTTAGATATGCTTCACGATCTTCGCGTTATGCGATGTGTTTTGGGACATCCTGTGGGCTGAGGCGAGGCACAGCTCGATGGTGCGGGGCAGTTAGGTCTCGCACTCGGGGCCCGTTGTTGTGATCAGCCTTCTGGCAGCTACTCCAGCTACACGCTCTTGCAGCGGGGTGCTTAAGGCCACGGTCTCTTGGCCAGTTACAGGGGCCTCGAGGCTCCTGTGAGATAGGTTTCTGTGGTATAAGAAGCTTCAAATGGGGATGCTTCGGGGTTCAAATACAGACTCGTAAGCGTCGTCCTTGAAGGACCTACTCCATTGGCTTCTGGAAGAATCAGATCGGCAGATGCTGGCCTTTCCCAGCAAGAGCCCAGTGCTAGGCGGCCTCGTACAGCATCCCCAAATCCCCCCCGCAAAAGCCCGGAAAGCATCCCCCCAATAGAGCCCCTCAAAAGGGAGCCCTCTCAAAATGCAGGTTCGGAGAGCCCCACCAGCATTGCTACGCGGCCGCCAAGTGGCCGAGCGGGCACCGGCCCATGGCTCAGAAAAGCTCTGCCTCCCCCAACTCTGGTTTAATCCTACTAGTCATATGAATGATAAAAGCAAAAGTAATATGAGGACTACTAAGAGTAAAATGATGTACTAACAAAATCCCAGTTTCAGTTACTCAACCGTGCCCACGTTTGATGTGTTCTGAGCTTGGTTCTGAACACCTGAGCCCTGGCTCTACTGGGCGGGGTGGCAATATGCACTCTGTTGAGGCTTTGCTGCGGAGGATGAGATGCTCTTGATGGAGGCCCTGTTTTGAAAGTTTGAGCTGCGCACTGCGTGCAGAACTCGGATGTCACCGAATCGGCGTTACAGCGTCAAGTTTGGAGGTAGTAAGGCTGCCACTCCAAAAGGCGGTAATTAATTATCATAGGGCAGGAGCATGGAACACATCTTAGTCATAGAGGCTTCGGAGCAGAGTTACCCCGTGCGGAGGATGTCGATCTGGATCTGGAGTCGGGGCCCCTAGCTTCCATTTTGGAGCCTCAACATCTTGGGATTTGGGGGCTCATGGAAGGTGCTTTTGGAGGAGGATTGGGCGGGGTGGGGGGTGGAGGCTAAGTCTTCGGAACCGCGTCGTTTAGATCTGTGCAGCTCCCCGAGCTCCTCAGACTCCGAGTATTCTCAGGGTCCACTGGGTGAGTTACACTTTGAAGAAGCAGATGAGATGCTAGAATTAGAAGCGGTGATGGCATGGTGCCAGGCTGGCTGCAATGTGAGGCAGTAACAGAGCCCTCTTGGGCAGCCGTAGTTTTAGATAAGGCAGTGTGCCGAGGTAATGCCTGCAGGTCGATCCACCATTTCGTTTGGGCCAGGTACTGTAAGGCAGCGCGACCTGCGAAGGCAAAAATTGCAGGAAATGAAGTGGTGGAACGTTCCTGTAGTAACTGTAGTAGGGGTGAAGCTTGAAGACCGTAGCTCGCACCTTTTCGCTTGCCACAGGTGGAAAAGCGCTGTCCCAGGCAGAAGCAAGTTGTACTTACTTATAGTACGCACGCGCAAGTTCCAATCGAGCAGCACTCTGCAGCGGGGTGAGCCCGTGCATGACCGACGAAAGACATCAAGCATGCCTGGCCACGGATCAACGGCTTCACCTTCTCAAACTTCGTGGCCGCATGCAACAAATAAGCAGTGTGCCAGCAAACACGTACGGTCCCTCAATGAAAGGAGAACGTGCGAGGGCAGGAAGGAACAGACGACATCATGGGCGTTCGTGTCAAACGCAAGCACTCGGGTTGTCCAAGCATGCGACTCCGATCCAGCCTTCCGAAAAGGACCACACTGGAGTAGACGACGTGCATCTACTCTCTGAGGTTTTCTTCAATTTCCATCCACGTCTATTTAGGTAACCAGCATGTTTCTCACACAAAGAATACGACTTGCTCTCAAACAGCGAATGTAGGCTCAAACCATGTTGCGCTGCGACATGTTCTTGTTGGGCAGCCGCTTCTATGATATCCCAAGCCACCATGGCCACGACATACTCGTCCCTGAAGACAGTACCTAGTTGCTCAATTCATTTTGGTTTAGATCTTCCGCAGCACCTGGGCCACCGGCCTGCCGGGCCAGAACGGGATAATGGCTGCAGGCAGAGAAACCACAGAGGCCAGGTGTTCTGTCCGACCACCTGTCTCTGGGGGTGGAGTCCATTGCAAATCATTGCAAGTTGCAGAGTGTGTGCAAGTGCATGTGACTGCAGGCGCAAGCCTGTTGAATGGTTAATGTTTTCAATGCGGGCTTTTTGACGATCTCCTCAAGGAGCCGAGTTCCGAGAGCAGTTTGGAGTTTTGGATTTTGGATGCCAGCAGCGGCTGCATGCTGTTAACAAGCTTGCCGTCGCAGACAGTCTACTGATGTCTACTGGAAGCCCTGTAAGCCCGGTAAGCCCTGCAAGCTCAGTCATTTAGTAGTTCGGTAGTGGTTGCGGCAGTGGTTGCGATGCTTGTCAGGAGTTTGTCGTGGACCCCGTATCCTAAGTGGGCACTTCGCTGCCTCTTATGGCTCTGGCTGTGTTGTGCCTTGTCATGTTGAGGCTTCCCTTCTGACATGCGTCTGCACACATGGTTCTGCCTGGGGTGCGCTATTGTACAACCTTGCCGCTTAGGTACAGTGGGCTCCGTGGGCTCGGACAACCCCACAGGCTCAGGCCGGGAGCTCCTCCAGCGACAGAAGTTCCTCGCGGGACAGCAGCGAGGCTGGAAGGAGAAGGAGTCAGGTCTATAGGGCGCATGCCTACGGCCTACAGTAGGGCATGCCTATAGTATAGGGCATGCTGCAGGCTGGGCTGGGGGACGGTTTCGTTCCGCTCTTCCGAGCCGAGGTTTCACCATCTGGGGGCTCCAACCCTGGCAGGGCTGGACAATGCCATCTACCGATCCGGGAGATTGCGCTGCCTGAAAGGAACAGATGTTCTCACCATGAATCTCTAAACTTTAAACCTGCTTTCTAAGAATAACTATGGGGGCTTTAAAGGGGAACATTGACGAAGGCTGTCATGGTTACGTGGAAATCTTCCGGGAATCCTTGGCCTGCCCCTAGTTTTCCCTAACTTTGATCTTTTTCTGAGGCTTCCGGCCCATCGGTTCCAGCTGTGGCGAGCCTGGCTCCAGCATCATGGACGCAGCTGTCCAGCCGCCCTGTGTGGGCAACATCTGCAATGGCCCTGCCAGTAGGGTTGGGGATCTGGCTGTTTGGGAGGATGTCCGAGTTTCGCTTGTTGGAGTCTACCAGCTGTGCTGGTGCAGACCCACGCTGACATGCCAGCTGCTTAACACGTGCTGCCGGGATGATGCCTCCTTCGGCGAGGCGGCAGGGGAAGTTGAGGTAGTCGGCCCAGCCTGGGTCACTGTCTCGCCCGTGCTTGGGCAGGGATTCCGCTTCGAAGTGGCGCACCCAGAGGCTCTGCCGGGTTCGCAGGTGCTGCTGCGGCTGAGAGATCGTGGAGGCCCCTGTGGATTACCACGCGACGAGGCGGAGGAGCGATCCTCGGTTCTTCGGGTCCAATCCGGAATCGAGGATGAAGAGCTCCCACTTGCGACGCCTGCGGATCTGGCTGCCAGCTTGAACTTGACTGGAGAGTTCTCGGACTTCTATGTCGCATACTTGTACAGGCATCTGGCTTACACCGTTTGCTGGTGTGCTCAGTATTGTTTCAAGCCTGAAGATGGAAGCATCAATGAGGATTCTTTCGGGGCCGAGGTAGGCGTATTTTATCCGAGAGGCCCCGACACCGAGAACATGGCTCCGCAGTACGCGGTGGCTGGGGTCTCTTTCGCACTCTATGTGCAGGGCGACCGTCTGTCTGTGAAGGACCGGATCCTCGTGCCCGAAAGCGGTACGCTGTGTGGCGATCCCGACACAGCACATGCCTTGGCATTCCGCTCCTACATCTGCGGGCGAGGCCAAACTTCCTGTGTTGCGACCCCGGCGAACGGGCCACCCACATCCTTCGAGAACATGGCGGACATGGTCGGGGAGGCCGGGCTGAGCTTCCAGCGCGGTGGCTGGGAACCGGTGCAGATCGATACCCCTGGCACCTACCGCATCTGCTGGTGTGTGGACGACACGTGGGACCCGGTGAAGCTTGAGAGCCACGGTTACTGCGGCTCGGGCTTCCAGTATGGTGTCCAAGCTGGCCTGGTCATTGTCCAAGGGGCCCTTGGAGATCAGAACTTCCCGTGCACTTCCTTCCAGTCCTGTGACTTCGAGGTGATCTCGGAGCTGCCGTTTGATCCTGAAGACCAGATTCTGATGCTTGCCATGCAAATCATGCAACTCACTACACACTACACACTACTACACATGCGACAACATGAAGAAGTGCTGAACTTAAGACGAGCTGTCAGCACTCTTTACTACAACCGAATCTGAAAACATGGGGGTCTCAATGGGTCTCATTGCTCACGTAAAGGAAACATCCAAGCATCGACACTCAGGATCGTCGCTCCACCTCCCACTGCCACTGACTCGCTCGCGACCATCTGTGGCCGTGGGACTTCGGGCATGCAGGAGGGGCCTTGAGTATGGTCTCCTGCTACCTCCGGGAGTCTATTCTCTCTCTAGCACTTTTAGCTCCTCCACCTCCTTGCATGATATGTCCTCCCCCCTCCGGGCACATCCCTGCGCTGACAGGTTCGAGTGGCGGAGTCTTATGCTGTATATCCCAGCACCACGACCTTGCCCAGCGAAGAGGAGAACACGACCACGCCTGCACCTCTGGAGCCTCTGCATTATGTGGGCAAGTTCCATCTGGACTCCTCTGGGCAAGCTGGCCTCTACAGGGTATGTTACTGCACCTTGGATTGGTAAACTTGGTAGACGGTGCTGGGGGGCTGCTCAGATATGGACTGGCAATATGAATTCACGCCGTACGAAAAGTCTTGACGTAGTGGTCCCGGTTGTAAGAAACATGTTGTTGGACTCCTACATGCCAATTGTTTGCCTGCCGGTTAGGCAAAAACTCTGAGATGGGACCATGCAATGATGCTGTCGCATTCGCGCAGTATGCCGGCATTGTGACACTTGCTATCACTTAAGAGGTCCGAGTGCGAGTGCACGAATCAGACATATTGGATTGAAGCTGCTGTGACAGTGTGCTGTGGCAGTGTTAGTAGTGTGAGCTTTCTCACTATGCAGCATGACAAATGAGCGAAAGACCGGAGGACAAAGAGCGAATGAGTCAGTACCAACCGTCCAAGGAACATCACGGGCGAGATCCGGCACGACGAGTCAACTGCGCTGCATCAAAGCTGTTTGGCCTCCAGCCCATGCCGCTTCAACGTGACCGGAGCTGCTCGACGAGATACATCCGAGCCCGGAATTTCAGACTTTGTCCGCGAGCTCATGACAAGGGCTTTCTTTTGTGGCTTTTTGCCGGCTGGAACCTAGGTCTGGGCAATGCAGCTCAGCTTCTACGATTCTTTCAAAGCTGTGCCTTTGGAGAAGGAGTGTGGAGAGGCATCTCGGCTGCAGAACGGGTGAGTCCAGTGACCAGGTCCCGAGTCGAGTCAAGTGGCTCAAGTGCTGGCCAAGGTGGCGGATTCCTCCAGCTACCCCACGTTCAGCCTACTCCGGAGGACAGCTAGAGAGGGCAGTCAGGCCCAGTCAAGCAAGTGCCCAAAATGCCCAATGGTCGCTTAACTTTCGAGTGGTGCCTGCAAAAAGACACTGGGGGAGGATCGAGCTCGTTGACTCGTGGGCAAGTGAGTTTGCGCACAAGGCAAGATCTACAGCATCTTCCTGCACATGTGCCGGTCATCGGCACAAATGTAGAACTAAATCGTCCAGTATTCGTCTTCATGTGCAGTCCCAGGCAGGCGCAGAGACGCTGTATGGCACCGGGGACTACCGGCTGTGCTTCTGCTGCTCGCCACATTGAGCTAGGGCGCATCCGATGTAGAGGATGACTCCTCATAGCCAAGCCTTGAGAAACGAGGCCAATCGTCCTTAACAAGCGACGGCAGGTGTGATACCTCAGCAACTGAGCTGAAGTTTGATTTCAGCGTTGTCCACAGGAGGTGAAACTCCATCCCTTGGCCGAGCTGTGGCAAGTCATTTTGAGGCAGAACACATTCACGAAATTGGGAGCCTCTTCCTGGCTGGCTCATTGCGGCTTGCCTGAAGGCATCTCTGCTGTGGTAGATCACCGTGGCTTCACAGCTGAGGTCCTTCATGGAATGGAACTGCCGGCAAGGATCGACATGTGAGCTTGTGGCCAGATGCTGGGCAGTGCTTGGCCATTTCCGGTCCCTGCGTATTGCCTCCACACCTTGGCTCCAGAGGTCCACGGCTGGCGAGTCGCCCCGGGTGATGCTGTTCGGCTGGTGCCACTTTCCTTCTCTTGTGGAGATCCTGATCCTTCTGATACATATTTAGGAGCAGGCAGGAGCTTTCCTCGAAGTGTTGCCGAAGATCACATGCAACTTTCCAGTGCCGCGAGGCTTCGATTACAATCCAGCCATTGCCGATCGCGCGACCAACCTCACCAAAGGAGTGCCTCGACCTTCACTTACTTCCTATACGGTGAAGTCGTCCGGCTGCGACGCGGCCCCGCCTCGTGCAGGTGCTGCTCCACTTTGATCTAGGCCGAGCACGTGGCTCCGGAACATGGCGAGTGTGTTTGTGCCAATGCCTTAGGCTTGCTTTCGGTGGCTCGACAAGAGACCTTGTGCTGTCGTCTCCGATGAAAGGTGTGGCATCTGTGGCCAAAAGTGGCGTTGGCTGTGTGAACTCTGCTGACTATGCGCAACCGGTGCCACACCCAGGGTCCTAGAGTCCCGGAGAAATCCATGCCATTGACGGCACTTCAGAAGTGCCGTCCCGGGCAGGTTGGCGAGCTGATTATTGAAGGTCTCCTTCGATCAGTGACCGCGCGACCAGGCTGCAGCAAGAATATCCTGTAAAATGTCCTCGTAGCGCTCGTGAGAGACTCTGTCCGCATTGTTGAAGCCCGCTTGGAAATAGAAATGACTTTGCGAATTCCCGTTCCAGATAGATCAACAGACCGTTCCTATCGATCGCCGAACGCCGTACCCCAGTCTCACAGTCAAACACCGTCGAAGACAGCCCAGGTCATCATCCCAGCCAGCAACGGTTGCCATTGCATCGATTCTGGTCTGCCACCCGTGGGGCTATGGAAAGTAGCAGTTTAAGTGAGTGTGTGTGTGGGTGGGGGCTTTTTAGGCTTGGGCTTACTCAGAGATTCTGACTAAGGTAGAGGTCATCGTGCCGGGTGGAGAGCAGAGCGCAGTGGCCTGAGACTGCAGTGACCCTCCCGCACGGTGCAGGAACAAACCCACTCCATCCTCCATGCGGTAGATTCCGCTTCAGCAAGAGTCCGGCAAGAGGTCGATGTCATCGTGTTGCGGCACCCATGCAAAAATAACTATAAATAAGAAGTAATGAAATAGACTCATATACATATACATACACATATACATACACATACACATATACATACACATAATATGTATGTTTCTAGTACATGATGCCCGAATATGCCCAAGTCTGAACCCGACGATGCCACACTGGTGCCGCAAGGTGGCATGCGCAGCTTCCAATCAGACGCTTGACCAGGCGACGCATCCCAACTTGAGTTGCGTTGTGAGTGGTCAGCGCTTTTCTGGGCTGTTCAAGAGTGAACAGAAGCTTAGTAGAACCAAACAAGAGTTCCATCGAGGCACCGTCGAGCTTCGCGATCCTGAATTGCCACAGCAGCATCCCTGGCTGCCTGGGCCTTGCGATCCTTCCTTGGCGGGCGGAAGTCGCAGTCGCCTCAGAACTTCTCAGAAGTGCCAATGCAACTAACACATCGGAACGCCAAAGAATTCTTAGTGTGGAATCAAAACATTGCAGGGCTTTAACGTCCTGCACTTGCCCTTCCCTGAGAATGCGCTTGCGACACCAGGCACACCACAGATGCTCTAACTTTTAAAATGCCCGGAGGCCAAGCATGACTCAGCATCATGTCTCGAGCAGTTCATGCCAGGCTCTGCAGCGCGTGCTGCGCATGTTTGGTGTACGGGAGCTTGGGGCTCAGACAAGATTGGGGTCTATACGGAGGCTGTTCGAAAGAAGCAACTGTAGGGCTTTTCCAGATGGCAGGACATATCCCTTTGCCCCACCGGACGATGCGTCCTGCCGCCAACACCCGAAGGGCCGGGAACTCTGGAAAGGGGGTCGCATGAGGATTGCTCTTGTGGGCTCTTTCAATATGTGAAAGATTCCACCCCCAAAAAGTTTTCTTTTGGATCATGATGGAAGATAGACTCGGACGTGAGTCAGCCACGGCCGAGCCATGCCAAACATGTGCGAAGTCCAGAAAAAGATGTGTTTTCAGGCCCGCCAAAACCGCATGTTGGGAGCCATCTTGTCAAAACTGTCCGCCCTCCAAGCCAGAAAGAGACCATGCGTCTTCCAGGCCTTCACGCATTTGGTCCAGATCAGCGTTCCAAAAATGAGTGTGTTTGTTCTTCGCAGCCGGGCCATTTCCTAGTGCGCTTTCCGAAATGCAAACCACAAACGCACTGCGACACACGAAATGCTTTTTTCAAGACCTCGAAACGAGCATTGCCAAGCACGCGCGGATTGCGAACTCAGTCCAGAGGATTGGTAGGTAGGGGCAAAGACATCGAAAGGGACCCCGAAAAAATGAGCAGGATTTCATCTGTCCGTGGCAATCCTGGGCTCTGGAACGCCCTGAACATCCAGGTCCCAAACCTCCCCGGTCCGGAAGGATTTGCAGTTACGGAGAGGTTTCTTACATATGTGGTCAACATGAGATAGGTAGCTGCCTCACGGCCTCGATGAGTAATCTACAGTGCTCCAATGGAGATCGACCTTTGGTCTGAGGCGCAGGATTCCACTGGATCCGGGTCCAGATCCCTGGACCACTGTTGCTGCCACCATCCACCAGCCCCTGGACTTGAAGGCGGGGTTGCTCTGAGTATTGAAATTTCTGAATGCAACTGTGGGCTCCGTGTGCCTCCAGGTTTACGGAAATCCGCTGAACGCGCAGGCCCAGCCATTATGAGACGAAGAGCTCAAGGAAGCACACGTCCGCAGATGCCAACAGCCCCCTTTGGAAGGGTGGCTTCCTCAAGGTCGTGTGGCCCCGGGACGGGTGCCCAGAGGCAAGGTAAACAATTGACACATGGAAAGTATGCAAAGCAAAGAAATGCAAAGAACTAATGCGCTCGTGTCTCCGATGTTTGCGCCTCAAGCGTAGACCATTGTAGACCTCTTGCCTGCCCATCAGGTTGGTCGGGCCTGGTCGGATGCCATCGTCTCTCCGTTTGATATGGGGCCGGAGCGCTGGAGCTGTTGTTTCCGGCCTTTCGTACCCAGAGCTTCTGCAACCATTCGCACTTGTTTGAGCAACAACGTAGTACATCACGTGGTACATCACTAGCAGCACATAAATGATTATGCATGCATGCGTGAGAGAATAGATGAGTAGATGATGACCGGCTTACTGCAGGCGGCCTGTCATGTCGTCACCACGGCGCTACGTGCAGTGGCAGCGTGAGTCAATTCCATTTGCAGGGACGCCAGAGCCTCGTTGCCTAATGATGCAACCTTGGATTGCGACGAAGTTTTGTTTGTCCACGTAGGCCACGAAGTGTTCACACATCAAGCCGTTAGAAATCCTAATGTAGATGTACTGACGACATTCTTTGAGCATGGATCGTAAAAATTCCTGCGTGCTAGGTTCTGGCTGTGTTGGCCAGCGCTGCATGTTTTGACCATGTCTTTGTAGCGTTCCGTGCCCGACTCGCACTGTGGCTGGCAGGTGTGACCGTTCCTACGGGGCCGATTGCGCCCTCTGGCAGCACATCGGCGAATTGGTCGTTTCCGGTCCGATGAATGCCGTGGCCTCGGTCTTTATCAGGCGCCCTTCTTCATCTTGCAGAGAGTTATGTTCTTGTCTCACCGGGGTCATCAGACCCAATAGAGGGCGCAACATGGAGATAGCAAGGATTTCAGATCTTGTCCGGAACTCTGCAGGTCTCGGCCATTCCGGAACTGGTCTCAGATTATGACTCGGTGATGCAGCTTCTGCCAATGTGGTTTGGGTATCGCACCGTCAAGCTGCAACGGTCCATCCTGGTGCATCGATGTCTAGATTCTACATGTGGCAGAGTGATGTCACCGAGAAAAAAAATGAATAAGGCGCGGCGTAGTTATAGTTCTACTGACCTGACAGCCATGTCAGGAACACATTTTTCTGCATTTTGCAACCAAATGAAATTCTGGTGTTGCCCGATCCGGCACAGCTTCGGCAATAAACATACCTGCAGTCTGACTCAGACTTACCTATATCCATTCAGGAGGGCCTCGTAACTTAATCCGCCTCCTCTGCGTTCGTAGATCAGGTTGGGATGAGATTCGAATTTACTCGCCTGTGAACATGTTGTGCTGCCGCTGACTTGAGATATTCCCAAGATTGCGCTTACATGTCACGGCATGCAATATCCCCTCACTGTTGGCTGAGAATCTAAGCAGCTACAGGAATTTGTGGAGCTACTGGAGGCCAGCGCGTCCCAAGTTCTTTGAAAGTTTGAGTGGTAGCTGCACAGCTGCGCTGTGACGTCGGACTTGGAAGGCCTTCAATGTCACTCTCTCCGGCGTGAATCTCTCGAACGAGGTGAGAAGTTACACGAGCGTAGTCCAAGTAATTCGTCCAGCCTTTGTTTGAAAGGATAAGATTCGTTGAAGTCCCTTGACAGACGACGGATAGGCAACTCTCTAGTTTGGACATGAGCCGATGCATTGACGTAGCCCATGGAGGCTCGGGCCCTCCCAAGTCTGAGCCTCTCTGAGCCTCTCGGCTACCAAGCTTCGAGGAAACCCTTCTCCAAAATGCTGGTGGTGAACGAATGTGAACGACACAACGTGCTGCTGCTCAAGATCCGAGATGCTGTCAGGAAGGCGATGTGGCACTGGTGACAAAGGGAGACTCTTCGACGAGAGGAGCTTCAGGATCCCAAAGAGCGTCACATACAAACTCGACAAACTCCACGCGCGGAGGGTGAAAATGATGTCAGTGATATGATGTCGATGAGAATTTCATGTTGAAAACTCAGGGAGGTCTCCAACGCCGAAAACGCTCATGTATATGATGCTATGTTCTCCCGGCAGCCCAGTCGGAAGTCAAACAGGCATCATATACATTCTTGACCGTGGTTCGGCCAGCATGGTCGACTCCGATACTATGTCTACGGTATACATATACAAGTTCGAGGCCAGGTGTGCCCTTAGGGAGTACTTTGCAAGGTAGAAGCTTCGCCGTGAAGAGGCCACCAGAGATTTACCACGGCCTTCTTCGGTGGGTCTTCGTCGCAAGATCTCGGATACGCTACGTGCGCACAGGGATTCCGAAGCTGAAGCTGAGCCTGTCGAGGAGCTTGCTAGCGAAGGATAGCTGTGGAGGCGGAAATGCAAATCTCCTCTTTCTGTACAGCCCAACAGCTTGACATGTACAGTATCTTTATGCCCTGCCCCGGGCCACCAGAAGCAGCATCATTGCGAAGGGAAAGCGCATTGCGTTCCGTTCCAAAAAACCAGGACCCAGCAGTGTTTTGATTTGTTCCAGGTCGTTTCGCTTTGTGTGTTCAACTGCAGGAGAGGCTCTCGGTGCATCCGGGCCAGAGCTGCGACCAGGATGTGGAGCTCTTCAGTCCAGTAAGGGTAGCCTCCCAAGCGTCTGAGAATTCCATTCGCGTGAAACCGTGTGTAAAGAAGCAGGAAGAAGATGTAGGCTCTGAACTGTCCAAGCATGTTCAGTGGAATGTCCAGTCTTGTTGAAGCTGCTAAGGTCTATGCAGGTGACGCCAAGGCAGATTTTGAACTGCAAGCGCCACGCTACTCTGGACCCTTCTCCTTGTGCTGGGCACGAGGCGCGTAGCTGGCTGGGTCGGGCTCATGCTCGTTGTGCGCAAGTGCCAGGAAACGTCTCCGTTGGGTCGATGAAGATGGGCATGGGCTACGCCCGAGAGCAGCTCGGCACTGTCATACTGTTCCAAAGAGTTCATCTGTTTAGAATGCTTTCTGATGTTTGCGACTGCTTTGGCGATCTTGACGTGGGTACGTGCAGGTCACGAGACTGTTTGCTGGGAGGCAAGGGTTGAAGCATGCTGAAACAAGTTTCCCACGAGGAAGAGTACACACATGGATGCACATAGAGTTCATTCCAGGTTGGGAGGCGGTGCCTGGCGATGAGATCTTCCGGTTTCCAGCAGGCCTCACAAGTGCCAACTTCTGTGGGAGAATGCTGTGGCTTGTTGGGCTTCGGCTTGTGGAGTCTGCGCTTCCGTGTGTTTCGTTTTCGAGGCGACTTCGGCGAGTTTGCCTGCAGCCGGGCCTGTGGCGGGGGCCTCTATGAGCTGCGTCGCCGCATCCTTGCCGAGGCAAGAAGGGCGAGGTAATGGGCTCGGACTTGTTAAGACGGGTCACTCGGGTCGAGGACCCGGGGTGGGCTCCCTACTGGTCTACTGGTCTATTCTTCCAAGTTGAGAAAGAATTGCAGGCAAGCCGTCGCAAGCTGTCACTGTCTTCAGGGGGCTTGTAGCTTGCTCCAGTCCAAGCAATTCAATCATTCAAGGCACAATTGTCAACTGTCGCGAGGCCGTGGGTAAGGGCGAGCAATGCCCGCCGCTGGAAGCCTCGGTGTAATGAAGCTGCTTGGGTGTTGGCTGAATGTGTCATGCCATTCTGAGGCCAGACAGCCCACTTCGAAGCCGCTTCCAGCCATGCCACGAAGAGCCATGTCCCACTGCCCGGACCCTGAGATGACTGCGGCGCTCCATCGACAGACACTTCATCTGCTCCCTGTTTTTGTTTTTTGCCCGATGTGGCCCGACTTTCAGGGCGAAGTGTTCAGCGCGCGCACGCACCCAGCTTGGGTGAAGCCGGGCGACGTGTTCCAGGCTGGTCGTTTCTGTTGCCTTGCACAATTCCGGGCCGAAGATACTCAAAACGATTCATCGCATCTTGGGAGGAACGGGGTGTTCCCAAAGTACTCTCCGCATTCTCTCGGGTTGAAACTGCAAGTCTGACTGCTTCCGGTCACCAAGTCTTCACCTTGCGACACTTTACGAGTTACAGAGGGCTTCCACTTGCCACTGGCAGATCCTGGTGGAGGGGGCACAGCTCGACCCACTGGAGGTGCAAGACGATTGAATCGATGGAAGGTGTTTGGTACCGTCGGCTTAATCAAATTAAATTCACGGCTTCGTTGCAGTCAAGTCCTGGGGCTGGATGCCTGAGAAAGAGCTGTTAGAAGTCGCAGCCGCTTAGCAGGACAAGTTGGTCCTCGTAATCGGAGGGGAAGATGCAGAGTGTGGCCAGGCTTGTGTGACACAATGTGTCATGTTGTTGCCGGTGTCCTCTGCGGCTTTCATGTGACCTTGCTGGCTGCTTGAAGAATCTTGAAGACACGATCGACCGAACTAGTTTTCGCGCATTGCAGCGTGCTTCGAAATGGGCCAGGTCGAGTCCAACCTGACACTGGCAGAGGGAGGTCGGCCCCTACAGCACTCGGATCTTTTGTTGCGGGCTTTACCTGCTCAAAAAAAGCGTCACATGGCTTAATGTAATTACGTAATGCGGTTTTGTGAAGTGGAGAGGCGCGGGCGAGACAAATGACTCGGAGTCGGGAGCTGAAGCGAGGCAGTTCAAACAACAGGGCAACTCAGCGAGTGACGGCTTTTTTGCATACCACCAGCAGACATGCGTCAGACTGCAGACAACTCGCCAATGTCCTGATGGGTTTTGCCAGCTTTGCTTCAGGAATGGCACTGATGCTGTCGCAGTTGAGCTGACGCATGTCTTGCGCGGTGGAGGTGTCGGCATGCAGACTTTTCTTACGACTTCAGTGGCCAAGGGACTACAGTCAAGAAGCCCCAAAACATGGATCTCGCCGCTCCATCACATCATCATCATTGTGCAGGTGCGTCGTGCCAGCGTCCGGCCAGCAACAGCACTCATCTTGAGCGACTCGGCTGCAACATTCGGCCGAACGTTTGATCGTGCACCTTGTGCTTGGGTGTGCTTGGGTGCCCGTGAAAATTTTCAGATGCGGTGATGGCATCGCAAGCCTCATGATTCCGATTGCGGGGACTTATCGCACCTTGGCGCGAATACGTCAGTCGGATTGTGTCACCCGTTGCTTGCACTTCGGAACATTGTAACACTACTGTCGTTGGTTTAGTCCCTCGATCAAGGCCTCTGCATCTGCGACGCCTCCGAAGTGGATCCCGGGTTCATCAATGTTTCAGGCCAGTTGGTAGCTCTCAGGGAAAGCTGTGATCCAGAAAATGGTTCTGCAGGTTCGCTCGTTGCGAGTCGTGAACGTTGCAGCCGACTTGAAGATTATTCGCTCACACCCGGCCACTCTGCCCGCTCTGCTTTGTGAGAGCCTCTCAGATGCTCCAAATCCTTCCGGCAGAGGCAACGGCTCTTTGGTGGAGATTACGGAGTCTCAGACGGTGGTGAAGGATCTTGAAGAGTCTGGGGCATGCCTGAGTCCGGGCTTGGCTATGATGGTGTGGCTGTGTGAGAGTCGAGGACAGTACGGTTGTGGATGCCGTCTTGGGAGAGCTGCTAGACGACCACAGGAGTGGCAGGCGCCGACCTTGCATAGTCTCAGGATTTGGCCCAGCCCTGACTTCTCGATGGCACTTCCCTGTAGGGCTGACCTGATCTTCATCGTGGGTCTCATTGCCGCGTCGATATTGTGCCAACTGGTTCTGCGAGACCATTTCTTGCAGTCACACCGCAGACACCGCATTTTCGATTTTTTGGATCATGGAGAGGTACTGTCTCGCCGTATTCTGCGCCTGCTGGTTCTGGAGGTACAGGTCGGACACGGGGTCGAACACGAACTGAGAGTTCAGAGACATGAAGAGACCAGGCCTCGCTGCATCTTCAAACAGACATTTACTTGGTACATGCAGGTGGCGAAAGCGAGCTGCATGGAGGAGGATCCATTTTTCGCAATCGTGCATGCAGCTTGAACTCCATTTGCTCGTGTTGTTTGCTTGAGAGCGGCAGATGAGCTGTATGACTCTATGCAGCTGCTGCAGGATGGGCTCTGGCCTGTTCGCCAATTCTTTGGCCGCTGGCTTGCAAGTGTAGCACATTGAGCACTGCAGCATCAAAGAATCCATGAATCAAGCACTGAAAAACCTGGTGTGCACATGGCGCCTTTGGCTTTGTGAGGTTGCCAAAGCGACCAGAGCCGCATGGGAGGCACGATTTTGGAGAGCGCACTGATTTGAGAAGCTTTGTGGTGGCAGTCATAAAGCCGACTCGATGAGAGGCGTACACGCGAACCATTGCTGAGCAGGCTCAAATCTCGTGACCCGGCAGCAGAGAGATTTCTTCCGAAGCAAGTCGGTCTCAATCTTGATGTTTCACTTGCATCAAGTTGAGTCAAGCTAAAAGAGATTCCAGGTCCGGCGTGGAAGAAGAACCTGACTTGAAGGAGGTCCAGGGAGTCCAGGGCGAGACCACCCCACGCCAGAGCACGCCCTTTCAGGAGTCTAAAGCCATTCTTTTCATATGTGTACTTTTCCTACCTACATACGTACATTGGTCTCCGCACATGCTACACTCAAAGTAGTAAGAACTTGCATCTACATAGGCAACTCAATGCCAAAGCGGCACTCATATGATAGACCGAAGTACCTCTAACACATATGTGCATGTAGATACGACGCGTTTCGATCCACTGCCTTTGCGAGGACACACTGACACCACCGGGCACGGGCTACTCGTTGAAGAGCGGCTCCTCCATGTTCAGCGGCTCCACGAGCAGCACACGATCCACTACGCCAGGCGGGCTCCTTTTTGAGTTGTGGGTTTTAAAGTTGGATCGTCTGTCATTCTAAAGGCATCAAAACGTGACGGGCAGGATAGCGCAGAATGTATCCTTGTCCAGAACCACCTTTCGTCTTCTCGTTGCTAGCATAACCTTGACCGTGTTCTCGGATGGCAGGAAACCACCCCTCATTGCTCAAAGTCGCACGCTCGGAGGGATACGTGACTTTGAAGGCTTGTCGCACTCTTGGCACCTTGACTTTGCCTTGGGCTGAGGTGTCGCTGAACAGGGACAGCCGGTTTCGTGTTGACACAGCCCTTTGAACTTGCGAGCTGGCAGTTGTCTTAAGAGGTTTGGTTTCAATCTCAGCAGTGTGTTCCAGGACCCGTGCTGCCCCTTCTCCCCGAAGCAGGCGAAGGGCCGTGACGGAATCAGAATGAAGCTCACAGTAAAGTAGCAGCTCTCATGTCACAAGAAGCAAAGACCACCTTTGCATGTTGCTCGCAATCTGCTCGGAGTGCTTGCAAGTTACTGGCAGCACCTTCCAAAAGGCAGGCGGCTCCTTCTTGGACCTCCCTCTAGCAGGGCGAGGCCGATGTTTTGTGGGAGTGTGTGGGAGCTTGGGAGAGAGATTTGGGAAAGGACCCGTTCCTTCCGAACTGGGAAGGCAGCCGCCCTGGCACCAGCCCCTCTCGGCCAAACTCCGGGGCCACGACGCTGCGTGTCGCTGAGGAGTCGCCAAGCCATGGCCCCAGGGCTCTTGATGCCTTCAAGACTCCCACAATCCACAGTCCACAATGGCACTTACCCATCGGAAGCTTCGAGTGCTTCCCTAAACACTTACTCATTCTCGCTTGCTCTCAGGGGCCTGCATGGTGCAGGTACGGGAAGGGGGGTGGTCAAGGCGCTCACCGCTCAAGGTACCAGCGAGAAGATTCGTGATCCAGATCCAGCATTGATGAAAAAGTGGGGAAGCGGCGCGGGCGTGATTAGACTGTTGCCTAAAGAATTGCCGCAATGGCCGAGTTCCTGCATGGTTCCTACCCGTCGAGCTGCAGTTGCTTCGCACTCGTTGTTGCCAGTGTACTCCCTGAAGGTATGTGATTCAAAGCATGCAGGTGCAGAACATGTTACCTGCTGTGGTGCTGGATATAAACCCGCATCAAGAGCATGCGCAGCTGGCTGTAAGTATCTAAAGTTCGCCCTTTGCATCTCATGTTTAATCAAAGGGAAGATCGCACACGCACACACACACACACACACACACACACACACACACACGGGTGTGTGTGTGTGTGTGTGTGTGTGTGTGTGTGTGTGTGTGTGTGTGTGTGTGTGTGTGTGTGTGTGTGTGTGAGTGTGTGTGACTATGCCATGCGAAGCCCCATGATCCCAGCCAAGTGGTCGAACTAAACCGGCTTGGTGCCGTCGGTGACAAGGAATAGGTCGACTCTTCGCACCTGCTACAAAATCGTCATCTTTTCGAAGAACTGGTTGTAGGCAATTGGGCACAACCTAGGTCCAGTGGTGAAGCAGGCAGGGATCAATCATTGTCAGCTGGATCCGAATCCTGGGGTCAACATGATTCAGCTGTGGCGTGCAGGAATCGCCTGAAGGCGAGCGGACGCCACCAGATGCGGAGGACACCGGGCTCCTTTAAGGTGATCGCATATGACTTTGATGCTCAACCAAAAGGCTGCAACACACCACCTTCCAGAATCCCAAGCCCAAGATTCAAGAGGCAAACAACCCTAGTCCTCGTTGCACAGGAGGCCTCTCCTCCAAGTGCCCCTTCGAGGCAGCCGCCGGGTTGATGTTTCGACACATCTACGCGATGCTCCGGTCGTCTTGCGCTGCATAATACACATACTGTTTCCGCGCACTCCCGTTGTGAATCCACGCCTCCTAAACTTGCGGCGATGCGAGGACGCTAGAGTTGCAGCTGCCGGGCTTGGAAAAGAAGCTGGCGAAGCTGAAGCGCCTCAAGGAGGACCGCTGGAGTGTTGCTAGTTGGCCATGAAGCCAAGTGCATTCGGACGACTGAAATGCTGTGATCTTGCACGATTAATCATGCCCAAGAACCTTGCCATCTCAATGTGCAGAAAGAGGAAGTCTTCTCTGTTGGGGTTCCTGCGTCTCCGGTTCACAACGTCAATGGCAGTGCGCTTGAAAGTCTCAGTCTGCGTTGTGGCTCCGTAAAGCTCCATGTCCTACTGTGCGACAGGCTCCTTGCAGGGGTAAGCCTTGAGGGATTGTCAAAACCCGAACCTCCTCGGGCCTACGCCTCTAAGAAGAGGGTCTGAGTAGTAAAATGGACCGGTCGCACAGAGTGAGGGAGTCCTCCCCATTACCCCAACTGCACAAAGGAGGCGCACACACACACACACACACACACACTCTGCGGAGGGAAAGGTCAGACGCGTCAAGCCTAACAAACAAAACCCCTCAGAGAACAGCCAGAAGCCGTGATTTGCGCTACAGCGCGGGCTAGGGCCCACTGACCTGAGAAGCTTTGTGATACTCCAGGGTCTCGGCAGACGAGAGACGGAGATAAGCAAGCACTTGTTTCCAGAGTCCCAAGACAGTTGCATCCATACTGAACCCCTATGGGCCGCTATTATCTGTGAGGAGTATGACGAAAGTTCGTCTTCTTCGGACGCAAGCCCTCTGCGCGAGGCCAGCAGCGAAGCCGAAGCATTTCACAGAAAGCGGGCTGTGCAAAAGACTTTGCTAACTGCGATCATGCTGGCTCACACATGTTGCCAGAGTTTTGCGTTTAGACCTTGTTGGGGCTGCAATGGGTTCCGATGGGCCACGCATTGGCATGCTCAGGCCCCCGTGAAGGGCCTCGTCCCGGCTCCACCAAACATGGCGCCACCCACCTTACCAGGCCCGGAAGTGGGATGGTGCCGGTGAGTTCGAAAGTCTCGGAAGTAGCAAAGTGTTGCTCAGCAACGCCTCTTGCACGAGGGCAGCTTGCTGGTGCTTCGTCTTCGGAACGACCAGCCACAGCGCCAGAGGCACGGGCATACACCGACCATGAGCAACGCCTGAATAAAGCTGTGCGGAGGCCGCTCCAAGCGAGTCTCCCAGACCATCGGAGGTGCGTTCCATCCTGAACCCAAGACATTGACACGCTGCCTGCGCTGCCGCCACTTTGCACAGGTACCCCCCGCTCCCATCAAGCAAGTGCCCTCGTCCAGCGCTCGGTGGTTTGAGCCCCATAAGGCAAAAAAGAAATGCCAAAAGCACCGAAAGGTTAGCGATGCTGAAGCAACTTCCGCCGCCTCCGCCCCTGAAGCTCAGGAAGGCTCAGGTGCCGCATCATTTCTTATTATCTTATTGCGCAGTGTGAGAGTGTAATGGAGTGTATATTACACGCAACTCAGCGGCATCACTTTGCCGAATCTTCAAAAGGAGGTGAAGGAGGCGCCACCGCCGGCGGCGGCCCACGCGGAAGCACCCGACGAGGTGCACGAGGAGGCCACCTTGCCGAGGGAGGCTGTGCTGGAAATCTCTCCAGAGCCGGATTTCATCCCTGTGCAGGCAGGGCAGGCTGCTTGCTGCTTCAGCGCATTCCCATCATGTCCATCAGATGTCAATCGGCCTCTCGTGCGCAGGTGGAACCTGAGAAGATGGAGGAACTGGACGGGCCTCCACCACCTCCTGCGACCGTGCAAGTGGAGCCCGTGGAGCCAGTGGAGCCTGTGGAAGTGGAGGCAGAGAAGCCGGTGGAGGTCGAGCTCCCTGCCGCGCCGGAGACCAGGAGCCTGGCGGAAGAGGCAGAGCCGGCAGAGGCTGAAGAGGTCCAAAAAGAGGTCCCAGAAGTGGTCCAGGAAGAGGTCCGAGAACCAAAGAAGGCCGGTGATTCGGAGCGAGTGACCTATAGGGACCTAGGGCGAGGGCGTAGAAAGGATCGTCAGTATCTAAGCCAAGCCCTTGGACCCCACACAGAACCCGAAAGGATGAGTCTCCGACCTCGCAGCCGAAGCTTTCCTCCTGGCTCACAGACATGAGGTGCGGCTGTGCAATCAGGACTGTTGGGGCTCGGCGTCAGGATTCGCAAAGCAAAGTTCTCGAAACATTGTTATTTTACCATCATACAGAATCATACACCTTAGTTGTATCATACGATATCTCGGATTCAGATCGGGAGCAGCTGACATGAACCTTGCATTGTGTTGGCATTCGGCCCTGAAATTGCCACTGTCGGTGTTTGGGTGCTGGCCCCTTTTTGTTGGCTCGCATGTTCCTGAGTACTGCACCGAAACTGCAGTTAAGTTTGAAGTTTGAAGCTCGACCGCAAGGCAGCCAAGCAATTGCAAAACAGCTCATGAGCGAGTTGAGAGCTGGGAACGCCGAGAGCAATGCTGTGCAGGTCTCGCGTCGCCAACAAGACGGGCGAAGCCAAGGCCTTCGAACGAGAATCAGGGTTCTTGGAGAGTTTTTGGCTCGGTTGAATGCAAAATTTTGTAGTGTAAAGTAAGCGGACTCAAAGCAGGTGCCAGAAATCATGCCACGAAAATGCCACATACTGCCACATACTCTGTATCCTAAATGTATACTGTATACGGCAGGACCAGGCGAGTGCTTCCACAAAAGCGCCGGCCACGTCGAAGTTTGCCTCCCGGGCCTGTCAACTGAGAGGAGAATCTGTTTGAACTAAAGCGCTCCTCATGAAGAAAGCAAAGCCTCACTTGGAAGACAAACAGCAAAGCATGCCAGGCGCCATCCTCTGGCCTTCGCACTCAGAGGCTTGGTGGTGGAAGGTGCCGACGTAAATTCAGAGCGCGCTCGCAAGACACATGCAGCCCAGGATCGCCAAGAAACCGGATCCGGGCAGCGAGGCCGGCGGGAAGTGTGCCAAGTGTGTAGTCATGGGCCATCAGCGGCGAACAGTGGCTACCGCACGCAAAATATCGCTGTTCTTACATGGCATCTTAAGCACGCAAGCTGTAGACCAGCGTCGGTGCGTATCGTGAGGCATGTAAAGTTCCACCGCTTCCTCTCTCCCCGGAGCCATCGACCAAGCAGGCCAACATGGAGTGGTTTACGTGTGTTTGCTTTCTTTCTGGCGGCAATTGCATGGCTTCAAAGCAGTGCAATGCAGCATTCAAAGCATTCAACAGGAGGCCACGCCAACAGAAGGACCAGAAGTGCAGAGAACGGAGTTCGAGGAATGTCCGCAGATCAAGAGGCTTGCAAACTCGCATGATCAAGCTTAACTCAGCGCTGTAGGGACCAGTAAAATGTGAGCAACTGTCGACTCTCTGTCGACTCTCTGTCTGCTTCGGCTGTCAGACGCCAGGTGCCACTCCTCGAGCCGGCAGCTGGAAGGACCGTGGAAAAAAGGCGAAAAAACCCGGGACCATCATTTAGGGCACCTCTCCGTAACCCGCTCAAGTTGATGGACAGCTTTCGACATTGGCTCTCGTGGGCAGGACCAGCAAAGTCCCGAGAGTCTGTCGAATCAGGACGCTGTTCCGAAGGCAAGCCCAGCTGCTATTGATTACAAGACCATTGAATAGTACGTCCTTCACTACCACAGTTTTTCTCCGTTACTCGTTGGTTTGTCCAGTACCACTAGTTCGATTGATGGGTGGAACAAAGTTTAAGGTCTCAGAAGCTTCAGCCCAGGAGCTAGAAACCGAAGCTCAGAGGGCGTCGATGCTGGAAGAAAGCTTAATGCAAGGCAGTGGCGAGCTTCCGATGGTGGAGAAGGCGACCTCCGAGGTGCAACCAGGGCCCTAGCGGCATTGCAATTTCAGTGATCTGCAAGGTCCTTGGCCCACGTACTGTACCGTCCCAGTAGCAACATATCCTCACATGGAAGGCCACATGCTGCGTGAAAAACAGTGGTAACCTTGCGAACCGAAGCCTGCAGCAATTTCGGAAACATGCTCACGTTCGAGGATGCGCATGGTGCCAGATGTTGCGAGGTGCCCACCGAGCTCGAGACCCCGCTGCCGCCAGAACTGGCCCCAAAGCCTGGGCGCCAGACTTCGTGACTTCACCATGTGGTGTGGCGGTGTGCCGGTGGTGCTTGTGAGCAGTCCGATCATCCTGTTCCATTCACGATAGTTAGTGCTGCTTGCCCAGGACAGGCACCCCAACCCAACCGTCAGGTATCTGCAGACAAGAAGCTGCATGTCAGGCATTGTCACTCGGATGTCTCTCCGAGGCGTGGACGGAATCTCCCAACAGGAAACTGGCAGGACACCCAGGACAAGCTCCAAAAGGCACCGCACGGCGCTGCCTCTCAAGGGGGGAAGGAGACGCTTGTGTTGATTTATGCCTTAGTACCGTGGCAGGAGTGGTACGCGAAGTTGGCCGCCGGGGTGGACGACAATGAGAAGCCGCGGCGGGGCAAGGCAAGCCCAGAAAGAACCATCCTGGATGGATCGGCGTCATTAACCACATTAGGACCATATTTTCGCCATGCTTCTGTTTCGTAGTTTGAGGGACATGGTGGACGTGAAATGTACTGGACTTATAGCGGCTCATTCATCAAATCCTCGCAATGGATTAATTCACAATGAAACGCTCGAAGCCCACGTCCGCCAAGTCGGCACATTTGGCTAAGTGGAAAAGTCCGTAACGTGGTGTTATGTGTCGTACTCGTAATGCGTGTTGTTGCGGCTTTGCCCTGCCTCATCCCCATGCGGCAGTGTATCATAGTGCGTCAAAAAAGTCAGGCGCAAAACGGCAAAACCCAAACACAGTCTGAAGGAACACGCATACATTGATAAAGGCAAACATTAACTGTATCTGTGTGTCGTGTGTTCTGTCACTGTCACAATACGTAGTCATAATCAATAGCTGCGTCTCTTCCATTATCGGTATCGAAGCATTAGATTTGCGTTGGCAATGCTGTGTGATGTTGTTCGTCTCGGATGTCTCGGTGAGATTGTCAGATGTAAGCACAAGATACATCCAAACAGACGGAAATAGGAAGGTTGCTCATTGTAGACATTCTCATGATGCTTGGGAGTGCAGTAAGTCTCCACGATGGGACAGCAGGGTTGCAATGCCAGTGCAGAGCCGGATCGTACAAAGCCTTCATACGCCTCCAGTTTGCGTACACCTTTCGAGCACGGTGTAGAGTGTAGAGCCTGCATCCTTGCGTGCCCGAGGCTTCCCTGAGAGGAGCTGCAACGGGGCAGCTTCGCTGACAATTGGATGGTTCTGCATACATGCTGTTGTGGTAGGCTCATTGTCCAACCATCCTCGTGATGTCACGCTACGCTGATACGGCTCCTGACAAAATGCTGGCGCAAAGAAGATGAAGGAGTGATCGCTTCCCTTCGCTGTCAGGTCGCGGCGAGCGGGCGCCTCCTTGCGGGGCGCCGCCTCGGCCTCCGCCAGCGCGGCGGGCAGCCACATGGGCAGCCGGCAACCGAGGATGAAAAGACACAAATGCGGAACCTTGGAACGGTTGCTGCGATCAATTAGGACCAGGACGTTGTTTGAAGCCAACAATTGCAGTTGCTTGTCCAGCAGGTCAAGCGCCCTCCCGCTCATCGCAGTCGCCGGCCATGTCGCCCAGGCCTGGGCCCTTCGTCTCGCAGCTTTGCGTGCGCGCTGTGTCGCGTGCCGCGTTGAGGCAGAGCGCGGGCGACGACGCCGAAGGCGTGCCGTCGAGTCCGACGCTTCCTCTGAGCTTCCCAGGGCCAGGGCCAGGGCCTTTGGGGCCAGGGCCGGCACTTTCTGGGCCGGGTCGGCCGCCGCGAGCTCCAGGGCCGCCCTTGGGACCGCCTGGACCTCCCCGTGGTCAGGGTGCGACCCCTCAGTCTGCAGTGGCACCCAACTGGGCATTCTAGGGTGTCTTGTGCCTAGGAAATTCGGGAGGCGGTTCAGCACGCTGACCGTCCCTGTCTTTGTATTTCCCTACAGCACGCTGCTAAGCAGCTTCTGCTGGTGCCAGATCTTGCTCAGTTTTTTTACACAAATCAAAAGCAGCCGCCCAAGCTTCGGCAACATGTCATATTCCCTTTGCGCTGCTTTGTCTTATCGGAATGGTAGCGGCTTGGCCCTCCCGCCGTGTCGGATCACAGCTTTTTTCCGGGGAGGTTGGCAGCAACTCTGTGATGACCTCTCCAATTTCAGACAGAACTTCCTGCCAAGAGTGTTGACGGCGCACAGTGCCATAGCTTACGACTGTCGTGATGTGGAGCCTTGCAGTCAGTTTTCAGCAGCCAAGACCAGGACAAAACCGTAAAACTGCAATACACACCCTTGCTTTCCAGTTTTCATGCCAGGGAGGTGGGCCGGGTCAGCAGATTGATGTGCGTTTGTGGTCTGCACGCACAGACTAATGAGCGAACCTATGCTTGAGTTGATCGGTGGAGATTGCCAGGCATCCAGCAGGGTATGACAATGTGTGTGGCCCAGGAAAGTAGGAGAAGTCAAGCTGAAATGGTTATTGAAGAAGTGCGTGTTCAGCATGCTGTATGCAACAGCCATACACGCTTTGTGGCATCAGTGATGGGGCTGTGCAGAGTTGGAGTCAGGTCTGTGGAGCCAATGGACACCGCACCATGCAACCAGATGGTTTCCGAGGCAATGACCTTCATTGAGCCCTAGGTACAGAAGCACAGACTGGTTTCCAGCTTCGCCCAGATATGAAACTGCAAAGCAAGTCTCCAAAACACACACGTGGACCGCAAGCAACCTGCAGCAGGTTGTAGTGAAGCGCCCCAGTCCGAATCCCAGCATGGTCACTCCGTCTTCGAATGCAATGCGTGAAGGAAGCCTTGATGAGTTTGCAGAATATGGCAAAGCGGCAAAAGCCTGCGCAGCGTCAACGCTTGCTGCCCAGGCTTGCGAAAGCGCTCATCAGGCTGGGCGACCAAGACACGCACAACCCGGAAGATTCGCGCTTCACTGAGTTCTCGAAGGCGACGATCTTGCGTTTCAACGCCGGCTGTCGTGGAAGGCAACCGGCAGGGTTGTGGCACTAGAGTCAGTGATCTGCACCCAAACGGTGTGCCTTGTGCGCGCAGCTGCTCTTGTTTTCGCCTCGGTGGAAGTATGGGAGCGCCCTGCTGCATGGAGACATGTACCCGCACGAGCGCCTCCCCTCCCCCTCTTTCTTCCTGCACCGGGCAGGATCTCGCGAACTCGAGGCGCGCTTCGGGATCGGCTGTTTGCTGGTCCTTGTCCGTACGGCATAGTGCTTCGGGTTCTAGGGCTTATGGTTGCCGGCTTGACAGGCCCTCTGATGGGTCCCCCAAGCGGGACATCAGCCTCTCAGCTGCAATGCTTGGGGAATCCCATGTTCCGGCCCCAGAACCCTAAACTCGTATATAGCAGTGGCATAGTATTCGGTTGGCAAGATTCTCCCAGTTTAGCTTCGGCCAGCCTTGGAGTAAGTTTTTCTTGCAGAGCTGGCCAACAAGCAGCTCGTTAGGCCAGCGGCCAGTGCTCAGACTTTTTGTCCTATACTCATGGACTTGCTTCAAAAATGCCTCTGCTTCCTTTACGTGTTGAGGCTACAAAAATCCGAACCACGATTTGGATCTTTGCGAAGTGCCCTCAATCCCAAAGCAGTGGCATCCTTGTGTGGACCCGGCCTGCACAGCCTTTCACTTCAAAGGACGAGCCCGAAACCCAGACCTCTAGAGACCCTCACCCGTTGCCACAGTCTCAAGCCGTGGGGGGGCGGTCCCAGGAAAATTCACAATTGCGAGCCAGCCTGACGATTGAGGGTCGCCCCTGGAAAACTAACTCCAGAACTCCAGAGCATAGGATGCATCTGCTCGAAGGCGACGAGTTTGCATTCCAGCGCCGGCTGTCGTGGAAGGCAATCCTCCAACTGCTGGGCCGTGTGCGCGCAACTGCTCTTGTTTTCGCCTCGGCAAAGATGTGTGAATTGAAAGAGTTTGGGGTCCTACTTCAGAGAGACATGTACCCGCACGAGCGCCTCCCCTCCCCCTCTCTCTTCCTGCACCGGGCAGGATCTCGCGAACTCGAGGCGTGCTTCGGGATCGGCTCTTTGCTGGTCCTTGTCTGTAGGGCACTGTAGGGTCTACGGATATTCCGACTCGGGAGGCCCTCTGATGGGTCCCCCAAACGGGACATCAGCCTCTCAGCCGCAATGCTTGGGCTTGCCAGGGCGGCTTAGACGCTTGGAGCTGAAAAGATACATGATCAACGATTAATTGCAAGTCAGCTCAAGGCATGCAACACAGTGGGCCCGGGCAGACACCCGGCTCAGGACGGCCTCTTGGGCTGTCGGACTTGGGGGGCGCAACACCAAGAAGTACCCAGACCTCTGAACTGCCAGGAACTCCCCTGACAGAGATTCCGGACGACGTGTCAAGGACTACATCAAGGACTGATACACGAGAAATGCTGCGAACGCCCATACACATATACTGCAGTTTCAAGAGGGCTCAAGAACGATCATGGAGCACGAACCCCTGACATGAATTGGTTGTCTGGCCTCGGGGTGTTGGAAGGACCAATGCCACGGACATTGTTTCCGACCAGCGGGCTATGCCTTCGAAGGCAGGGCCGCAACCCCTTGAGATCCCGGCTGTAGATGCCACTTCATAGAGGAGTGAGAAGACGCGAGGGCGGAAGTTACAAAACGAGCAAGAAGGAAGAGAGGGGCAGCTCAAGAAGCCTCACACTAAACTCAAGAAGAATCCAGCAAATCGCAAAGCGATGGGATTACTAGTAGAGTCAGATACAAGCAGGCTCCATTTCCTACACTGAATTGCCAAGTCAAAGCACCGTGAAGCAATTCAGACCTCAACTGCTTTGAGGTCCAGCAAACGACGGCGGGGACAAATGTCACCATGGAAGAGAACACATGAAATTACATGAGAATGGTCGGTTGGCGCTGCTTGCACAACGATGAGAAGAATCTGTGCCAGGCTTGCATCAGCATGGCATGAAGACAGCATCGATAGTCCAACAGATGCACGTTGTAGAAGTTTGGAATGGTTTTCTGAGCCGGCGACTTTCACATCTGCACGGTGGTCAAGGCCTGAAGGGTTGGAGGGCTGGAAATTGGAGGGAAGAGGTATGGGAAGGAGCAAAGAAAAGGGAAGGCTGGACGGCTGGAAGGTCGAAAAGCCTTCCAGCCTTCCTGCTCCAGCTCTCTAGCCCACCTGGGGCTTGGCGGACAGGAAGCAGGGAAGTTCTGCCCTGGAAAAAGCTGGCAAGCTGGAGTCTGAGGCTGGAGGCCCTGGAAAGCTGGAAGACTGGAAGGCCTGAAGACTCCGGAAACGAGGACCCTTAACCCTAAGCACTGATTTGCGAGTTTCACCCTAAGCCCTGCTCTGTGCCCTCTGGCACACAAGCTGATCCACAGAATGTATAGGGGCCTGCGCATGAACATGTTACCCGGCCAATTTCCGGGTAATGAAATCGAGGCGGGCCCGGACGATCCTTCACGGAGGTACTGTAATATTTGATATATCTGTTTCAGCTGGAGAAATATCCGCGGATAGAAAATGACGCCGTGATGAACCTTGAACACAAATGGTGACAAAGAAACTTGCCACGAAGACAAGCTAATGTGCATGGTTGCACCCAAGATTGACTACAAGTTTGGATTGCTTTCGACTAAACTCAATCACAAGCATGCTGAAGAACAAGCTAAGCGTATGAACAGGACAGCAGACAAAGCAACATGCTACAAGGATATTTGCAAGAAGACCACAACAAACAAAAAACAACCGGACGTTGCACAATTGACAGCTTCTTCGCGTCGCTCTGAGCGAGCCAAAAGCTCCAAAAACACTTGTATCAAAGAAGGTCAAGCATGAAGTGGCATGGGTTTAAATCCTCCTCAACGTCACGAAGTTTCGATGGCCTGCCTGTGACCAGTTGGATCACGACAACATTGTCAATTCCTTCCAACAAGGCTGGGCCGGGCAGTACCGTGCTGTCATGCTGGAAGGGTTCTCACCATTGTCAGCAGGACTTGCTAACGTGGAACAGATCATCATATATGCCAGAAGCTCAGATCTTGAGGGCACAGACCTCTGGAATTACCCCCAAGCCCAGCCCACTGTTGGGTACACAGAGGTTAAAGATGGCCAAACTTGCTCGTTGCACGTGCTTAAAGAAGAGCACTTGCTGCGGAAGAAACGGTTGGATGCTTGAACCGCTCTGTGGCCTCCAGCAACAGAACTGGTAGCTTCAATTAGAACACGCTACCCTGACACTCCAAACTCCTCCTACACCCGAGACGTTCAACTTTCAACTTTGACCTGTCGATAATCTCTTGTGAAATTCAGAGCAACTGAATCATATATCTGCGTTGGCGGCCCCTTCAAAACGTAAATCTGTATATCGGATGCAGCATCGTCTTCTCGTCACATCTTGCCAAAGTTGCCCCACAGAAGTTCTAATTGACATGAAACAAGGCCATTGCTGCATACTATACGAAGACACGCTTAAACCTTATGCAAGCTTATTCTGGCGCAAGGGGATGTGCACCCCCCAGCGCATCGAACAAACTTGCTGCAAACCCATGCTGAAACGACCGAAGGCTTGCACACATTTGCACACTGCTTACAGCAAGGGCTCTTTGAGCGGTGCTGGGGGCCGACCACTTTAGATACTAGAGTTACTAGAGACAATCGGCAGATAGAGGGGTAGAAGCCGTTTTTGCGCAAGATGCCCAGCCAAGGATACGGACCATGTGGGTGAGTCTGATGGTGACGAAGATGGACAACTTGCCGTGGGGATCTTAAGCCTTAGCAACATGGGAAGCCCAGCAGGGAAGGTTTGCCCACACTTTGCATTTCTTTGCATGTGGCTTTCAGCAGACGCAGTCTAGTCTGCTCACAGGCGACATTCTTGCTTGGCTCAGGTGACCTGGCGTCGTCGAGCCGTGCCTCTTGAATGAACCAGACGTGTGCATGTGGACATGAACGAAAAAAACCTCGCGCACATCCTGAGGTTGAGACGGCTCTGTGACCTCTGCGTGAATATCTGCCTCTGCTGCCTGGAATGGAAATTGGTTTGCGGACAGGTCCGATAATGTCTGAAGGCTTTTAGCCCTGGGATCGGGCGAAGAACAGGCAAGTGCACAGGGAGTGTCGGTACAAATCTGCATCCTGATTAGCGCAATCACGGCCCTGGTCTAGCCACATTGAAATGTCCATGACACCCAAGCAGGGGCATTAAATTCACAGTTTGCCAAGAACCTTAATGCTCCTTTGCCGAGGCCAGCCGTGCCTGAGAATTTAGGTGCGAGCAGGATTCTTGACAGGAGTTCTTGAAGGACTCCTACGGCCCTGTGTATGTATACGGCTTCGGTTTTGGGCGTGTCCGCCAAACACCACCGCAGCAACAGGGAACGTAGTGACGAAGTGGTCACAACTCGATACTCCTACCTCAAGGCCTCAAGGTCTAAGCTCCGGTGGCGGCCTCAGCTGAAAAACGAGCGGCAACATGGCCGCTCGAGCCAGGCATGTCTTGAAGGCTGCCTGTGCTGCTCCATAGGCCCTAGACTCACGGTGCAGGTTGTGAGTTCACGTATTCATGCTGCCTCACATGTGTTTGACATGCTGATCTGGTCCCTTAAGCCAAAACTCACAGCCGAACCAGACAGTCTCACATGGCACTGCCAACTTTTAAAGCACGACTGGACTCAGAGAGAACCAGTGCGGGGGGTGAAAAGTGAAGAGTGCGGCTGGTCGCTACCTGTGGATGCTGCTGCCTGCGAACCAGACCTTGCAGAAGGCAAGTCTGAGTGTACTCGTCTCAGAGCGTGAGCATCTGATCTTTTTTGGTGGGGGGCGTGTCACAGTGTCTTGGTATGTCTTAGATTGTCTTAGATTGTCTTAGATTGTCTTAGATTGTCTCACACTCACAGCGCCTTTCCCCGGCATGGCCGACTTCGAAGTTCTGCGAGGTGCCAGTGCCTCTGCTTTGCGAGTGAGGCTCCAAGGCACGGCCGCCGTGAATGCTGAGAGCGACGCGCTGGTGTCGAAGACCCACAATGTCGAAGTTTGTGCCAGTTTAGGCAGTGGCCTCGGTGGGCTTCTTGGTGGTGTGGCCAGGAGCTTGCTGACCAACGAATCCTTCTTCTTACAGACCCTGCAGTGCAAAGGAGGTTCTGGCGAAGTGCTGGTGGCACCGGAGGACCAGGGAGATATTGCGATCGTTCAACTGCCAGGTCCGAATCTATCTGCAGTCTTGGTGACCAGTGGCGCTTTTTTGTGTGCAGAAACTGGGATAGACACGAGCACTCGAGTGCAGCGTGCGTCACAGGGCCTCTTTAGCGGAAGCGGCTTCTTTCTCATGCGATGCAGTGGCCATGGGAAACTGGCCATGAGCTGCTTTGGTTCTTGTGTCCGATATGATTTGCAACCCGGAGAATGCCGAGAAGTGGACAATGGGCACCTCGTTGCATGGGGGGAGTCTGTTAGCTATAGTGTCGGAATGGCTTCATCCTCAATCTTTGGCAGCCTTGCAAGTGGGGAAGGCCTCCTGTGCAGCTTCACTGGTCCTGGACCCGTTTGGATACAAACGCACAAGCCAAAGTCAACAGTTCCCCAAAAATCCAAACCCGGTCCAGGTGGAACTCTGCTCGGAATCTGCGTTTTTGCTTGTTTTGTCGGTGTCATCGTGATCGTGTTCCTCGCCGTACTATTTGCCTCAGATCAGCCGCAGCTGGAACCCCGTCGGCGCTCGAGGAGGCTATCGGACGAATTCTGAGGAGAAAAAAACATAGTGATGGGTGCAAGGTATTCCCTTCCGCTGATCTTCGTGCTCGTTGTTGGAAATTGCTTTAAAGCACTTTCTCGAAGCTAGGTAAGGAAGGGGACAAACCTTACAAGAGGGCACTCTTTTTTGTTTTAGCAGCGTTCGCGTGAGGCGCGTTAAGATTGCAGAAGGCCCGGACTAAGGGCCTTAGGGGGTGCGGGCGGAATGCCAGGCAGATAGCCAGCAGCGAATGTGATCACTTGAGCAACATGGATTTCGTGATTGACCAATCAGCCCCAATGAATGCCAGTATACTCAAGACTTTACTTCATTGGTTGGTAGTGACAGGTACTCTTGGGTTTTCCCGGTGTGTCCGTCTTCCAGTGGCCCAAAAATTCCGGCATGGCATCCCAGCCATGACTGCTCTCCACACTGTGTTGGTTGCCAACTGCTTCGTTGCAGCCGCTTCATACATCCACCATTATGACCGTGATGGTGAAGGTGACCCGGCTGCTCCAATAGTTGTTGGCATTGTCTTTCTGATGCTATGCATCGGTGTTTGCGCGAAGGAAGCGGTCTTGCGAGCGTACAGTGGGGAATCCCATCACATATACCGGGTGGTCCCTGCAATTCCCATGTGCTGTACGGGGCCTTATTTGCAGGTCCCATGTGCTGACAAGTCAAAGTCAAAGCGCTACTATCCAGGAGATGTCATCGCTGTCCTCTCCAATGGCAGATATCTGCGTGCTACCTTTGTGCGTGTGGAGGAGGATTTTTTTCCGCCAAAGGCGGAGTTCCAGGCGATTGCGGGCCGCCACGAGCCCTGTCCCCATGAAGGCCATGGCACCCTGCCCTTGTTGCACGAAAGGATTGGAGGCGAACCCGAGAGGTGGCTGCTGTCGGCTGCAGAGATGTACGACGACTGCCACTGCACTGTGGCTCCGGCGGAGTTCATTGGCTTCGCCCCCGCATCATGGAATGACATCCTGCAGAACCTTCGGACCCAAGTGGCCGCACCCCTTCCAGCCCTGGAGCCAATGCAGCCCGCTGCCGGAATTGCGGGTGGCTGTATTATCGCCTAGTCATTGAACTGAACTGGCCGCCTGACTCCGAGCCGCCAGGGCCGATACAAGATCGGCCCATCAGTAGCGGATGCAACCGGAAATCCGGTCTGTCATTTATCTGCTACTTTGCTGGCGTTCGCGGTATTCTCAATCCAGAAAGAGGAGGCATTGAAAACCTTGCTTTTTTGCCACGAATCATGAGGTGAGATCCCCAGCATGAGTCCACGTTGGCTTGAACTTCTCAAAACAGGTCCTTGCCATTCAACCATGGGGTGTGTAAATGATGAGTTCAACATGTTCAACATACGAAAACATTCAGAAAGCCAAAAGCATTGAATTGTCTTCACTTTTTGTCAAGAGATGAAAAAACAATGAATTTGGATCAGAAAAGCTGTCAACAAGTACCCGAAAAGCTGTTTTTGGAAGTTCGGCGGCGAGACCGATCGCGATTTGGGCAATCTGATCCGAAGATTGTTATGAACAAACCATCGTCTATTTGATCATATACGAGATAGCGGCAATGAGTTGTTGTGGGCATTGGGCTCTACATGTTATGATATCATAAACGAGATTGGACGAACGAATTATTACGATTCTATATCTTTCGATATTTTTCACGAATTAAATAGTTTCTTTCGAATGTAAGATTTTGCATATTACACTAATTTCTCATGTAAGATAAGGATTTTCTTTCGATATTTCATTCGGGCTAGGCAAATGATGAAATTATGGATATGGGATTCTGAATATTTTGAGATTGTTCACGAGATAAATAATCTATATAAATTCTGGATATTAGATAATAATTCGAGGAGTAAAGATCTATAAATCGGGAAGGGGGAAGATCTATAAATCGGGAAGGGGGATGTGTGTATCTGTTTGGCGTGCGTCTTGTACGATGGATCAATTGTAGGTTTTCATAATTGGAATGTATGGAGATGTGAATGAATTTGATGAA